TCTTGTTGTGATATTAAATTCAGCTATTTGTTAATTCATATTTTTCAATTCATTCTATGTTACAAAATAGGCAAATATAAAATATCCTTGCAAAATCATAACTGAAAATACAAATAATAATATATGATCCTTGTGATTCTAATTAGAATTAATAAACTTCTTCTTCTTCTTTCTTGATTTCAAAGTCTTATTCAACTCTGCCTGCTCTTCTAAATCCTCTTAAAATGAGACGTTTTCATCATCCTCTCCTACCTACAAATTACTTATGTAATTCTCGCACTTACTGTAGAAATACTTCACTGTCTTTTCTGGAATATCCAAGAATAATTATAGTATTGATAATCTCATCTAAGTTAACAGGATGATTGCTATCGAATAAATTATTAGGGACATAAACAACATAATAGCAGAAAGTGTAATCACAATAATCTCAATCTATTCCTGTCTGGTAGTTCTGTCATCTAATGCTAAAACAAACTAATCTGATACTGTTGATAATGCTATCCAATATTCATTTAAAAGGTTGTATTCTACAAAGAAAACACTTGTCTAATCTTCAGTAATGTCCTTCAAAGGCATAGTTGATACTTCAATCCCTTTGCTGATAATTTATTGAGTGGCTTCCATAAAATCATATTATTGGCTTGACCCAGTGCCAAAATACATTTTAACAGTATCTGAAATCTTCATATTTGAATAATAGTCTGTCATTTTTAAATCACTCATAATTACTTCCTTATTTAAATCTTAAACATTATTTAGTTATTTGACAAGGGCTTCCTTTTAAGTTGTCTCATAAGAAGACTTATTTGTGTTCTACCACACACCTAAATTGAGCATCTTTAGATTTTGTACGTTTGTCAGTATAGATTACAATGTGGCTTATATTTAGTTTTCTTTACCAATAAGATTGATGTTATCTTCGATTTCATTATACTATTGATTTAAATAAAAGAATTCAAAGAAGGCTAAGGCTGTCATAACTAGGTATAAAATATTTGTAAACCATATCATTTTTTATATAATTGAAATTCTCCCTTAATTTTTGATTTGTTCTTACAATGAAGCTCTTGATTTAAAAATATTGTTATTAATGCTACTTTCATTTTCTTATTATTATTCAATATTATTTTGAAATACACTTTATTGATGTTCTTCGTCAAATTCTTCCATAATTTCCTCTTTATCAATTTCCTGAATTCTATTTTAAAAGAGTTGCAATGTTTTAATGCCTTCTCCATAATCAAATTTCTGATCTTCTGATGATTTCACTTGTGTAATTGATTAATTTTTTACAGACATAGCACTTACATCAACAGTTTAATCATGAACCGATGATAAATCATGAATGGCTGAGACTTGATCGGTAGAGAATTCTCCCAAAAAAATCTTCTTATTAACATTATATTTAAATTAGAAATTAGATTTTGATTTCTTCAATGGAATTAGTCGATTCTCACTCTCTTTTTATTCTAATTTCATCATGTAACCTAATTACTAATTATTTAATGTAACTGAATTCAAAGTACATATAAACTCTTAAGACAACCTAGTCTTCTCATCAATGTATTCATTGGATTGAATCTATCCACTCATGATATCATCGGGTATCTTATATTAAATTACACCTCCCCCTTTAATTAAGAATTCACTCTTGTCCTGCAATTAAGGAAATATTTCACTCACCAACAATTTCTTATTCTATATCAATCGCAAATCCAAACCTAGTAAACTTATACAATTAAAAGAGATTGAGTCTATGATATCATCACTATCAAACAAAATATAACATGTTTGTTTATATGGTTTGAATAACTTAAATTATGCTATTATCATAACTGATTAATCTAAGGAAGTTAAGGCCTTCATCTCAATGATACAAGGAATGAGATAATTTTATTTATTTTTCACGTAAATCGATCTTTCTTTACTCAATTTTTAATCAAATCCCAGTTTCATCAATTAATCATGGGCTTTTTAAAAGATATTGGGAATCAAGACATTCAATTTCCTATTAATTAATTCATTCTTCATGTAGCCGAATACATGACAGGCCGTGTTTAGATTTATGATCTAACCAAACTTATCTGGAGCCAATGAGATGATCATTGTAGGCAAACTCTCCATACTGATTTCTTCCTTACTCGCCATCTATATACCCTTCCTCACGTAAGAGGCATCCATGACTCTAGATTTCTCATACAACATCTCACCATAATCTTAATCTTACACAACATCAATCATAAATTTACTATACATTTTTAAACTCTTCTAAGTATTTTATTTAGTCTTTTGCAATCTGTTCCAGGTCATTTCAATTTCATTCATTAGATTGTGAATATTCAAACCTATCTAATTCAATTTCCCTAAATCTGGGTAATCCTCTTACAATTACGACCAGAAATCCATATTTATCAAGGTTACTCTTTCAATCTTGCTTTAAAAGTTCTTAATGACATTTAAGTACATTGTATCATTATGAGTATCCACTTATTCAACATTTTAATCGTTCATTTCATCCTCGATAATCTTTTTGTATCTAAAAAGCACAAACTCATAATCCATAGTTGGATTCAAATTTTATGCTTAATTGAATTCTTGCAAAGCATATTACCTCTAACCAATATGGAGCAAGAAAAATCCATATCTAATCTTTAATTAATAATCATATGGGAATCTTTTGCTGGCATCCAAATAATTTTACTAAATGATCTTAATTAATTCTTTGCCACAGTCAGGTCTAACACATGTCTAATTGTGAGTTTTCAAATATCCATCCAAAATGATGTTGAATAATTGAGTATTCCAATTGTGCAATCTTAATAAATGGTGTTACTATAATAATATCTAACTTATTGTTCCTTTGAAATTATCCAACAACAACAAATCTATTCTTTCCTCAGGATTTTGCATCACGATAATAACCAATAGAGGAATACCCAAAAGCCATGCATAGATGGTACCTCTAAATATGACATCCTCTAGAATCTTACTGAAAGCCAACATTATGCAAGTCCAATTGTTGATTGCAATAATCATTTACCACATTTTGTAGACTATTAAATTGTTGTGAGTATTTTGGTGGTAATTATATATATAGAGAGTTATGTTTCCGAAGGCTATCAGAATTATCTAGACATATTAGGATTCGATAAATGAATAATTTAGTACTTAAATAAGAATGTAAGTTTTCAAAATAAAATCATCAAATCCACTCTGCTTAGAAATAGAGTTAGTGTAAATAAAGCGTGCCTCATAATAGAGAAATGAGTGAACTGCACTCAAGGTGTAGAATATTATCAAAAATATAATTGCGACAATTGAATGGACAGTATGACTGCCTGCCCAGCATTCATAATTCGTAAATGAAAAGTGATAAGAATCTCTGCATGTCCACACTGAAATAAATAAATCTACAATTGGCATATATAAAATTGAAAGCATCAAATTGATTATTGATTTTAACATTGTCATGGGCAGAGTCTTGCTGAGTTTCTCAGTTCTGTTGCTTAATACCAAATAGAGTAAAATTTCTAAAGCAATGATGCCCACAAACAGGTAAGTTAATATCACCATTGCCGAATATGACATGTAGTCATATTGAGGAGACAATAGAACATAGCCAGTTATCTCTTTTACATATACAGCTATTTCATCATGCTTCCAAGCAGAATACAGATTTCGATTGAAGCAAATGTAAGTCATTTAAAATAGCTGGATGAATAATGATGCGATCGTAAACAACAAGGATGGATCATCATCAATAAGCATCTATCTGGTTACTGAAAATAGAACATTCTTTATCTCAACAACCACTTTACCCAAAGAACTTTGCCCTTCCTTTGATAAACCATATTCAGATTTGGTTTCCATTATATTTTAATAATTAGGCTTTTTAATTAATTGATCTAAAAAAAGCTCCTAAGTTTTAAAAGGATTATCTGTATCTTATTACTAAGTATGTCTTTATTAAACTAATTTTTATAGTTAAAAACAAAATGATCATCCTATTTATTTAATTCTCATAATGTGAATATTTATAATATAATATTTGTTATTCCAAAATTTAATAGATGATGTAATAAAATCAAATGTTATCATCTGCTAATTTTTCACTTATGATAATTTTTTGCGATTCTTTAGAGTTTTCCTCAAAAAAATGAGATTTGGGATTTAATTTAAATAGGTTATTCGTCCTTAAATTTTATTTGTATGTTTAGGTGAGATCATCACTTAGTTTTCTTGTCTTTTACCTTCTCAACTTAATGCTATTGGCCTATCCTTTGATGCAATCCTTTTTACAGGTTTGATTGACATAATCATACACCATTACATCATCTTAAAAATCAACTTTTTTAGTGATCAACACATCAATATTTTTTTCTGAATTGGCGAATTCATATTCCTCCCTTGACACTTAATGAGAATGGGAATAAACTTTCGGTTTATTCATTAAATCGATGTTGAAAGACTTTCTTATAAAAATCTTCTCATTAATTTCAGGTAATTTTATGCATTCCAATCGATTTTTGAACATCTGAATCCCAGGATCCCTTTCTTCTGATTACTCTGTTTGGGAATGGGGAGCTTTAATTTAAGGTAGAACCAATTTTCTTTCTTGATGTTAGTGTTTTTTCGATATTTCATTCAAATTAGCATGTAAAACAAATTGTCGATCATAATTTTACATTTAAGAATCATATCTATTTATTGAATTTGATTCATATGACTCTTCAGTTTTTAAGTTAAGCATTGTATAAATTAAAAATAATGATATTTTTATCAATTGAAATTATATTCTGTTTTAAGCCAATTAAATCCGAAATAAATATTACATAAAAACAGTACTAATTTTATTCAAGATTTGTAAAGATTTTCACATCATGCAAACGTCTTAATCCAAGAATCGCTTTATCAAACAACTTACGTTTTCCAAAATGAGTCCTTCCACTATAACCTTAATTTGTAATTTAAGAAAATCCTTATTCAAGAATTATCGATCACGATTAATATTTTAATAATAAATCATTTGTAGATTCTCTATAACACTTAATTTCCTCCTCACTACTACTTTCGCATTCCAAATTTTGATTCCCTACTCCCCACGCTTCCATGTATGTAATAGTGGGTGTCTGTATTGAAGGATCAATCAAATCACCTAAAATGTATCTACGATAATAGAATACCCTTTATGTATGGTTCCCCTTACTTTGCTGCATAACTGGATTATTATATATTTTGAGCAGAGATCCACAATCTAAATTATTTCATGTCTCCTCCAAATCCCAATCCTTTCTTGTTGTCAGTTTTATTTAAATAACAGTAATTTTAAGATCCAGGTCTCTTAGATTTAAAAACATCGGTTGCAACATTAAAAGGAGTATAAGTCGGATACAATTAAAATAATATCGATTAACTTGTTCCTTAATATGAATTAGTCTCAATCCACTAAGTTGAATTTAATGCTCCCACTATGCAATGTTTATTGCTTTTAGCTTTTATTTTTTTTTATTTTTGATTTTCCTCTTCATCACTGTCATTTTCAGTGCTATCATCAAATTTGATCAATATGAGAGTGGCTCCCTTAAATCCTATTAGAGCTGCATACAATTAGTCAAAATTCCATCCCTTTACACTAGTCCACAACAATTCAAAGGAGTCTGCTTCTTAAATCACAGAACTACTAATGGCCATATATCCAAAAGTAGAATTATTAATTAAATAAGAAGGTTTTTGAAACTTTGACAATTGATTATAATTTCTTTGAGAAATAAACAATTGGTTGAAGTATTTTGTTAATAATATTGATAAACAAGGAAAGTTTTGCTCTAAAAATATTGTAAGTTCATAGAACATTATAGAACCTGCAGAAGATGTAAATAGTCTACTGAGGATAGATCTTGTAGTGTATTCATCCTAAATTAAATAATCTGTAACAAAATATCCTTATTCCCATATAAAGTATTCAATCTCACTCAATAAATCAAATGCATCCAAGTATGAGATCTTTTCCTAATCATAATCAATTTTAGCCATGTTTATCTTTTAAATTGAAATAATTGAGTATTATTCTGTTCTAGTCATTCTATTTAGAGTTTCTGGTTTAGTCAATTTGCCAACTAAAATACATTAGATTTACTCTCACCTAAATCTTCAAATGCTTCAAATGATGGTCTCTCATCAGAGAAATGAAAAACCATGTATTTATATAATTTCAGAGCAATGGTTGGCCTGTTTTTCAGGAGATATTGAAAGCATTCTTCATTCAAATAGTCATTCTTGTAAGTTCAATAATCAAATTAATAACTTACTCATCATGTCTAGAAATGAGTTTCTTGTACAGTCTTTTGACTTATTGTCTCTCCTCATCATTCAAAATTGTCCGTTTTGGTGATCTTTTGGATAGGCAAAATTCATTTCCCATTTTATAATTAATTTTGGGAATGTTATAATAAACATCAAATAATCGACATATTGGAATGGTTAAAAACTTCATTTGAGTCACTTCCTTCTTTTTTACCAACCTTTTTTATATATAATTCTGTCTTAATTTATAGAATTATTGTGTATAAAATAGCTATGTTAATATATATAGGTAGATTGTCTAATTCTTATAGAAATTGGTAAGATAAGAAATTCAAATTAAGAGGAAAATATTACATAGAATTTATCATGAGTAACTATTTTATCTAATGCAATAAAATTACAATTAAAATAATTAAATTTTATCAATGATGCAGCAAAGAGATTTCTATGGGAATGATTACATATACAAACATATCAAACAAGTAAGTTTACAAGAGTTTACTGATTAATTATTCAATCCCGTAAGGCATTAGAAATAAATGGTATTATTTACACAGAATGAATAAAAAGAGCAATAGGAGCTCTATAAATATTATGTCTATTTAGGCGGTGGAATATTTGCAATGTCAGCCTTATCAGTAATTTTCTATAAAAAAATTCCCTATCTTAATAGAATAGAGAAAAGATGGGCTAGAATATTGACAAAAGCATTGTTACTCTTTGGACCCCTCTAAGTAATTTGATTTCTCTATCATATAGGTCTAATCTATTTTTGGTCAAAGAGCTTAGTATGAATTACTAGATAGATAGTTTATATAATATCATAGACAATTATAAGATTATATGTTCTCTGGCGACATTAGAAAACTTAAACAAGACATCCAAATCAGTCCTGTATGATTTAATTTTATATTAAGAAGGTGTTTTTAATAAATATAACTGTCTTCATAAAATTATTGCATTTTCATCAATGTCATCTTCTTAATGTCCAACATGTAATAATCTCTGCAATTCTAATTTCAATATTTTATGAGCTATCAATATGGGTTTGATGCTTGAGTGTTGATTTGCTTGACTCATAATTCTTTACTCGAGAGTTTTTAAAATAGTGTTCCACTCTGAGAAGATTTCAGGAGTAACATAGGGTTGTAATTCTTTCAAAGTGCTTTCTATTTCTAATTTGTAATGTTGCCATTCCTACCTCACTTATAAGAATTACTTCTCTACATCATCATTTGTCTTTACATTAATAAAGTGATTAAGAGCCTAGAAAGTAAAGATCTGTTGGCTCACACATACCGAAGTAAATCTATTAAATGATAGACTTCGTTCATCAACTGAGATAATGTCTGCTTACTCATAAAACAAATTCATTGCTTCTTTAAAATTGAATTTTTGATGTTCTATATGTCTAAATAATGTAATAAATTCATTATTATTAATCTTTTTGTTTCCATCTAAATCTGCAGCTTGGAATGCATGAATTACAAACTCCTTAGTTCTTATAGTAATGATTCTATATTTATTCATTACTTTTATAAGGAAATTATCAACATCAATCAATCCTTATTTATTTAAATTTTTAGGATCTGGTTCCTTTAAATTTTCTAAATCATTCTTCAAATCTCTTAGTTCATCTTCCATCATTTTGTTTTCCAAATAGACCTTCATATAATCCAAAGCTCTTAAATAAGGAACATGAAACTTTTGTTCACTTTCACTTTAAACAACATTTACTCCTAATGTTGACTCGGAACACATGAAATCATAACCCTGTAAAAAGAAGGACGACTCTTCAATTGAAAAGTTCAAATGCTCGTCCTATAGTATGGCAATCATCCTTGCAAATACGTTTACCCTAAAAATGGATGAGAAATGAATTACTGAAAGCAGAAATTGCAAGTATTTCTTTTCAGCAACATTCTTAAACCCATATCTATTTAAAAAGTTATTAAAAACAAATATTTGCATCTCGAGATCCTTTTGTGTCTCATTGTCTTTGCTACTCCTAACCTTTTCATCATACAATTAGGTAATTGTTCTTAACACATTCTTCAAAGGCCAATAATTAACTACCTTCTTAAACAAATATGATTGTTCTCTAGCCTTAACTGCCAATATCACTCCTGGATGCATCAATCTGTCAATTACATTTACTTTGGTTTGTTTTTATTAAAAATTAAATTGTAATGCTTTTGTAATTCTATTCTTCTTTTTCTTAAATTGTATTTATTTCTTCTTCTCCTTCTCTTCCTCCTCATCTAATTCAGTTATAATATACTCTTCTTCTTAAATCTCTGCATCCAGTTCAACTGGCATCCTTTTGCGTAAAGAATCAAATTCCACTAAGAATTACTCAGTTATTTATTTGTGACTCTATTATTGTGTTCTTAAGATGTGAATCATCAACTTTCGAGTGAATGAGAAGAGCTGATTTAATAATCCTGCAAAATCATTCATTGATTTCGTTAAGTTTTATGATTTCTGAATTTATAAGTTATACAACATAATTAACATTGCAACTTAGGTTTTCAATTGAATTTATTCTTGTTTGTTTAATCCAAATTTATTAGCAATAGAATTAGCTTACAAATTTTAACTACTTTGAACTATTGATGAATTTGAATTAATGATATTTAGGTTTGAATTAGTTAGCATCTAAGTTTAGTTGAGTTCATTGGGTTAAAACTCTTTTACAGTTGGTAATGCCAACTTATCAGAACTAAACATCTTCTCCAAATGCCTTTTATTCGACTTTTAATTTTATTTTGAAGAATTAGTATTAGTATTATTTTTTACAGACTAGACTTCAATTTTTTCAAATGATAATTTCTTTAAACTAAAATTTATTCTTTTTTGACTATTAGGCATTGGTGATGCTTCATCCATTTCTGCGACTTCAGCAATCAACTTAATATTATTTTTAGAATCCTTATTGGTAGATCTCTTCTCATCGCTGTTGATTTCTGGAGGCTCTACAAACATAGATTACTCTGAGTCACTCTAAATTTATTTTTCTTATGGTTCTTCTTTATCAAACAAATCTCTCATAGTTTTCATATTATTGACAAATAAATCAAACATATCTTCCTTCTTCATATTCCTTATATGATCCATGCTACCTGGCAATCCATCTAATATTCTTATTAAACTTGATCTCTGGTCCTTGGTTTACTACACTGAAAGATGAGATTAGACATTCTTATTACTTGTAGATTGTTGTTAATCTTCTTAGAGGAAGAAACCCATTTATTCTTTAAGTTAGTATTCTTTGAAATGCTAATCTAATTCTTATTAATTGACTATTTTATCATATTACTGACCTATTAAATTCAAATCGGTTTAAGTTTCAAAAGTACGAATAGGAATTTCAGTTTAACAATAAACAGAGAAAGTGATCTTTGGTGGTTCATCCACAATGTCTTTAACAACTATATCAGGATTCTATTCAACACATGTTTTTTATTCAACCTCTTTTAATACTTAAGATAATGATAAATCCTATTCCTCCACATCCTCTTCAACTTTAATAGGTTAAAACCCGGATTACTTCATATACTAAATCTTCGATATTTTATTTCTTAGCTCTTTTATTTCTCTATTTAAATTTGATATCAAAGTGGCAGCACCTCTCTTCATGGTTTTATCGAGTTCATTCTACTTTGTCAACTTTTAAACTGTCGCAATCAAGTTTTGTTCATCATCCTATTGAATTTTCAATTTTTGCTCTAATTGTTATATGACTTTCTTGAGATCAAGTATCTTTTCATTCAATCCATCTTATTGTTACTCAAATTCTACCTATTGTTCCAATTAATTTTTGTAACCCATTATTTGCATTTGTTTCTTATCAGACTCAGACATATTAATGGTTTTTCTAAATACTTTTATATAACCTTTAAAGATTGCTAGCATTAACTATCCTCTTTCTGTACATTAAAATGAAACCTATCTAATCAATTCATTCAAGCATATAAATAGAACATCACTTGCTTATTACAATTTAGATTTGTGATCAATACTTGGATTTTAGGAGATATTCTCCAATTGATTTTAAAGCCATTTCTTTAGATTAATAGCATCATTTCTCCCAGTAGGCTCACTCGAAAAGAAATGTGTACTTGTGTGTTTCATGTCTTTAACTACCCCAAATATTATTCAGATAAGTACGTATTTTTTTCTTGATTGATAATTTCCTCTCAGTATGCTGTATGCTTGAAATGTCTTCAAAATAGCCCTTTTCTAATCCATTTTCTATGGTCGTTTTTAAATTTAGCATTACATTTTTCCTATTCCCACTCACTTCCTTTAAGTCTTACGCTACCCAATTGAGATTGAAGTCGGAATATTTTTCTAAAATTTAAAGTACATCATCGAATGTATTTTCGAGATTTTATGTTTTATAGTAGTACCTTTGACTTTAAATCATATATTCCTGATTGTGTCTTCTCTCTTTTTGCTAATGAATATATTCGCTTAATCGTATTTCTGCTATTTACTGCTTTTCCTTTATTTACTATTATAGTGTCTTATGTCTAAATGAATCCGCAAGATGAGAAATATCTCTTTAAAAACTTGAAATTGATTATATTTTGCTGGAACGACTTGAGGTAAGATTAACTTTATAATCTAATAAATTTTTTAAGAAACCAGTTGTAGTCCCTTTGGATTAATTTAGTACTGGAGAGTAACTGTTCATTATTAATATGTTATTAATAAAAACTATCTAAAATTAAATTATTCGATAGCTTTTTGTTTTCTAACAATAAATATTATTCAACTTTGGAATTCCGAAAGATTTAATTTTATTAAAATATTAATATATTCATATTTTTGAGTAATTATATAAATTAAGATTATTCTCCTATAATTAAACGAAAAACCTTTCCAAAATGCTGCAATCAATTAGTTCTTAGTTAAATGATTGATTATCAGCTTAGATTTAGAAACCTGCAATTTCCATACTCATTAAGTTTAAATAGAATAAAGTTTATTTTTATGTTTTTCCTTATCAGATAAGGAGATTGATGTAGCAGTCGATTACAATCATAATTATAACAATTATTATTTTAATATTATTTCATTATCTTAACTCAAAACTTTCTAAACATAGAGGGCAATAATAATTTCTTTTTTATAATTAATCATCCAATATAAAATAGTATTCACACCCTTGTCCATCACAAATCTTGATCTTCTATGAGTTATTCTTTAATAGTTTGTTTCTCAATTCAGCAATTTGATTTTCATAAAGTTAATATAACAAAATTTATTAAACATTCGTATAGTCAGGATTAAATTTCATTTAACAATTTTTAATACAAATGTTCTTAAATTTGCAAGTAGAGGCCTGCTTAATCTATTCGAATAACCTATTTTCCACATCTTAAGTAAGGGAAACATGTTGGCAATATTAATTCAAAAGAGAACCACTAGAAGTGATTTTCTAAACAAAATAACTCTATGAATCATTCTCGCTATGTTGTAATAAATTACCACTTTCAAAAAGATCTCCAGTGTCTCCAGATTTGCTTTCAATCTGATTTGGATTTAATCTGGGGCCTGTCTAAGAATTTAATTCTGATTAACTAGTCTAAACCAATTATTGGGATCTATTAGCTCAAAATTCAAATTTACAATTATAGGAGGTTCTAACTTAATTAGAGGATCTGAGAAATTTATTTTTTTTGTTTTCTTAAGTTAGTTGGGAGTGGGTCCATTAAAATTGACTGAAATAAATCTTAAATAATAATAATAATATTTTCTATATGGTTAATAATATGGCTGCAACACGTTGAATACTTTGAATAAGATTTTTGAAAGTAATAGTGAAATTAACGAAAAGAATAAGTGGAATACGAGTTCATAATAAATTATTATTTATAGCAATCACTACATGCTAATTGATCTCAACCTCTTTTATTTGTTGAATTAACTCAAATTGGAAGATTTTGTAGTATCATTAGCATTGTATGATAGCAAACAATAAATGCAAATTGGGAGATATAATTAAGTGTCACACTTAACCCAAAAGAACGTACATGTATTACATTACTTCAAATTAAGTTACTCTTAGTATTTTTAGTAGATGGTATCAAGTTAGATTTTCAAAAGCTTCCTTAATAACACCTCAGAGGCATATTATTTTAACAGTTTATTATTTATTTTTTTTCCGCATATGCAAGAAATTGTTGATTTTTATTAATCCAATTGTTGCTTAATGTTATTTTGGAAACAATCAAAATGATACTTATGTTTACATTATGTTGTAATGGTTTGAGAATGTGTCTGTTGATGTTATTCTAGAGTTATTATGGAAAATGATTAGTTTTCTTCTTATTTGGAGTATTGATTATCTAGATGCAATAGACAAAAATTGCATACTATCTCTTTATAATTCACAAGTGAATAGCCATTTGGGTTGTTCCCATTAAGAAACTTATTTCTCAATCTAATGATTGGTTTAAAAGCAATTCGTATTTTATTTTTCTAATTTCCTTGCCCTTCACTTGTACCAGATGCACTTAAATCTACTTTCTTTTTTATTTGTGAATCATAAAGCTTGGGGTTGATGTCTTCTGTGCTGCAAGATGAATGTTTTTTTCTTCTCTTTTCATTGCGATTCTGCGGCCTAATATATAGGGTTAATTTTTTGTTTAAATTAAAGCAACTACTATTTTTTTACAAAATCGTACTAAGATACTCATAGTCACTTAATTAGCTTTACATTATTTAAAGATTAATTATAAACTAATATTAAATAACTATTGCAAACCTTTTAATTATCCACATTTTATAGAAATTAGTGCAGATTAAGAATCTAACAATCCATTAGTATTGATAAAACAGACAATCTCTAGTACTAATGAAAATGGAGTTCCACAATTTGTCTACATTAAAACATGGATTCTAGACAATCTTCTATGGACGAGTTCATGATTGCATAATTTGTGAAATTGCAGAAGTTTTGAAAAGTAAAGTACTCATATTATATTACTATAATGATTTTAATTAAAACCCATAATATTAAAATTAATTCATTAATATATAAAGAGAAAATAATTAATAGTAAAACTTAATCCTTCCAAGATTCAAATTTAGAAAGCTATCCAAGTTTAAACCTATTTAATAGGTTGCGGGCAAGGCTCCTATTCCGGAAGCTGAGCTCGTTCTAAATTAAACAAACGAAATCATTTTTATCTTATATATATTTTATATGCAATATTAATACAGAGTTTTTATTGACAGAGATGTGTCAAAGTGATTTTAATAATGTCATAAAATAATATATTTAAATTATGTAATTCATATATTCCATCAAAAATTCACGTATTAAGGTTAATTAATATCCTTAATATGTGATTGCTTAATACTATTATTATTGGCATTATTATTCTGCTGTTTTGTAAATTTAAAACTAATTTATTAAATTATGGGAGTTTGCTAGTCTCGTTCAGATAGAAGGAAATCTCTTAAATAAAAACAACTCCAAATAGAGAGTGAACAAACAATCTAAGAGAAAGTGAAAGTTAAAGAAAATGTTGTTCCTCGTCATAAAACAATGCCTTCAATACATTGCTACTCATCAAAAGAAAAGTTGGTTACGTGCAAAAGCGTGATTGTTTCTAAAATAAAAAAGAGAGTTTATGGAGAAGCATTGGCCAAGTTTTACACAGTTCTCAATTCATAGTTTGTTTATAAAAGTAGTCTGTTTAGTAATCTTTAGGTAATGACAATATGGGACTAGTCCAGCACAATGTTACTGGTGTAGTAAGAGTGGCAAGAAACATCTTGAAACCCACTGAACCTAACCAAGATTTTGACAACCTCATTACTAATCTTCAAGAATAGAGCTATGTAGTCCAAATTATTTAATTTCTAGAGTTCTCTGCATTTTGCCAACATCATTGAATTATACCAGGATTCCAAGAGTTATTACGCAATATAAGAGTATTGCAGTGGAGGTTTGCTTATCGATAAGTGTGGTTTAATCAAAGAAGAGGAGGCCATCTACATAATATCTCAAATTTTGGATATTTTGGAGGAAATTCACAAACAAGATAATTGTCATGGTAGTCTTTCGATATCAAGTTTTGCGTTGCATGATTAAACAAACAATCATTACGTGAAATTGATTGATGTCATCCCGGTATTTTAAGCCAAAGAGAAGTCCAAGATTAGTGAAATGCAAAAGGATGATCGCTAAGCGGTTGCCCTAATTTTATTTTAACTGATAACCAACAAACCAATTACTTCTTAAACAGTTGAAATGATTATCAAAAGACCAAAAGATCTTCCAACGAGAACTGAATGGTATCAATTGGTCGTACTCTTGTTGGAATCAAGGAGCTCCATAATTTATGAATCAGTCTTATAGAATAAACAATATAGACAAATAGTACAAAAGTAGGAAGCCAGATACACGGAAACCATAATCAACAAATCTGTAAAGAGAACCTCATATATTCAACAAAAAATTCTAATTATAATGAATTCCATTTTTTTCAAAGAACGGTAATTGTAATTAGAGAAGATTTTTAAAAAGAATGACGAAAATAGAAATGGTACACTTTCAAAAGAAGAACTTCAAATTGCTTTAGGAATTGAGGAGATCATCGATGATTTGTTTGAGAACATCGATTGCGATGGAAATGGGGAAATTGATCTCGATGAGTTTATTCTTCATTCTTGCGATAGAAAAGCATTAATAACCGATTTTAATTTAGAGGCCACTTTCAAGGAGTTATCAAGGAAAGAGTACATAGTGCCTTCAAACTTCAGCAGATTGAAAAATTGCAATGAAGAGAAGATTGAAAATGACATGACAAATTTCTGTAATAGCAAAAGAGTATAGACTTATTTTTAATTATAGATGAGTTTGGAATAGTTCAAAAAACTGATGATGGATTTATTATGAGATCTGCATTGTCTCCTTCGAATATATGATGAATTTTTCAAATTTATAATAATTATGAATTATATATTAATTTTTTTGCTGATAGGCTTTGCCTCTTGTTAGTGTTAAGATGGGTATATATGGACTAATACGGGATGTAAATGTAATTTAGTGTTTTTATATTAAGTATGCCAAAGCCTTTGTAGTTCATGTACGAATGGGTAATGTGATTAATGCCCTCCTTCCTATTATGGTGACTCGACTCATTGCTATAGTAATCATTTAAATAAGCTAGATTGTAAAATTGGATGCTCTACTTGCACTGATTATTAAGTTTGCACATCATGTGAATCTCTGTATTACTTCCTTGTATAGAATACGTGTTAAAAATGCACTTTTCCTTGCGTAAAATGCGATCCCTAAGGAGCTTGTTTAAGTTGTGTTCCTGGATACATGGTAGTGGGAAATAATTGCTTGCAATGTCAAAGTCCATGTATGTAGTGTTCTGGAGAATTATATAAATGCACATCTTGTCAATAAAGTCCTCCCCAATATTACTATCTAAGTGCTCAATCTTGTCTCTTGTGTGAATTTCCATGCGTAAGTTGCATCTCAAAAAACAAATGTACTTCTTGTAATTAAGGTTACTATTTGAATTATGATCAATACTGTACTAAATGTATTGAGCCTTGTTTGGAGTGTAGTAGTCAAACAAGATGCTCGAGTTGCATTAGTGAAGTATATTATTTAGCCCCTGGCGATAATTAATGCCAAATTTGTAGGAATTTTGATTCCAATTGTTTAACGTGTAAAGCTGAACACCAATGCACTTCATGTGAGACTGGTTACTTTGTTTAAGAAGACTACAGGGGTTCATAATTGATTTCGACATGTCAACCATGTTCGTCATAATGCCTAACTTGTTCTAATGATTCAAATGAATGTTTGACTTGTAACAATGCCTTTCAACCACCAAATTGTAAACAAACTTGCAGCTCATCACAATTCCAAGTTGGCATATTATGTTATCCTTGTGCAAGCTAATGTGACACCTGTGAATTAAAATCTATTTAATGTTTAAGTTGCTCTTTGAATAGAATAAGCCCTCCATTATGCACATGCAAGGAAACCTACTTTGATTTCAATGGAGTCTGCACTCCTTGTATCTCCAATTGCAAATTTTGCTTCAATCCAGTCTCTTGTTCGAAATGCTCGGATGGATATTATTTATAATCAAATGTCTGTGTTTAACAATGTGATCCTCTTCATTATATAAGAAGAGATTTCAGCTGCATTTACTGCAACATCAATAATTGCATTGAATGTAACATCAATGGCATTTGCGATTAATGTAAACCAAATTACCTGTTATACAATAATCAATGTTATTTCTAGTAGTGTAATTAAGGATAGTACACTATCGATAATGAAAATTGTTTAAACTGTCATTATAATTGTTATAATTGTTTAAATTAGCCAGATAATTGTGTTGAATGTTATAATGGTTATTACCTCCTAGAAGTTAACCAGATAAATAATTGTGTTGTTGAATGTCCATTAAATTATTATGTACAAAATAAATAATGTTTAAAATGTAACTCCAATTGTTAATAATGTTTGCAGGAGAGTGTGTGTACTTCATGTGTTGTTGGAAAGTATCTACTAAATAATAGTTGCCAACAGAACTGTCCAATCTCCTATTATGAAATAGACTAATAATGTTTGAAATGTCCAAATTATTGTGAAGTGTGTTATGATCAATACTGTTACAAATGCTAAGTTGGATATTTATTCTTATAAAATTCCTGCTTAGAATATTGTCCAGATGGTTATTATGGAGATACCCACTCAGAATGCAAGCCATGCTAAAAAATATGTAAGACTTGTGCAAATGATCATGAATGCATATCTTGTGCTGCACCCTTATTCTATGAAAATAATACATGTATAGGAAAGTGTCCAATCACTTATTACAGAGACCTTGTGGATAACATATGCAAATAATGTATAGATGGGTGTGAGATTTGCGAGAATGAAACATTCTGTTATAAATGTTTGCCAAATTATGCTGCATTTAAAAAACAATGTGTGATAGAATGCGATATTGGATATTACATAGAAGATTAATATTGTAGAGAATGTGATTTCAGTTGTTACACTTGTCATGGCCCAACAAAGTTTGATTGCACTCTTTGTAAGTATGAATTGAAAGTGTACAAATCAATGTGCATAGATGAATGTCCTAAGAACACAGTCTTAATAGATGGACAATGCAAAGAATGTCATGAGACTTGCGATACTTGTTATGACTCTGGCAACTTGAATTGCTTAACATGTAAATCAGAATATATCTTATTAAATAATGGGTGTTATGCTTATTGTCCCACGTAATACTATAAAAATAAGGGACAATGCTTGAAATGTTAAGACCATTGTGATATATGCATTAACAATTTGTCATGTCTTCGTTGTGAGAATAACTTCTATTACAGTAATGGTAATTGTTTATCAGTGTGTCCAAACGGTTACTATGGATATGATGGTATCTGTGAGAAATGTCACTTTTCATGTGCAACCTGCAATGGAGCATTATAAACTAATTGTGTGACATGTACACAACCTTTAGTTTTCTATAATAATGAATGTTTATCGGGATGTTTAAGTAGAATGTATAAGGATGCATCCAACAATTGCCTACCTTGTAAAGACACATGTGCAACGTGTACAAACAGTAATAATTGTTCTGAGTGTATTTATAATTACTATTTGGATCCCTTTACAAACAACTGTGTCTTATAATGTGACGTTGGCTATATGCATAATTTCAAATAGAGAGTATGTTAAGTTTGTGCTACTGGATGTTAATCATGTTTTGGGTAATCGAACAATCAATGTTTATCCTGTTTTCCCAATTACTTTTTTTATAAGAATTAATGTTGGTTGGATTAATGTCCATAATCAACATATGAGGAACAAGGTATTTGCCTAGAATGCGATTAAGATTGTATGACATGTGATGCATAATCACCATGTATCAGTTGCTTGCCTGGTTATTATTATTTTAATTAGAAGTGTATTCAAACATGTCCAGATGGATATTTTGGAGATTAAAATAATAAGTAATGCAGTTAATGCAAATAAAACTGTAGAGTTTGTTGGGATGCTAATGGCTGTGGTTATTGTTACAATCATTACACTAATAATGGATAATTGGATTATTTCCTATTGAATAATGACTGTGTTACTACTTGTCCTGTTAATTATAATTACTTCCTATTTGAATGCACATCCGAAATCACTCCAATCTAATTAATACAAGATGTAGCACAGTATTGTCATGATGATTCGGGCACTTTCTTAGACATCACTTAAAATAAGTGTGTGAAATGTTATCAAACATGTTAAAAATGTTTTGGACCTTGGATGGTTCACTGTCTCGAATGTACAAATCTGATTGTCAATCACTATTGTGTGGATACATGTGGACTACAACTTTATTAAAGTGGAAACAAATGTCTGCTCTGTCATTCTAGTTGCTAATACTGCGAGTCCAACAATAGAATCGATAATTGTATTAGTTGCAAAAGTGGAGCATATCTTTAATTAGTAGAAAACTAGTCCTATGGTAAATGTGTTAACATTTGCGATGTCGGTTATTACTAAGATGACATCAATAAAGTCAATGGTCAGATCATTTGTAAATTATGTATATCCAATTGTCTGACTTGCTTAAATTAAGGTTTTTGCACTTCCTGTGCTTAGCCAAAAGTATTAAGAAATGGATCATGTTTGGACAATTGCAATACAGATGAATTCTTATCTAAAATAGATAATAAATGTTATAAATGTAAAGGAGGATGTTCTACTTGCACAGATGCCTATTCTTGCACTGCCCCATTGATTGGTTCTTCGCAAACCTTATATCTATAAAATTATCAAGTATATGCAAGCTGTGGAGAGGGATACTATGCATATTAGTTTAATTGCGAAGAATGTCCAACTGGTTGTTCAATCTGTAGTGATAGTAATACATGCACCAAGTGCAGTAGCTCTTATGTTTTATTTAATTCCTATTGTGTTGTCGGATGTACTGGCAAAAGCTACTTTAATAATGGTTAATGCTCACCATGTCATAATAATTGTTCACAATGCTATGGAGATGATGAAAACTCTTGTATTTCATGTGATAATGGATTAAAATACATCTTAATTTATGATAGCATTACCAGCACTTACATAACTTATTGTAAAGATTCTTGCATCCAAAATTACACTTATGATATTCAATAACGAATCTGTATGTATAATACTTGTCATAGTTCCTGTTTGACATGCGTAGGAGATCAATAAAATCATTGTTTTACATGTCCTTAGGGCAAGGTGTTAAACCTGGTGAATTATAAGTATGGTACTTGTGATGGATCATGTTCTGTTGGAATGTATAATGGCAATGGCATCTGTTAAAAATGCAATGATTTTTGCTAAGAATGCACAAGCTATACTTCTTGCACTGTTTGTTAGCCAAATCTTTATCATTTAAACAAATAAATATGTTTAATTTAATGTCCCTTAGGATATTATTAAAATGTTGATACTTTTACATGTGATCAATGCGACTCTGATTGCTAAGAATGCATCTACCCAAATGTTTGTATTAACCCTCTGTAAATTTGTGCATCCAATCAATTTCTTTTTCAAAATACATGTATGGATTGTCATTGGACATGTTTGACATGTGATGGACCAACCTAATTCGATTGTACAAATTGTGGATACTTATAATTAACTTCAGAACATAGATACATGTACTATACCTAATGTTTACTACTGTGTCCAAAGGGAACTGACAATTACAAATGTTTATAATGCCAAGAATAATGTGAAATATGCTCCTCCAATCAGGAGTGTGTTTCCTGCTTTATAGGATATTTCTTGTAAAATGGTGATTGTGTTACCACTTGTAATCAGGGGTATTATGCTGACCAGGAATTTTAAATTTGTAGAGAATGTTTCACTGGTTGCTTAGAATGCGTTGGACCAAGATACTCAGAATGTGTGCTTTGTTAACCCAATTATCTACTTTCAGATAATAGATGTTTACCTTATTGTCCATACAAACACTTTTATAATTTCATTTCAACCAAGTGTGAGTATTGTGATAGTTTTATTTATGGAAACTCATGTGTAACTGAATGTCCATTGCAGTACTATCCTATTAATAATGTGTGTTATCTATGTAATAATAATTGCACAAGTTGTCAAAGTGGTTTGTATTTGTACCAAAAAACTTGTCTATAAAATTGCATTACTGGCACATTCAATGTGAATGGAGTTTGCTAACCATGTGATGTTTAATGTCACACATGTGAATCCTAATCAGATTATTGCATATCGTGTTCTAGTGTGACTCGTTATAATGCACCTTTTTGTGAATGTTAAATAGGATATCAACAAGACTCTCCAAATATGGATTGCATCAAATGTGCTAATTAATGTCACTCTTGTGTTTAAACTTTTAATAATTGCATTAAATGTAAACCAGATAGAGTACCTAATCCACCTGCATGTACTTGTCCCTATGGTAAATACGATAATGGTGTTAGTTGTGTTCCTTGTAAACATGAATGTGATGATTGTTTAACAAATACCCTTTGTTTGTTTTGTAAAGGAGATAGAGTTGGTGCTAATTGTTTATGTCGATTGGGATATTACGATGATAATTCTAGTTTATACTGTAAGAAATGTGATCATTCATGTACTACATGCACTAAGACTGGTTGTTTAGGATGTTTAGGAAATAGAATTTTAAATAATAACAAATAATGTCTATGTCCCTAGGGTTTTTATGAAGATGGCGAATCCATAAATTGTCTTAAGTGTCATTTCAAATGTTCAACTTGTGCAGTCAATCAATATAATTGTCTAACTTGCAAAGGTGATAGACAATAAATTCCATACTGTAAATGCAAAGATGGATAGTATGATGATGAGGTTAATACTGAATGCTAATCTTGTCCTATAGAGTGTTCCACCTGTAATAAGGCTAGTTGTTTAAATTGCAAGGCCAATAGATTTGGTTCAATTTGTGATTGTCCACCAGGTGGAATTGATAGACAAGATGTTGGATATATGCATTGCGAGACTTGTGAGTTAGGATTACCAATTATTTAAATGTAACTTGATTTAACTACCTTGATCATCAAATTTGGAAAATAAGTCACTTTCGATATTGAGAAAGGATGCTCTGAAATCATTGATACATCCATCCTTGGTGTCAATCCAAAATGCAGTATTAATGATTTATCATAAATCGTTATTGAATTAGGAATAAATAATTCAATTGAAATTGGAAACCTTATCCAATTATATACTAAAATCACAGGGTTGGACTGTGAACTACCTTACACAACTATATTTCCAACTAATATCTAACCTCCTTACATCATCAGTGATAGTGATGTAATGATCTTTGGGCCTTCATAAGTATCAACCTGCGAGATTACTGAATTCAAGGTATCTTAATACTTTTTTGATGGCCAAAATGGATTTAAAATGGTTTCTTGGACTTTGGATTCAATTTCCCCTTACAATTAACTTACCGAACAATAAATTTATGGTATTCTTTATGAAGTCAATCTTTACAAATCCACTATTGTCACCATTCCTCCTAATATTTTACAAGAAAACACCCTCTATAAGTTTAAATATTAATTCATTAATTACTTAGGATAACATCAAACTAAATATTATCAGGTTCAATGTGTGTCTCTTAATTTACCTGTCATTTCAATTTTATTTGAAGATCAACAACCTTAAGTCTATTATATAAATAATCGAATTTCCATAAAAGCAACCATTCAATAATAATAAAATTGTGACTCACTCAGTCGTATTGATGTAAATACATTTTACAAAATTCAAGCCTATTACAAAAACACATTGATTGTTTTGGATAAGCAATTTCATTTCAAACATGCTTCTGAAAAGTATGTTGAAATAGTTATTGAACCCTACACATTCTCCTAATCAGGGTACTATTAAGTTGTCGTGATGGCTACATTTGATTAATAAAATATTAAGTCAAAACCTATGACTTTCAAAATGCTATTGCCTGGAATTTCTGCCAAAATCTATGGAGGAAATTAAATCCATAATTTTGGGCAGTCTTTTAATATCACTGCTATTGTAAAGGATTTAAATGTCAAAGAATAACAGACTAAAGACATAGAATATTCATGGACATGCTCTAATATGGTATTACAAAAACCTTGTGAAACTGTTGATTAATAACCATTGATAATGATAAACCAATAAATCATAAAAATTATAGGTAGAACACTGGCTCCATTTAATTCTTATTAATTTGTTTTGAAAGCACAAAAAGGGAATGTCATTGAAACTACTTCAAGTATAATGACGATCGTAGATATAGAAATTTCAACATTTTCTCTGGATACTCCAAGTATTGCACTTAATACTCCAATACTGTTCAACCAAGAATTGTTGTTTGAAGTTTCTCCTCTGCAAATTACTAATCTACACGGATGCATTATTTATGACTTCTAGCAATTATCAACATTTTCTATTCCTTATAATACTTTTTCAATTTTCCTATCTAACCTTTTACAAATGAGACAAGACCAAATAAGACTTTAGATTTTTAGCACTGATTCAATATCTTTAACTCCCCTTTTAACTAGTGTTGATATTACTACCATTTAACCACCTTTAAATTGTAAATTCAATGTATCACCCTTAAATGGAATATCATTTTAGACAACTTTCAAATTATAAATATAAAGTTGTGTTGATTAAAATAATCCGATCTATTACAAATTTATATTCTATTATAATTCTACTCAATATAAGTAAGATATCCTTAGGAATTCTTAAATAAATGCAGACCTTATTATCGATTATTAAACACTAAACACATATTCCACGATACTGCCTAAATCAACTAATTCACATTCCATAATTATAGCAATTATTAAAAATTAATTAGGGGCTCAAACTAATTTAACCTATTCTGTCATCATTGGACAGGATTCAAATGAAATAAATGAGAAATTATTACAATCTGAGTCCGAGACCAACTCGAATTAACCAAAGTCATTAGAATTTAATAGAAGGTTCCTCTATGATGATTTCGAAAGTAATTTAACAGCTTTATACTATTAATCAAAAGATTTAAATATAGACTAACGCCTATCCTTGTTGAATATTCTGACTATTGGAATTGAGTAATACGCAACACCATCTCATCCTATGGATAGTATGAGATCAATTTTATACTCTGATTTGTAAACTTGGTTAGATTTACCCCTTATAACAGAAGCTACAAGAATGCAGATAAAAAAGGCAAATAAAAGAATAATAATAAATAATACTAATTATTTATAAGATTTCAATTAAATTTAAATTTATTTAACAAATCTAAATTCAAGCTTATCGAGAAGTATTGATAATGTTTTATTCATCATTAATTCAATCTCCTAAAATTAAGCTGGATACAGAGATTATTAATAAAAGGAAATTGAGAAAAGTGATATGATGTATCTATTGTCTGCTCTTGATTATTTACTCAAATCTTAATCTAATTTTTACTATGATTATTTTAATGGAAACATTTCATTATTAAATGAGACTATGTATCAAAGTATTTCTAGCAATTTTGAGTCCATTGTAAACTTGTTATAAAAGCTAAAATATGGATTATTATTGGTCTAATAAGTTAATGATGTTCCCATTAAATTTTCAGGGTCTTCCTTTACTCTAATCTTTAACCGGCTAACAACAGAAAAGATGAATGAATATTTAAGTGAAATTGAATTTGTAAAAATTGTTGATAAACCAATAGATAACAGTACTCAAATCTCCTAAAGTTTATTGCTGAATTTCAGTTATTGTCATTACTTAGAAAATCCCTTTATCTTAAATCCCTCATTTCCTAATAACACTCATTTTACAACAATTTAATCTATAGAGCCTACTTTGCAAAATGGCAGTCTATTAATCCCTACCTAACCAATTACAACCAAATACAATGTTACTTTACTTAGACCTTAAAGACTACTTCAATAATATCAAGACCTATATCTCATGGAAGAATAGCCAAATTATGTGGATTTTGTTTGTACAAACAAGTATTTCGCCGAATGGGAATCTAATCTTTGCAAAACTTCAATAGAAATTGATGCATATTCCTCCTTACTCATAGCATGTGATTGCTAATATTTTGGTCCCACTACTATTAGCAGTGTATTGGCTGATATATTGGAGGTTGATAAATTTTCCAAATCTTTTTCTTTAGAGGCTATTGATGCTCTTAATTAATTTCCATTTCATCGTTCAGTAATTTTCTATTGCTTAGTAATTTTTACTATCATTCTGATCGTCTTGTTGCCTTATGGAATAAAAAAGGATTAGATTGATAAGGAAAGAGCCATGCCTCAACATATGATTGAATCAGAATATATAAGAAAGATGTTTGAGGATCGCTAGAAGGAATTGCAAAAAGAAACGGAAAAAATATAGGAAGAAAGACACAAGGAATGGAAAGAATTCTATGAAAAATAAAATCTAATTCAAATTGTTATTGAAGACAAAGAACAAAAGCAATAATCTTTGGATAAGGATGAATAAATATAGGAAGTTATTATTTCCCCAGACATAGACCCAGATGAAATGATAGATTAGCAATAATTAGAATAAAGTGACAATAGTAATAATATCAATTTGGACATAAGTCAAGACAGTGATGAGGAGTTTTAATTAGAGGAATATCCGCCAATCAATATTTCCAAAACGAAAAAGAAAATGACAGCTCCTTCCCCTTATGCTAAATTCTTTTAATTAAAAAGTGCATTTTCCTTGAACAATACAATTGTCAATAGACTATATTTGCATAGTTCATTATATGAAGAGAGCCTGTAAAATCAATAAAACTAAAATTAAAAGAACCTCATTCATGAAAGACATAGTTCAAGAATTTAATCAGATTAATTTTCAGTCAGAAATTCTGAAAATACCTAGTAGATTATACTAAAAAAGAGTTCCACCAATTAATCTAAAAATTATAATAACTCTGTTAACAGCTAAGCTAAAATAAATGATTATCCCCCCTTATCACCAAATTCAGTTAGTCCAATCGTGGGACTTTATGATTCTAACTAAATTCTCTAACCAAATCAATTGGGTTAATCTGGATCACAATTAGAGTCTCATGTACACAGTAACAGTACTAAAACTGCTAAATATTAAATTCCTTTTAGAAAATCTCAAGAACATATTTTATTTTTAGACCATGAATTTTATGAAGAGGATAACCTGTCAATAGAGGAAAAAGAAAAAGTTATTTAGATTTGGTATTTAGAAAAAAAAAGAAATAAATTATTGGAAGAAGGGTTCAAACTTAGATTTACATTAAAGAATCTATTCTTGTTCTTAAGTTTGTTCCAATCCCTTCTAAGCATTATTGCAATCTTTGATAAAAAATTACCTCGGCCAATTAGGTTTTGTTTAATTTACATGTCCATCTTAACTGCGTGCTATATCAATATATTCTTTGAAGTCGAATTGAATCCAGCAACAACCATTGCTTATAGCATTCTTTCATCTATTTTATCAATGTTAGAATTAATAATCCTCACAATTATGATGCCTCATTAATACATAATAATCAGAATTATTGGTTGGCTAGGCTTTTTAACATTAACAGGGCTATTTAGTTATTTAATAATTGTATCTATGGCATTTGAAGCCTAAGAATCTGAGGGTGATGTATCAAGATCTAATTAATGGGGAATCAATTTCATTATAAGTTTCATTACAATGAATTTTATTACAGACCCGGTTTAATTGATTGCGTGTTTCAAAATAATTTAATGGAGTTTCAATAACGCTTCCCCTTAGTTACAATAATTATTTATTATGCTCTGCATGAGTAAACATTTTAATATTTACTTTGATTTCATAGATTATTGAATTGTATGTAAATTTATATTATACATATTTATTGTAATTAGTCTTTACTTAAAATATTTAATTATAAATATTAATAAATATATAAATTATGGATATTGATAGATAATGTAATCAATAAAAAATAGGATTTCTAGTTGCAAAATAATAATTGTTGTCCAAAGGATTAGATCAAATATGGTTTATGAATTATAAATTTTTAATAGAATTGAAATAAATGTTAATTATAATAGATATTCTACTATACAACGAATTAATTAAAACAATACTAATATTAAGCAAAGAGTGCAAATTAATTATATTATATAAAACTCATGCATTATGAGTTTTTTAGGAGTAATGAGGATGACCAAAACTTTTGTCATAAGGGACCTAAACTAATTGGAAGATTCAATTTTACATCCTATCATAGTTCCATTTAATCAGCAAAGATACCTTAACTTTAAAATCAACCAAGAAGAGTTTAATACTAAAATGGCTCATTTCTATTAAAAGGCTTTAGTTATGATGGAATTTCAGATGCATTTATAAAAAAGAATTTCATTTATTGTAAATTTATCGTCAAATATCACTATAAACATTTAGATGTTATGTAGGAATATGCTAGTACCCTTGAATTAAATTAAACTAATCAACTAATAATTTAGATGTATAATAATTTTAGCACTTATAAGGTTTAATTGAATAAAGGTTGGCTGAATAACAATATTTATGGAAAAAGTTTAATTTAATTTTAGAAGAATTTAATTACATCTCTCTTCTTAATTATAATTCTCATAATTATTTATATATTTTTCCTTTCCATAACAATTCTTTGTGCTCTCACTATAAATAAATTTGAATTAAAAATTTCATTAAATAATTGCAATTCTAAGATGAGATGATACTTACAAACTTTGGAATTGGTTTAGGAAAGAAAAAAATCTCCTCGAGTAAAGGAACTTAAATCCCCGCAAAAACAACTAAATATTCTTTTGCATATGTAATAATCATATTTAGTCATCATTAGAAATACTCAAAAATTCTTAACTCATAATTTATTTTAATTTCAATATCGTTGAAAGTCATAAGAAATAGAACCTAATTTTGTTCATTAATACCATATGGTATATCTTTAAAGAAAATAAAATAATAATAGAAAAAGGATTCATCAATGAAATTACATTGGAAGACCTTTATATACAAATAGACTTTGTATTTGCAAATATATATAGCATAGATTGTAAACTAGTTGAATCAAGCAAAGATAAATAGTATTCTCAATCAAAAAGCGTTAAAATTAACAGGATAATTTACAACTCTTTCAATGCACAATTACTATTATGTATTGCTTTTAATGAAGATGTCCAAAGCTAAATGATATTTGCAATAATTGTAATATATATTTTGATTATAATTGCATTGAATTTTGTCTAATAGCACTAATGTTTAATTATTCGACAATTTTCACAAATTATTTGTATGTTCTGTAATAATTGTGTGGCATTATTAATCATCTAAAAATTGAACTTTAATCAACATGCACCCAACTTTAAAACATGATATTTTTATGATTGTGTATATTATATAATTATCATTCAGATTGTTTCAATGTTATTCTCTGAGTTCATTTATTTGTGATCTAATCTTCAATAAAGTTGATTCACAATATTATCTAACTTGCTCACCATGATTGTGTGAATGAGGTTCATTATATTCTCCCTATTGAGGATATTATTATTATTCTCACATAATTAAATTGTATATCGCTATTATAATAGCTGATAATTCCTATTCCAAAATATCCAATGATTACACCTCCAACCATGTGGGGCTAGCTTACTACACCCCTCTTGATGAATCTCCATAATTAATACATATTTTTTTATAAAAATAATAATAATATATATATACAATAGTAATTAAGTATTTTTAATCTAAGTCTTTCAATGATTATGCAATGTTAGAATTGGCATTTCCATTATGAATAACACTCTCATCCAAGTTGATTCCGATTTTTGAAGAGAATCATTCGGTTGAACCAATTAGAATATTTAAATATAAGATAAAAATGATTTCGTTTGTTTAATTTAGAACGAGCTCAGCTTCCGGAATAGGAGCCTCGCCCGCAACCTATTAAATAGGTTTAAACTTGGATAGGTTTGGTAACAATAGTGAATCTTACGACTGAAATTAATTTTACAAAAAAAATTTCTTAAATATTAAACAATTAATTTTATTTTTATGGGTTTTAATTTATATTACAAATTTTCTATAATTATTACTGAAAATCATCCTGTTTTAGGAATTGTTTTGTAACTTGAAAGCTGCTGTCATTGGAATTTTTAAGAAAAACTATAAAAGGGAAATAATGTTCAAATAATTATTTATGTTTTAGTATTTAAATAATATTACAAATAGTTAAATTGGAATAATATTCATCTACGTAATATTTTCCATATAGTTTCTCTTTATGATGGAGGTGTCATTTTTAAGGTGATATGAGCCTTTCTTGCTTGTGCAATCAACTACAAAAACGAGGGATTGTACTCCATGCACAATTAATTATAGTTTACTGCTGTTGTTGACCAGGGATCAGCCTTCTTATCTAAAATGTACTTCACAATTTTTGGATTTCCACCTATGATAGCAAAATATAGTGTTGGTCTTCCGATGATATCTTGAAATTCAATATCTGCCCCATTTTCAACTAATAGTTTAACAATCTCAAAATGTCCTCTCTTACAAGCCCAATGTAAAGCCGTCATGTAAATCTATAAGTGTTTTCAATCACGCTTACATAATCGAAATCGTAAACCAAATATTTGTTATCTTTAATAAACTCTTTGACTTCCCATTCCTTTCCTTACTTTGCAGCTTAAATAAATTCATAAGAATGCTCCTTTTAGAATGGTTTTTGACTTATGACTTGATCACTGAATGCCTAATAAATATCCAAATTTAATCTACTGATATATTAGAGAGTTTTTTTTAACTCATGTTATATTTTTTTGAAATCAATTTTTCTTCGCATAATGTCCTACGTTATCGTTACGATTCGGTCTGAATTATAAAATTCCAACATCTCATCAAAGACTCCCATGTCTTGAACTTCCATTTCTTTTTTAGGTTTCTTTGTTTCAGTATTAATTTGCTGCGTTACTAAATTAACTTAGCATTCCCTTTCTGTAAAGCATCCGGTTTATTAAAAGGTTTCTTGGGACACATTTTTGCTTTTCAATCTTAACCTTAATAACTAAGGCCTGGGCTTACTTTGTTATTACAAAGATGATTGAGGAATTTCGACAGCCTTCTTTTTTGGTTTGATGTGAGTTTTGCTATTACTCCTTGAATGAAAATTTTTGTAATCAATTGCTTGTGAATTTTAAGTTCCTTTAAACAATTTGCTTATTTTTATTTTTTCATTTGTACAATATGATTTCACCCATAATGACCCATCCCTTTCCCTTTCAACATTTCTAAACTCCCTGCAAGTCTATTTGATTTATCTAAATATTTCCCTTTTTAGTTCTTAGGGTTTTTAAATTAGCTCAAGCTTTTTCATTTCCTCCTTAAAATCCATTTGTTTTGAAGGCTAACTTAATATATCTGAAACAGCTCTGGATTTTCTAATTTTTTATTCCGAAGCTGCTCTGTTGAAGACAAGTTGCTAGCTTAATTTATACACTTTCAATGTGGGTCTTTCATAGTCGAACTCATATACTTTTGGAGTAAATTGCATTATTAATTTTTACAAAAATTCAATTATAGACAATTATTCTTATTCATAGAGATATTTAATTTTTATTGCTTATTTGAATCACACATATGATTAATATGTAAATCACATCAGTTTTTATCTAAATCTATTTAAAATACATTTATATTAATGAATTGCGATATACCATGATTAAATCTTAAAAAAGTAAACTATTCAAGCTTAAAATATAAAGATTTAGTTTAAATAGTTTAAATCCATTTATATTCAAATACACAGTAGGAATAGCTTAAGATTCTTATGAATTAAGACTTTGTAATTGTTATTGTTTTTGGTTTAATTATATTATAAGATATAGGATTTGAACTTTTTAAAATAAAATAAATTCATGTAAGTTTTGCAATTTTTATGTGCATAAAAAAGTATGAAATGATTTATTGATATTTTATTTGATTTTATAGCATTATACTTTAAGTTAATTTATTACGCAAATTCCATAAAGTCTTTCTAATTCCAGGTTTTCTATTGCGCTCATGATGGCATGTTGCCATAACTGATAGACTATGGATCATCTTATTTGTTTATACAGAAATGAGTTGGTAAATTGGTGTTTATCAAGATTTTTGCTTAAATTTACTTGAGTTTTAGTATTGCATAAATTTATTGAAGAATCTCTAAATTATTATAAGTAGTCGTATATTGAAGTAGTTTACGTATTGAATATGATAATATATAAAATAACAATAATGAATTCATAATAATTGTTCAACTAGATATTCAACAAACATGCGAGCATTTGAAAGTAATTTTGTATGGGAGATAATTTGTGTTATTAAGTTGCTTTTTTCTTCATCGAGCTGATCACTTATTATTTTTTATTATTCACACAAATTTTCATATGAATCCTATTGAACACTTAAATGTTTGTAGTTTCTAAATATAAATTAAACAAATACTATCCCAAGACTTCCCACCTATATCGAAGATATTTGTAGTATCTGTTCTTTACCATGGCCAAAGTTTTTCCTGGAAAGTGTTTATGAATTTTTTAAAACTTAGGTCCGACATTTAGAACTAACTGTAGAATTTGCTTATCTTCCTCTGATGTGAATTTTTAACCTAATTTCTTGGTGTTAGAAGCATCAGAACTCCTCCTTTTTTTCCTGTGATAGTCATATTTGTTTTTTTTTTTAATTTTCTTAGGCTAGTCATTATTATTTATTTATGGATCCTCTAATAAATGACAATGCATAATTTAAATTATTAATTATATAATATTGAATTAAATATCATTCCATTCCAAATTATCCATCCATATCGGCCTGTATTACTGCTTTCAAATAGGATTCGATCTCTTCTCTAGTTTCATACATTGGTAGTTCTAATCTATTAAAACAAGTATGTGCTTTTGGGTAAGGATTAGCCTTTGTATATGGTACACTTTCTATACAAAACTTAGAACAGTTTCCCCTATTGCTCTCTAGTTTTCTGAATCCCTCTACCGGAGTTCGAGTTGATCCAGTACAAAATTATAAAAATTTGGCAAGATTAAATTAATCAAGTTACTCCAATATTTCCCAAAACCATTATATTGTTTAGTGAGTTCTGTAGTAAGCTCCCTTATAATCAGTATTATCTTTCCAGTCATTGATATCAATGAAAGGAGTTCCATATAGGATCATTTCCAATTCCAAAGGTTCAAGTAAGCTAAGAAGTTATTTTGGAATTATCTAAACATTAATCACTAATTTAATACACTATATAAAGTTGATAAAAAAGCAGTCAAAAACGGCTTAACTGATATATATGTATAATATTCAATGCTAAATTTTCTTATATAATTACCACAGATTAACGTATTCTTAACAATTATCCATGTCCAACTAAAGTGTTTATCCCCCCTTTTTCAATTCGTAATAATCTCCTTTACTTTTTCTGTAAATTACAAAAAACTCAGAGATATCATCTGCTTCAAACTTATTATTTACTAAAAAATCCCAAGATTAATATAACTAAAATCGTTAATATTTAATACTTAACGATCATAATAATAAATATCCTCCAAAAATATAGGCTAACCAATTATGTGTTTGATGATTGATCTATCAAAATAGATATTTAGAGGAATCCTTTCGAAAATGCATTTACCTACAACAATTCCTAATAATTTAAAACAATCTATAATATGTTCATCAGTATCTGCTTCACAATTGATTTTATAAGACACATCCTCGCAATCAGCTAATTAAAACATACCTGATTCTGGGTGTATAATTTCTTTCATTATTAAATTGGCCCATTCTCTTAATAAACCACCAGCATCCAATACTTTATCACCGTCTATATGAACCTTGACCTCCTTGTGCCAATTAATCTCTTTGTACATATTCAAAGTAGTCATTAAGAAACTCTCTTTGTTTACAGACAATGTTTCAGCTCCTTATTACCATGGTATTCTTTTTTTCTCCAATTGCAATCGAAACCATGTTTGTTTGATTGGAAATTCAGAATTTTTGATCTGAACCCAAGGCAAGGCTAGCATTTCAGAAACATTGGCTGCTGGCATAGGAGGGGATAACTGAGTTAAAATATTGTTTGACTTACTTTCTTGTTCCATTTGTATTTGATCTTGGAGCCAGGTAATAATTCTTTGCACCAATAATATTTTTATTTTCTATTTTGAAAATCATCCTATATATAATGAGGCTTAAAATTATAATAATAATCTTAGTACGGTGGTTCTTGGATTTGGATTTGGATTAGGAATATGATGATGGTTCGGTTCTATAACTACATCTCCAACTTACAAATTTCGAGGTTAAAGAGGTTGATTTTAAATTGGTCTAACTCTGCAATTCGTAACATGTTATTAATACTTTTTTTTACAATAATATTCTTACCAGAAGAACACTTGATTGTGCTTAAAATACTAAATGGCATTTTGGACATTATTGATTTTATTATAACTAGGGTTAGTTTCTTTTTAAGCAATTTCCCATATGAACTTATTAATTTTTATATAATATAATAATCAATTCTAATTCTATCTTATTTCCTTAATTTTCAATCCATTTAACTCAATAACTCAGTTACTTAATCAGATCTTTCTTTATTTTCCCATTAAGCCATTATCAATTATTTCACTCAATCAAATCTGCTGATTTATCTATTTAAATTAAAAATAAATTAATTTATTCACAATATATTATTCCAAATACCCAAAAGTATCATAATTTTTTTATTAATTAATTATTAATAGAATTCAATGAGCTATAACAAGAGCGCTATTTCAGGTACCGCATCAAGATAGGCAGACAAAAAACCCTCCAATGCACAAATTAATTAAGTTTCAACACAAGGTATATAAGCTTCACCAGCTATTGGAAACAAAAAAGTAAATAATAAATTTATTTTAAGGGAGTACTAGAATAATAACAACCCTAAAAAGCTTAGGTATAAGCTGGAGAAAATTTTTAATAGATTGTTACACAAGAAGTATTAGACAAGATCTAAGTTGAATTAAGCAAAATCAATAAATTAGAAGAATTATACAATTCATTAAAATAAGAGAATTAAGAAATAAAATAATACATAAAATTATAAGATCAGAGAATACAAGAATAAGATATGAAGATTCAGGATTAATAAATGAAATTAAAAACTTAAGAAGAGAAATTACAAAATTAAGAGGAGAAAATACAAATTTAAGAAGAGAAAATACAAAGCCAAGCATAAAATTAACAATATTCTGGAATTTTAGAACATATTAATACATTTATTTCCAACAATAAACATGCTCATGATATTTGGAAAAAGGCATAAGAGAATATATAAAAAAAGTAAGAATATCTAGAAAATGAGACTAAATAAATTGAAGGAAAAGTATCAGAATATTTAAACAATTTAACTTAAGCAGTGAATGAGCATTTCAACAATATCTCTAAATAAGTAAAGGATGAGCTTAAAAGCTATTCAGAATAAGTAGGTTAAACGCGATAGTTGGCAAATTAAAACCTAAACAACTTATCTATGCATGAACAGACATTAAATTAATTCTGTTAAAAAATTCAGAATTACTTTGGAAATTAGGGTCCTCAGATGTAAAATTAGATAGATAATAAATATTAATCTTTCGACCAAAAATAATATTAACCAGTGGATTAAGAATTTTATTACTCATAATATAATTAATAATAATAGGATTAATAGTAATATCAATAATATTAATAATAATTCTAACCATCAATTGAATAATAATCATATTCACAGTAGACTAGCTTTATCAACCCTCAATATTAATAATAAAATAACTATAGTGCGCCTTCATAAAATGATTAGAATGCTCCAACTCAACTGACATAAAATCATTAGGAACAACCAAGCAATACACAAGGAAAATCAAAAATTAGATTGATATCTTAAACTTCGCCACCATAATGATTCAATATTTTTTAAGATACCATATAAATATTTGCAATTTAATTTTCTGCTATTTCCCTTATAATTAATAATTTATAATTGTTTTAATAGAGTTTCGACAAAAATGTAGTAGTATAATTGGTAGTAGCACCTAAAATAACAAGAAAGGCAATTCACGAATAATTAGTTTGAATTTCATAATGTGAAAGACTTATAGATGAATATGAGCGAAAAAAGAACATCAAAGTAAAATTTTTAATGTATATTTGACAATATAATTATTCTATTGAAGGAACTTAAAAATAGATAATAGAAAATCTAATCCTATGTTTAAGATGAAATAATTGATATGAATTAGAAATTAGATAATGCTTCAAAATAACTATTATCAGCTATTGAACAATTTCAATAAGGTGAAAAAGAAGAAAATCATTTAATGTCCACCTTAAATTCTTCAAAATAAAATTTTTTCAAGTAATAATCATAAAACCCGACAAACAACAAAGAGATAGTACAAATTAAATTATAATAATAAGATTCTAATCCAACATCCTCAAACTCATTTAAATTGATAGCAAGCAAAAATGTAACCCAAAATTTATAAATAAAACCACCATCCCAAAATTTAATGAAGTCAAATCTAATGCAAGTATATCAAAATACTTAGTATGGAAATTAGTTTGAGCAAACAAAAAACATGAATAAGCAGGCACAAAATCCAATTAGCGAAAAAACCTAAGACTAAAGTGCCAATGTATGGGTTCCTCGTACGTTTATGAGTTCAGAGAAAGCTAAAAATACAACAAATTTGGATAAAATCATTATCACAGAAGAAAATTTAGATAATTCGCTTCTTAAAACTTAAAATGCTAATTAGTCTAGTTGCTTATATTGCAGCGGCGCTTGTTATTCTGAATTTATATCAACTCCTTGTTATCATAATTATCATGATCAGTGCTTAAGAGAATATTATAAATTATTATTACAAACATATAATTAGAATAAGAAATTAGTTTGTATATGTAATATGAAAATGCCGTAACTATTTATTAGTCGGAGTTTAAAAATTAATTTGAATAGCTTACTCGAAATATAAATAGAGATAATAAGGGGGAAAATAACAAATTAAATAGATTGGTGTGTAAAATGTAAGTTTTTCTGGATAAGAAGATATAGTGACACTTATACTAAGCAATGTAGGATGTGTGATTAAAATGGGGTCATCCTCATAAAGTCTAAATGAAATATCATATTATTAATAGTACCAAAATAATAGACTTTAATCAAATTTTGATAACAATTAATTAATTATAATGGGTTCTTTTTTTTCAAGTTTGTCCTCTTAAAAACCAAAAATGGAAGAAAAATAAGTTACCTTGAATAATAAAAAAGAATAACTGTAAACTAATGATGCGTTTATCTCAATGAGACCGACACAATCCATAGGAGAGCATATTATATAAGATGGAGAGTTCTCATTCAATGAAGAGTAATGCAAAGGATAATCTTCAAAAATGATAAAAGGATAGATTAATGCAACTATCTGCCAATCTCAGGAGGCTATAATTATAGATTAATCGGGTAAGTTGAATAGACACTTTAATGATAGCAAGCATAAAATCTTTTGTTATGAATGCAATTAAATAATAGATGAAATTCTTATTAAAATCATTTGTTAGCATACATTTCATTAGAATTGTTTTATATCAATTATTGAGAACTAATTGTAATAAAAAGATAAATTCATAATTAAATGCAAATGTGGAACCAAATTAAACTCAAATATATTAAGATAAATTGTAGACGTTGATATTAGATCTAAGTTACTTTACTAAATGTTTTCTGTTCAGGTATTAAAGATATTAATGAATTCCAACATCAGAAGATATTGTGATATACAATAAATTTAACAGATCATGGAGTCGAATACAAAGTAAGAGGACTATGACTTTGATTATGCAGAAAAAAAGGTTGAATTAAAAAAAAATATTATTGAATATTAATTAGATTAAAGTGGTATTTTACACCTTAGTCAATAAAAGCTATTTATTATTAGTGTCTGTTTGTTTTGTGGAAATGAGATAACCTCAAATTTACTAAAGTTAAATTGTGGGCATATTTATCATTAGGACTGCTTTATAAATTGGCTATAATTTTAAATTAAAAATAAAAAGAGTTCAATCATAAAATGCAGGTGTGGAACCAAAATGAATACAAATATAATCAGGAGAATTCCAGAAAGCAAAATTAGACTGAAATTGTTGAACTAATTATTTTCCGAATAATTAGTTGTACTACTGCCAAATTTAAGAAAAATCAATGATTTTGATTAAATCTACGAAATATTCAAGAGTAATCAATATACAGAGGATCAAGATTATGTTAGTTCATCAGGGTTTTTATATTTCAGTAATTACTCTACACCAGGAGGAGATTGATGAAATAGAATAATTTATAAAAATATATGATATCTAAATTTAATTCTTTATAAATAATATAGATAAATGTTAAATCCTAATTGTTTTATGTTGATTATAATGATATAAATTTTTATTCAGGCTGTGAGTTTTTAATTATTTTTTTAATTTTTTTCCTTTATTCTAAACATTCTAATGTTCAAGGTGAATCTATTTACAGAAAATAGGGATTTGGAATCATCTGAAAGTAAGACTTATCGTGAATCAAAATATTTTTGTTAATTCAATACAAACACTCCAGCATGATTCTTAACCCAAACCTTGATATTACTATAGGATCCAGACACTAAAAGTAAAGAATTGTAATTGAAACAAACTGATCGAATATAGTATCCTCCTTCGAGTTATTATATACATGTGAACTTCCCGTTTGGGTCATTTGATTGTTGATTCCAAACTTTGATAGTTTCATCTTCTGAGCCACTAACAAAAGTGTTTTCATTCTATGCAAAATTGACACAATTCACTAAACTTGTATGTTCTTCTAAAGTTTGAAAATGTTCCCAATCTTCATTCAAATACCAAACACAAATTGATTTATCCCCACTTCCAGAAATTAGGAAAGTAGAATCATAATTAAAACTTAATGATTTTACCCATTAACTATGTTAGATCAAGACTTATGAATTAATCCATTTCTCATCAGCCTCTATCCAAATTTTGATATTTCCTTCTTGACAACCAGAAGCCAATAAATTATTTAACTAATTTATGCATAAACAATGAATTTCCATATTATGAGCTTCATTTATAATTTATTTACAATTATACAACTTATTTTCTTTACTTTATAAATATTCATTCCAAATCCTGATAGTTTTATCATCACCTGCTGAAAATATAGTATTATTAATTTTTCCAAAACAGACTGCATTTATTGCACCCACATGACCCACTAAAGTCTAAAATTCTTTGAATCCTTCTTCTTGCTTTTGAAGCAAAACTAGATTATCTTCATTGTTATTTCCTTACAAACCACAGACTATTAGAGTAGCAGTTTTATTTAAATCAATGCAATGACATACTGAACTAGTGGTTATTTCTTCTTTTATTGTATATAACCCTTTGCTTTTTGCATCTTCACTTTTATCTTTTTCAGGCAGTTTTTCTGGCTTAGTATTCTTCTTTAGAGACACTTAGCTGAGTAAGTTCTCTTGGCTCTGTTGAGTTCCAAGTCTCTGGTGATATTAAGATTTGTAAAAGGCTTTGATGATTGAAGCTATCTTCTAACACTTTTATTAAACTTAGTAAATATTATGCATATCATTAGAGGGGATTTTGGCAACAATTTGATTGTCTTATTCAAAATCATAGTACTTGCTTAATATCTCTTGTAATTTCTCGAAATCCTATTCATTTAATTTATCGTCATAGAGATAATGTTAAATTTATTTGTCATTTAATTTATGATTTATCAAGCTGTTGAGACAATCTTCAGTATCATCAAGTAATTCGTCTACCTTTAATTTGATTTCCTTCCTCAAGCTTTCATATTGTTTTTGTAGTTCTTTTATATGATAATTTAATGGATGATCTTAATTTATATCCATGAGCAATTCAGAGGCTTTGTTGATTGCAATCTTGTTGTTTTAAGGGCATTTTTAGCAGAGTAACTTGCTGTTAGAGGATTTGCTTAGAGTTACATATTGAATGCTCTTCTGGTGTTGGGAGCACAGAATTTTGGAAGCCTTTTCCTCTAATTTGATCATTAAAAAGAAATAAATAATTAATCTGAAGAGAATAAAATCGAGATTGTATTAATTAATAAAAAACACTAATTTCAGAATCCTTTAACATCGATCACATAGGATCAGACATATGCTTGGTCATCATGATAACAATAAATAAGCAGATTTCATTTATTTATATTAATATATTCCTTTATAATTTTATGGGTGTTATAAATGGTGGTGATATTTTTATATTTATATTTATACACATAAATGGTTTGACTTCAATAATTTAAATCAAATGAGTAATTTGAATGCTGCGAGTCTATATGAAAATCTGCAACAACCTATCAGTCAATACTATGACAAGAGTTCAAATTTGACAAGGGAAGAATATTTTTATAAACTCTCGATATCAACTACATTATACTTGGGAAACTTGTCCATCTACACAACCGAAGAATAAATATTTGAATTATTCAACAGAGTTGGAGCAGGAGTCAGAAGATTAATTATGGGGAGAAATAAAGAAACAGGAAAGGCTATAGGGTTCTGCTTCATCGAATATTTCAATCATGAAGATGCAAAAGAGGCTCACGAGTACTTGGACCTCCTGAAATTGGATGAAAGAGCAATCAGAGTAGACTGGGACATTGGGTATTCAGAAGGGAGAGAATACGGAAGAGGCACAGGAGGCAATCAAGTTAGAGATTCATACAGAAAGGTGGCAGATCCAGAAAGACCTAATGTCCAATCAAACAGAGGAAGAGGAAGAAGTTATAATAACAATGGAGGAAGGAGAAAATAAGTCGATGAAGATGAAAGCGACAATTCTGGAGGTGGATATAAGAAAAGAGCAGGAAACAGATCAAACAATAATTATAAAGATTGAAAATTTCACATCCCATTATAATATATAGTTCATAGATTTATCAAAAACATATAAGGTTTAAGTTATTCATTATAACTCTATAATGTCCAAATACATACTCTATCTCAAATTTCTCAGTACTTTTTTGCTGATATCTTCTAGTAAAAAGCCACATTAATGTTTGAATCTTGAACAAATTCGTTTTTACCATCTTTTAGTCTATGTAAATTGTAAAATTGCTATTTATTAAGCATTACTATTATTGAGCTTTAAGATAATTTATCTTCGGCTTAACTAAATCCTTTATAATATCTTCAATTCCAAAATGCTTAGTCTCTTTGCTACTGTTTATAGAATATTTCCTAATTCAAATCAATTCAGAATAAAATACTTCATCCTTCTAAATTCAATATGCTTCTGAAAACAAGGATATTAATTTTTATCAATATATATCTTTATGTTAGGTATTATTTTATAAATGATTTAATCTATTAATGTATTTTTTTCTTAAGTGGAATAAGACATTTAAACTAGTTTTCTTATAGATTCTTTTGATAAACCCTAGCTATTTTGCACCTTCTCGAAATTTAGGTTTCTGAGCTTTATAAAGTCATTCAAATTTAGTATTAAATTAAGAATCATCTATGAGAAGGAACTTATTAATTGAAAACGATTTGAATTGTAAAATCATTTCGATAAACTGTTGTTACTCTTGCAACTTTGATGTACTTACATATTATCTTCTCAAATATGAATGGTTATATTTCCCATTAAGTAAACAAATATTAAATTGATTCTTTACTTAGTTTGAATAAATAGTTTGCAATACATTAATTCAATTATTTATTAAAGTCTCACCTTGGACAATGAAGTATTCAATAAAATTAATCTTATTTGTGTTTATCTTTCTTGTAAGTCTAAATTAAAAATAAAGAGACCTTTAGCAAATAAGATATCCTTTCCATACTTATTCTAAGTAATGAGCGCATTATTATATTTAAATTCAAAGTATAATTAGTATATTCTTAAGGGAGGATCAATAAAAATTGTGATGTGTGAAAATGTGTAATTTATAATTTAAGAAATAATTTTATTAATGGTTAAGCGTCTCATTATCAAATTAATAATTGAAGTTGGTTCAACAGTTGCGAAATCGTTTATGAAGGCATATTAACAGAGTGCAAAATGTATTCATGTGTGAAGATGATTAGAATAGGGAGGAAAGTCAGCAAATCCGTTTAGCGAGTTTTTGAATCAGACGATGCAAGCGGCGAATTTGACACATAAACCTATGTCAAGGGATGAAGCGTTTAAAATATTGTAATTGACAGCTGAGAAGGCTAATGCGGAAGAAATATTGAAAGTATATATTGTTATGGAGGATTAAGATTTATTGGAGATAGTTTCACAAGAATGATCCAGTAAAGGGAGGATCATTTTATATTCAATCGATGGTGCACAATGCCAAATGCGAATTGATGAAGGATTTTCCAGATGTGAATGAGAAGGAGATTTTGGAGAAGTTAAGGAAGGAGGAGGAGAGTCAGAAAGGGAAGGAGGAAGAGGCGAAGTAGGAGGAATAGAAGGAAAATTGATTTTATAAATACTGTATTGTGAAGATTGAATTGAATAAATTAAATTATGCTTTAGAGATTGTCTACAGTGTTCAGAAGACCAGTGTTTTGGCATGGGACACATCATCACGACAGCAATGATGCTACAAAAAGATTATTTGACACAGTCTCTAGCACAGTTAAAGGCATCTAATAAATAAACTATGTTGTGGAGCACGATCCAAAATTAACAGCAGAAGAGAAGTCAAAAATGAAGCAATTCCTTATTTATAGATATGATCCAGCTGTATATTGAGATGTTTAGATTATAGGATGAGAATGACTTCCCCAAGTATGTCAGCTATTATGTCGACTTGAAGAAGATACCTCCAATGTACTTGGATGCATTGCTATACATCAAAGACAATTACGATTCCTCATTATCATTACGTAGGTCCTGCAGAGAAGGCATCTGTGGATCTTGCTCAATGAACTGCAATGGTCTTCATAAATTGGCTTGTATTCATGCAATTGACACTGACTTGACATAACCAGCCTACATCACTCCATTGGGACACATGTTTGTAGTCAAAGACTTGGTCGTTGACATGACCAATTTCTACACTCAATATAAGACTATCGACCCATATTTAAAGAGGAAGACTCCAAAAGTAATGATTTAATAATAAACTAAAATTAGGAAGGAAATAAGGAATACATCTAATCGGTGGAAGACAGAAAGTTATTGGACGGTCTTTATGAGTGTGTGTTATGTGCATGCTGTTCAACATCTTGTCCTTCATATTGGTGGCATCCAGATAGATATCTCGGTCCAGCAGTATTGATGTAGGCTTACAGATGGATTGTGGATTCAAGAGATGAATACACTGATGAGAGATTGGAGAAGTTGGGTAATTGTCTAGGGTCTCATTATGTTTAGCTGAGGATGTGAAGGTGGAAGACTGTCAAAATATAGGAATGTGTTCATTTACATGTCCTAAGGGATTGGATCCACAGAGATCAATGAACCATTTGATGAAATTAATAGAAGAATACAAAGAAAGAAAGATTGCATCTGCAACATTATGATATATTATCATATTATATAATATAACAATAATAATCATAATTATTACTATTAATTAAATCTGAGAAAGCTTGCTCTGCATTTAGGACAAGTGGAATTTATTAGCAACCATGCTTGGATGCAATGCAGATGGAAGTGATGTTTTGGATCACATGGCAATATTAGCAGTTCTTCATCAGTAACATACACATGCATGCAGATACCACACTCTTGATCTCCTTGAATCTTTTCAGAGTGATAGAGCATTTTGCATGTCTTCTTAAGTTCATTCAATGATTGCTGATTGTCATAACTCTATTTCTTCTGTTTGAATTTGTGCCACAACATAACCGGGATTATGAAGGGCAAACATATCACTAATAATAGACTCACCATGTACACTTCCAAATATTAGTACATAGTCAAAAACAAAAATACTAATTGGAATGTTATTACATGTCTAAAACACGCATGATACAATTCTGGATCCTCAGGATTCAGCATCTATAATCTTAATGCCCATATTACTAAAATCTGAGTGCTCCAAAATGTTATTATTCCCAACAATCTCAATAATTTATATTTCAGTGCCACTTCGCATCGAATCTAAGCTGCCAACACCTTCTACTTCCTATCCATCTCTTCTGGACTCAAGTACAAGTAAGGATCAAGATCTTCGCTTATCACATATTGAGATTCTGATAATGCATTCACTTGCTCCTACTCTTCCTCTATTTAAATCATATGGTTTAGATTTTCTGCTATTTACATTACGATTTACTAAAATTCGAAACTTTATTACTATGTTATTTAAGAGAACACCCATATAAGTATGATACGCATAAGCAATTATCGAGTGAACAAGCACTGCCAACATCCAATTCGTCAGCTCGCATCTTTCGCAGTTGATTGTAAGAGTAAATATACTTGTCATCATAAACTTGAATATCGAATACGCTCGACACATCACCATTACATATTGAGTATGTTATAATCCCTTATAAAATATTTTTGTATATCTCCGATTTATTAACATAATTAATTGAAAAACTAATCACATTAATTTCGTTTCTAAATTATTTATCCTACCTTTAACAATAATTATTGATGAAAATATACTACACAATCTAATCAATGGAGAAGATCAAAATTACCTATAATACTAAATAGATTCAATTATAATTCTTTATGGAACCATAGAATTGCATTTCCTAATTGATTTTGGAGAACCTTTAGATTAATGGCATTTACCTTATATTCAAATAATATCATTTAAAAAAGATCTTCATTTAACTTATATATATAGGCTACTAAAATCAATGAAATTTAAATTAATCAATCTAATTTTTACTATTTATTAAAGGAGAAAACTATAAATAAATAAATAAGATCTATTTCAAACAGGTATAAATACTTAAAAGCTAAAGTATCATAAGAAAAATTTGTTTATTTTGACGCTAAGATAGAATGCTAAGTAGTTATGAATAGGGAATTATAAATTAATGATTGTAAATATAAATAGAATAATATCATACATAAACATACTTATAAAAAAGAGAGATGTGGAATGATGAATTATCATATGATCTAGATTATTAACCTAATAAAATTGATCAAATATTCTCGATAAATGAGTTTTAAAAATATTTAATATTTGTAACCTATATAGATTAATATAATAATAATCCAACTTTCTTAGTATTTAATGCTCATCTCAACATTTCATGATAGGGTCTCTAAATAATCTTCTCAATCTCAGGTATCATGTGCTATTGAAACTCATTGAAGTGTATTTATCCATCATTTGAATTATCAATGAGTTTGAAAAAATCTGCATACTCTTCCTAATCCAAAGGAATTACAATCTTCCATTTAAGTATATAAACTTACTCTAGTCCTCAACATTTATTTAAACTCATCCTTACTCACAGATCCAGAGCCGTCCTGATCGATAGTCATAAATATTTAGAATAGATCTAACTTGTTAGCTTACATGAATTACAAAAAGTGAGTAGCCACCAAATTTAGGATTTCTAAATATAGATACTAATACATTTCGAAGTTTTCTTTGTACTTCTCTGCTCCTTCATGGCCTACATCTTCTGATTATATGCTTTATTCAATACAATTCCTATATCATTAGTAGATATTCGACCATCCCCTTCCAAATCAAAATGATCTAAAATTAAATCATACTGTTCATTATTTAGTTGAATTTCACACTTAAGCAAAAACTACTTCATTTCAGTTCTCTCAACATTCCCACTATTATCTTCATCAATCTGCCTTCTTAAGTCTAAGATTGATAAGCCATTTTTATTGGCATATTCCAACAAACTGTCTACACATTCTCGGACGATGTCAGGTAATTCACCATCCTCATTCGATTATTCTACTTAAGCTCTGGTTATTTTAATTGGTCCTGAACTTGGCCAAGTTGAGAACACCATATCTAAATCTATGAAATTGAAATCCTAAGTCTATTCATATATTGTTTATAACAGAACATCTGTCTATTCCTCATCCAAGGAAGTCTACAACAGTGCTGTTTTAAATTATTGTCTGTTCACTAGACTGCCAGGCAATTGAGCAGCTATCGATTATTACGAACTTCCTTGTTATTTCTTTGGTTTCAGACAGGCCATCAAATCATCCTTTTTTTCATTGAGTTTTTGTCTTATTTGTTCATGCATTTGAATTTTATCCTCTCCAACCAATATATTGTATTTACCAATTGCTCTAACTAGAGTCTGCATGATGCTTTCATTGTCTTTTGTTAAATTGATGTTATAAGTGATTTCCTTCTCACCATAAGGTTCAATCAAATAGCGTGATATCAATACGCTTTCATTTTGATTTAAATTAAAAGGTTTGTTTTGTAGAATCTATATCATTTCTCCTAAGGATGTCTCATTAGTGTCTTTGGAACGAAACAAGTACAATTCCAATTCAGCATTTCTGATATTCTGTGCCCTTAGTTTATATCTCAACTAAGTGAGCAACTCCTCAATATCATCTTACCGAATTGAACTCAACTTTCTTTGCACTTTCCTTCTATAACTTTGTTTCTCTTACAAAGTAGATTGCGAATTCTATTACACTGTGTCATTCTGCTTTTACACTTCAGGTGTAAGTTCCTGTGATTTCCTCCTTTGATTCTGGATGTCTTCTTAAGATTGCACAGTGAAGACTTGTTCTCTCTTCCCACCGTATACTTGTGATGATTGAAGATTCCTGTTACTGTTGAAGAACAATTGTTAATATTTATCTTGCAACTCAATGAGCTCCTGTTTTTACTTTTCGTACTTCTCCTTAAAACTTTCTTTTTCCTTTGTGACTGTATTTAATTTATCTTAGAAGGTACTGGTGACATCTTTGAGTTATCTTTCTAATTCGTGAACCTTCCGATCCTTAATCATATTATCATTTTTTAACTGATTATTTTCTACAACTTTTTTTTCTAGTTCCAATTTCATTTAGGTAACATCCTACCCTCTTTTAAATTAGGGATCATTTAATTAAGCCTTATTGAATTATTCTTCTAATGAAGATAATTGCTTCTTAATTTAAGTCTTTTCTTTGATGCTTTTCTAATAGTTCTAATCTAATTCCTAATTCACAGCATTCAGATGTTTAATTTCTCCTTGGACTTTTTTAAGTGCTTAGTTTTATTGTTTTTTTTCAGATTAGCATTTCTGCAACTGTTCCTACAAAGTGAGAATTTGATCTTCAAAACTTTATTCTGTTTTAGTACTATAAAGTTGAAGAAATAAATTACGGATTCATAGTTTTCAGTATTTATTGATGAAGAAGCTACTTGAGGCGTAAAGATTCATCTGAGTAATTTTTCAGTTCAGCCTCTAATTCTTAGATCTTGGTCAATTTGGCACTCCTCCTCACTCTTATCATTTCCTCCTTAAAATCCTCCAGCTCTTCTCTCAACTCCTTATTTTGTTTCTTCAATTATAAAATAATAGTAGATTGCGGGACTTCGTTTGGTTGTTTCTTATACTGCTAAGCCATAGCATTAGTAACAGAAGATGGGTACTCTTCATTCAGAGGCTAAATAAAATTATGATGTACATCACTACATTTGAGCATGGCAGTTTCCTAACTTTTTAATTAAGCCTTAAGCTAGTGATTCTCCAATTTTAGAATGTTGCACATTTGTTTTGTCTTATTAAGCTCTTCATATAATCTTTCCTTATCTTAAACCATCGTATTGGGAATAGTCTTCTTGAATTCTCTGGAATTGGGTGGATCTCTTGTTTTGCTTAAATTTGAATATTCTGGGATACCTTGCAAGGAATTATTCATTTGAATCCTGATGCGCCTTGGTTACATAGAATTTGGGTCTTGAAATATGGATAATCAATATACTTGTAATGTTGAACATTTTGACGAAACTCAATAGCAGACTTAAATGATATGGACAATAGATACATGTGCTGGTTCCCTGTGCTAAATTTGAGGAGTACTTGTATAGGGTCTCATTAATTATTTTATTGAATTATATAAATCACTATTACTGTTCTGGTTCTTCTTCTGGAGGGATCTATTCAATAAATGGACATATTTCTTGCCATATCCGGATTGTTCCATTAGAGCCTAATAATGATGTGTGTCCATACTTGCAGTTACCAGCAATCGTCCCACGATCAACAAGGCTCTAATCTCTTCCTTCGTCAACTCATATGTTTTAATGAGCACTCCTTTCTCAGGATTCCAAATGCTTAATCTCCCATCTGAACCACCTGTAATGAGGTGTTTACTGTAGATGAGACTGCATAATATCTAGCCAGTGTGACCATCTTTTAAGGTTCTATTTGAGTAATGCTGTGATTAATTACTTTAATTTGGTTCCTTACTCAACATTCAAGATCTCTCCCAGTTTGTCCATTCCCCCAACCAATACTTGAGTGTTACTTATCAGGTACAAGTGCTACACCTTAGTCGTGACAACTGTGCGCAATGTCTTGAGGATTATTTTTGGACCGGTCTTTTCCTATTGACATTTAAATAGTTATATACTCTTTTGTAGGTCTTCACTCTTCCATCTGGGAATCCAGCTGCAAAGGAATCTTTATTGTAGGCAACCATTGAGATCACAAAGGTTCTGTCTACAGGTTCAGCATGTTCCAAAGCACCAGTCGTGTAATTAATTAGTTGTATTTTCCTATCCTCAGAAGATGTGACTATGCTGCCATCCAAATAAATGATGGAATACACACCCTTCTCATGAAATTTGAATTTGATATCCATCTACCATATATTATCATGTTATTTCCACCCAATCACAGTGCCCTCCTTATTTCCTGCCAACACCATCCCATTATGGATATGCACACTCAATATTTCTGCCTCATGCTACAAAACCTTATTGATGCTGAACTTTTAAGCATTCCACACTATTATTTGTTTGTCCTCCCCTGCAGTAATAAATTCATCTTTATTTATAAAGATCATTTAATTTATTTTGCCTTCATGCTTTATCAATTCTAAAGACGGAAACCTCCCGACTATCTATGTATCTGTGTACAAGGCACAAGTTTTCAGCATTTCAATATTAGGAATTAAAGTTCCAATAAACCAATGGTAAATTTACTTACGACTACTGGGTATTTATTATGGAAAATTTAGGACTTGGAATCCGTGAGGTTAAATAAAATAGATTTTAGGTTGTCTCTATCTAATCAACTCGGTGTTCTATAGTTATGCTCCCAATCTCCATAATCCTTACTATTGTGATTAGTCAATCTCGATATAAAAGTACTTCTCCTTTCTTTCGAATGTTATTATTTAATTCGATTCCTTCATGGTTTCTCCGTTTTCTTTAATCAAATACACACTAAAGTTCTCTTTTGGTATTGCTGCGTCAACCAGCAAATAGGAACAACGATCAGGTTTTAGATTGTGAGGGAATTCGGAATCCACCAAAAATTTACTTATGTTTGGAAATTATTTATCCTAGAGTGACCAAACCACCATCTTCCCTTAAGTAGTAAATGTCAACAATCTTTTCTCGTAAACCACACAGTCTCCACCATACAATTTCACAGGAGATTAAAAATATCTATGATTTTATAGTTTTAAATCTTAAATAGATTCAGATAAATGAATAAATGTTATAAAATTACCTTAAGTAATAAGGACACCATCTTCATTCTATAACACACTATTCACTTATAAATCCGAGTTTAGAGTGATGTTAGGTCCCCTTTCATGAGAATCTATACTGAGAGTATGTAGTATTCCATCCAATCCTCCGAATACTAAGTATTTTTATTCCAAGTTGAGAATCTGCAACACTGGCTTACCACTGCTTTAATACCCTTTAATTTAGATTGACTTGAGTTAAGTTGCATTAAGAGGCTTATCAAGGGACTTTTCAACCTTATAAATATAGATTGATTTGTTGCCATCACTTAAAGCAGCAATCTAATCATTTGTTATTGAGACTATCCTATTAATTGGTTCCACAGTCTAAGTTGCTTATTCTACCTCTATCTCAGAATCTATCATTATTTACAGCTATCTTTAATCAACTTTCAATAAGATCAACTTCCCATCGACACTCCCTAAAACTAAACCTTCAGACCCTACTCTACTCATGGTATTGATCTTCTTATTAATAGAGAGACTTGTTAATAGAACAAATTGAGACTCTTCGTTTTTTCTCAGCCAGGCTATTTAACCATTATTATCACTTAGCATCACATTGTCATCATCCCAAATAATAATGGAGTTAGCAGCATCAGACAACACATTATTTATTGTGTTATCAATTAGATAATTATCCAAATTCCATATGCTTACACTACCATTTTTTTAGTTAGCAGCTACAATCAAATTTGGGGATTAGAATGCACATTAGATGACTTCTGCATCAAATTAAGTTTTGGTTAAGTTTGGATAGCTTTTTAGTTGATTTGTAAAAACAATCTAATTTACTACATCAAATGTTTCATATGGCTCTTTTAAACTCCCCAATATCCAAAAATAAGGATTTAACATCCCTTATTCTTCTGCGAGAGTAGGTAGATTGCATTTCTCAATTCGATCGGGAGTTAAAACATACATCTCCTCGACCTAATCCATTTTTAATCTAGGTAAACAGGCCACCAATTGTAAGATATCTTTCTTATTTTGCAAATTCAAGAATTTGATCAATTAGATTCCATCCTTTGGATTTTAAATCTATTAGATGTCTTAGTCTTCTTAAATCACTTTTTTATCTATTCATAGTAATAATAAATTACTCTCCTGTATGATGTAGAAGTTCAAGAATTCTTCATTTGGCTTATTTACAATTAAGACAATCAATGAGTATTATTGTGGTTTCTGGATTATGTAATAGGTAATAGGGTTTTAACTTATGGTTTAAGTCTCATTGATCTCCTTGCTCATATCATAATAGTAAGGATGTGTAATTATGATTCTACCTTTGGTAACTAAAATAAATCTTAGCTTAAAATACTCTTCTTCTGTATTAATGCCTTGCAAATGCCATACTCATTTGATCTGTAACTGTACAATTTCTTATTCGATTCATCCACAACTTTAATGTATACATTAGCGACTGGGGTCTTCTCTACTAAATCAATAAATGAGAATTATATGAGGTTGATTTCGTTTTGTTATCCAGAAGGTGGTTGCAAATACTTGGGTTTCCTAATTCTTAGATCATTCGAAGGCTTGATTTAATTCTTTTTCTCTAAGGCATCTTTGACAGGATCATAACCTTCTTCTGGTTGATTGACTTTTTCTATAGTGTAGGTGTATTCACAAACTCCAGGACTGGTTTGTATTTGCTCTTTAAAAACTTGATATCCTATTTTCTTGATGTAAATGAAGAATTAGTTTGGCTCGACTACAATTTCATATTTGGCACTTCCAGGTGGAGATTCTTTAAGTACAGCTTCTTTTCCTCCTTTGAGAGGGATGATTTCTACTCTGCACTCTGTTATTGGAGCCATTTCACAATTTACAGTAACAACAATGCATGAGTGTGTTTATTTGCATAATGGAATAACTTAATCAAGAGTTAGGTTATCACTAATTAATTGAAATAAATTAATGAGCTAAACAAAGCAATATTAATTCGAATTACATGTGTTTTCCTTAAGAAGTCATTGGTTTCTTCAATTATTACTTCATACACATCCAAGGGTACATTAGTCAAGGTGATTCTGCCATCCTGGTTAGTTCTTTCTATCTTGTATGATGATTCTTCTTGTTCTTTCACGGTCTTTTGAGTTTGCCCAGAAAGATTGGAATATGATGATTTGGGTCTGGATTGACTGCTATGAGGTCTGAGGATTTTGTTGGTTCTGGAAGTGACTCAATATTTAATGATATTGGATACACATCAGGCTTTGAGTTCTCTGTTGTGTGGGACGGTAGGGTTGGATTCTGACATCGGTGTTTTTGATTTTCTGATCAGAATCAGCGTATTTCAAATCTATATTGAATGAAACCTTCTTAAAATATTATGGCAATTTGTTAATTATGCTGGGTATTTAGGGCCATGCTTTTGAATTTAATTTCGATCCTATTACGGCGAACCTCAACTGTCCCTTCTATTTGGACACCACCTAGACTTCGAAGCAACCTTGAATTAATGAAGGGGATGTGCATACCTAATCTTCTCTGTAGAAACATCGTGTCGATACTATGATCAAAATGATCGTAGAGAAGAGGCTTCAAGATGACCTTGACAATTGGAAATCTCTTCAATATTTCATTTTTTAGTTGTTGCGCATATGCCAGATAGCGTGTTTCATCATGCTTGGTAGATCCTGTGTGTTCATGACAATTTGTACTGCATTAACATATTCGTATACCAATATTCAATTGTTACGATCACGTCCTCTTCAGAAATATCCCTGAATTCTCTGAATTCTCGAAATCCCTGATGTTGTTCACTTTTATTATGAATCTCCTCATTTTTCTCCCACAGTTCTTAAAATGTTCGTAACTTCTTTATCTTCACATTCGTGTATGATAAGCCTGCATCTGAATGCTCATACTTGATCATACGGCTAGACCCAATCAATCATACATAAATACTCATATTTGAAGGTGCCCAGAGAAATCCAAGGGTTCCCATGGAGATCACGATTAAAATGATTGTCATACAGTCTTTATTTATAAAACGAACCACTACCTAGACATCACCATTAATGATTGATTTTAAGTGTACTTTTTCGATCTTTTAGTAGGTTGAGAAAGTTGAGACAACCTGTCTGTTTCCTAGTATCTGTGCATACAATATATATATATGTATAATTTAATAATTAATACTTGTATTATTATGAATAAATAAGTTTCATAAAAAGTTTGTTTAGCTTCTATATATATACAATTGACACTTTAATTGCCATGTCCATATCTTCATGTATTGCAGACACTAATACACATGGAAATCTTGTGAATCATATATTTAAGTCTACTCTTAATCACTATTACAACTAACAGCCGAATAGTTGATGTATCATTTTAATTTAATTTTATATGCTTAAACTCAATAAATACGAGTCAACATCTTGGTTAGCTGGATATCAATGTTGTGTTGTAATCTACACCTTCATTAGTTTTGGACTCATCCTGATATCTGTGTTCAATCAAACCAAACTATTAGATTAAGTAATTATAGATTCTAAATATAAAAGTCACCCTAATTTTATACGGATTGGGATCACTATCTCATCGAAGACATCCAAATCAAGCAGAACTGCGACGACGGATTCTCAAATATTCTAAATTTCACTTGGCCAGGAACTGAAAAAGGCTGTGATTGTACATAATCAAATGGTACTAGTATTTACAAATATAAAAAGTATGAAATCGACCATTATTCTAGTTATTACTATATGGAGTGTAGTCAATTCATGTTAGCAGAGAATTGTCATCCTAGAGAATAGATGGAGAAGTAATAATTTATGTATTGGCCAATTCTTCAATAAAGTGTTGACACACGTAATCATTGTATATCTATTTGAAGCATTCCAAATCTGTGCAAAAATGAGTCCATTTACGGCAATGTAAGCATACACATTAGACTAAAATGTGCAGAATTATAGAAAATGTGGAAAATATTTGAATGTGCCAATAACATCTCAGTGTCCAATTAGTCATTTCAATATCACTACAGATGGCTCTGGTACATCAATTGGAGATTCCAGTCTCTATTTTAACTATTAAAGAGTTGAGTCGGAATAAATGCCAATTACTCATTTTACAATTGGATATAGTATTCTAATTTGTTATTTCGTAACTAGATTCTATTTGTTTTTCTGTTGCAGAAATATCTAATTTTTATTATCTTGATAACATGATTGACTATCAATGCTATATAAAAGATAATCGTTTTGAGAAAGTTACAGATGATACACCCTATACCTAATTACTGTAAGTGAATAATGTTTTAAATAAATATACAAATCTATTCGGGCAAACTTAAAATTAATAAAGAAGTATTTTGTTTATCTATAATCATGTAGATGTGAATTTATTCTATAAATAGTTGACTAAATTTCAATTTAATTCAACAGAATAGTGTAAATTTCAAGATTTAGACTTTATATATAATTTGAATAGTTACATTAAAGATAATGTGATGGACATCTAATTGGCAGCGTAGGTGATCATAGGAACATAGGCAGGCATATTTGGATTTCTGATTCCCTTAATTTCAGCCCTTTCCATAATAGGGTGTAATTTTAAATTTGACTAATTAAATCGAAAAGGTTCTCATTATAAAAATCTGTTTGGATTTTGGCTGGGATCAAAAATGATTGGTGAAATACTATGCACTATCATAATGGCAGTAGATTTGGGTTATCAATAATCTATAATAAATCACTTTTAAGATTTTATTAATGCAAATTGTTCAGATGCTCTTACTTTAAATGAGATGACTGAGGTTAATAATGAATATAAAATTAAGGTATATAATTATGTACTCTTAAATTTCATACTTTGCATTGTCACAAATGTGATAGATATTTATTTAAATTATCTAATGTGCAGAGATAAACACAAGAAAGGAGTAATTATAATGAAAAAAAACTAAGACTTAATGTATCCTAAAATGTATACTTCTACTCATCCAGATGAGAACCTTATTAAGTCTAGGGTTTATATAATGCAGGGCATATCTCAATTTGATAAAGAAAAGGCATAACTTGAAGAAATCAAAATACCAGATGATAACATGGACATTCACAAACCAGATGAATGATATATATTAATAGAAATCAGTGTTTTTTTATATATTACAAATTTGTCATATTATAATCGTTAATGATCAACGCAGAAATGTATATGATATAATCAACATATTATAGTTTGTTATTTGTAAATATAAATATTTAAATCAGAGAACTCAACGTTTATCAAGGCAAATCTACATATATTTCAGTTGAAGAGAATATCTATCAAAATAATACATATTCATTTGTGGTTAAATACAGAATTTCATTGCCAACATGCTTATAAATTGAAATCTGCTGAATCTGTTCGAGAGCATTTCTATCGTTAAAATCTATTCATATCAGCCCATCGAAGTATTGCCTTAGATAATTGGCAGTATTATATATTATAAAATGGATTGAAAATAAAGATATTTATTTTTTTAATTTAAAATGTCTCTAGATAACAGCTTTGAAAACATGGAAGACTTTATGCTTTCCTTCTTTAATGAAGTGTAAAACGAAAATTAAAAGGAAGGGCAATATGTTTTAGACTCGATCGCTCAGGAAGAAGATTTAAAGCCTTAACTCTAAAATTCAAAAAGCAATGGGAAAACTTATCAATATTTGTTTGAAATTGTTTAAAGATTAAATGATATTAATTGGGTGGAACCATACACAAAAATCACTCCTGTTAAGCACTTTACTCCAATCACCTTTTGGTTTATCATTTGTTCTCAATACTTCTAAAAAGATGTAGATCCTAAAAGAATTAAGTAATCCAACTAATTTAAATACTAGCATAGAAGAGGAAATCTCAATAGATTAGAAGGATAAGGAGTCTTGTCCATACACATATTTCGATGATTGGTTCATTTTGGAAATGAGAAACATAGTAAACTTTAATCTAAGATAGATGGTTAAAAGAATTATCACCCAAAAATGATTTGGAATCATTATAAACTATAATTGAGGAGCAATTACATGAAACCAGGAAAGAATTACGATAGCAGATTGATGCAATTTAAATAGAAAAGCCGATTATGGACATATAAAATTAGCCTGATTTTATTTTGAAAGATCTGGTTGGATTGACTGACGTTGAAAATCAATATCTAACATTTCTTGAAAGCCAATAAAAGTATTATACATTAGTCTATTAATAGAATATATGATGAATTGATAATAAATTAATCAAAACAGTCTAATTTAGCGGGCACAGCTAGGAAACTACAAAATGTCTATAATAATTGTTAAATTTGTAATTAAGGAGCAAGATCACTTGAATCCTTATTGACTTGTTAGAAGTGTCAAATAATAGTCCATTAGAAGTGCTATGGACTTGAGAATGTCATAAATGCTTGGGTTTGTGATTTGTGTTTGAATTTTGGAAACAAAGGCAAATTTCTGAAATGTCCTCTGTGTCCAAAATTAGGAGGTGCCATGCGATAGACCACATTGCCAATGAAGGATTCCATATTTGAATAATCTAATCCCAGCTATCATACTTATGCTATGAATTATAGAATTGATAGATAAAGTAAGAGGAAATAGATAAATATGTAGAACCACCACCTGATGGAGAGGAAACATATAATTTTATGGTCCTATAGTATTCTTTGGATACTTTGATGGGAGAACCACCAAAGTCTGAAAAAATATGGGCTCATGTCTCATGCATGCTTTGGTTGGATTTTGATTTACTTAAGATTGATAAGAAGAAGTTTAACTATTTGTGCAGCATATGTAAAACAAAAAAAAATGGAGCCTGTCTTTTGTGTACCAAATCAAAATGTGGTATTGCATTTCATCCTGAATGTGCAAGGAGGGCCTAATTTTATATGGAATCTGATGAAATCTTTTGTTTCAAGCATCAACCACTTAAAATTAAAAGAGTTTTTGAAGATCAACACAACCTATGGAAGGAAGAAATTTACTATTTTTTTAAACAATATGAAAAATTAGAATAATTCTTGATTCATAAACCAAAAAATAATGATTTAGAATTCTAAAAGTTTGAAATCAAAGTTCAGCAAGAAGAAATAGAAGCTGACATTAAACTAGAAAATGAATAACTATTTCAATAAATTACTGATATAATGGAAAAAGATGAAAAATTCATTATTACAATAGAAAACAACTAAGTTACTAATATTTAATATCCTTACAAAAGATTATCCATTTATGATCTAGAAGAAAAAGATAGAATCTGGCAGTAATTAGCTAATGAGAAGTACACTCCAGATTAAGTCTATGTTCTCTATCAAAGAGCAATTAGGATGAGAAAGAAGAAGAAATTATCAAATACAATTTCTCAATTATAAATGACTACTCAATAAGAACTACCAAATAGAAAGAGGCATTCCATTTACTCAAGACCCAAGATATTTAAACGCCATAAAAAGTAATAAAAGTTCAATGGCTCAAGTAAAGTTTCACTGAAGATTAAAATTCCTAAAGAAGCAATTAGTTTGTAATATTGTATTTGCAAATAACACAATGAAAATGAGGAAATGATGCGTATATATTATTGATCATATTAGAATGTGAAATATGCTATGATTGGTATCATCTAAGTTGCTTGGGATTTCAAGGTAGTATTGAAGAGGCTCAAAGATTGCTATTCTATTGTTTCAAATGTGAATCGAAACTTACTAAAGAATAAAGTAAATATATAAGGAGATATCCTTAATATTTTGTGGATTCAACCTTTCGAGATCTGAAATTAAAGATTGGCATGTCACCACATGAATTAAGAATGCAAGAGAAGAAGAACTACAAATAATTGTCTAAATGAATAATATTCAAAATATAAACACAATTCCTATATTATTATGTTAAATAAACAAAATAAATCAATTTGCGCTGAGGATGATGTTATTAATAGGGATGAATACTAATTTTATGAAATAACCCACAGCTCCCATAACTGCAAAACCAATTGCACATGATGTTGCAATTTTTATGTATTCTATGATTTTAGATCAATCGGTTACCTCTTTTATCTGGTTTAGTGCATTTTCTTATGAATCTGTAGCTTTCTTGTCCAAAACTTTGAACGTCTGTTAGAATTCCATTTATTCCATTCAATGTCTCTTAACTCATAATTTTTAATTAAAATTATTATACGTGTGTTAATTAATTAAATATATCAATCTATTGTATTTATTTGACAAATTCAAGAAACTATTTTGAATACACATTAATTTGATATTCAAATGATTTTAATTCAAATCTTGATATTATATTTTGCAACCAATTTCCCATAGCTACAACGGTAGTTTTCTTTGGCTCTTTTACAGAATTTAAATTATCCTTTAGAAAAATGGCATATATCCTGAGAACTCCGTTTCATTATTGTTTATGATTACTCATTGAGATAATTTTTTTGACTTATTCTCAAATGAAATCTTCTTTAAATTTTTGTTGTTTTTTGGTCCTATTAAATTAATTCTCTATTTTATATTTTTAATGATCTCTATTCATGATATTAATTCTGATTATCTTGATTGTATAAGGCATTTAGATGGGTTAACTAATTCATTGAAGATTTTAGGTAGACATTAATATCTTTTGATAGAATGTGTTTTTCGATAGAATACCAAATATTTTTAATAACTCAAAATAGTTCAACTATCCTCTTTATTATATCGGGTAACTTATGCGAATAATCTTTTGTTAATTTAATGCATGAAAGTTATTTCTAAATAAAAAATTTATAACCTTATATAAATAATACTAAAGTAGTCAACATTTCCACTTCAATTTGACTAAATACTTTAGCCTGACTCAAGCATCATCATAAACTATAAATTCATTGCACTTTAACCTAGATGTATTCTGAAAGTCTGAAGGTTCAGGCATACCAATTGGAACTTTTACATTAGGCAATCCTGGCATTTCAACATAAGATTTTCTGGAGGATAAAATCTAGCTTTACCACAAGTGCTATGGTTCTCCATAGGGAGATTGCCAGCGTTACAATCATAGTGGAATTTGATAACTGTGTTACCCAATGCCATATCGCAAAGTAAAATAAATATAGAGTTTGTTTGAAGATCTGTGAAACCATAACTTACTGCTTTTTCAACAACATCAGTAAAATAAATTCCCTGAAAATTATAATTAAATAGCTTACCTTTCCAAATCTATATGTTGTGATTGGAGCTTCAAGCAGTGCTATTTTAATCTTTTAGCCAAGATACCTGCAATGTTAATTGATTTTGAACCATTAAAAAAGAGCATTCTATTTTCAAGATCTTTTTTGAATCTCTTATCGTCTTATTATTTTGTTAGCTCAAAGACATGTTTAACTTCTAATTTACAAGAATAACTTTATGTGTTATGTTTGAATATATTTATTAATTTAACTTTCTCACTATTATGTTCTATGTATTAAATATTGAAATTGAGTTTTTTATAGATTTCATCAATTTAATTTTAATCGTTTTTGTTTTGTTATAAAATTTTGTCTACTATCTAAGTATATTATAGGGTTTCCAGCATATCTAATTTAGACTAAACTTTCGTATTTTTATAAATTAAAGGAACTTTATTTTATTCGAAATAATGTGTAATTAAACAATAAAAGTCATAGGTATGTTTTAGGAACTCAACTTAATTTGGGCATTCGTTATCCAACTCATTCTAGATTTACTTCAAAACATTATATCCTTCAGGAATTTTTATGGTAATTTTATTGAATCATAACCAATACTGCTTTCAATCATATATAAACTTTTTCATTTAGTTGTTAATCGTATTAAATCAAAGATTCAACTTATCAAGTCCATCACTCCCTAATACAATTAACTCTATTCACAAGATCCAACTTTATTTTATGCCCTTAATTACCAACCTATTATCCATTCTTTTTAATCATTTTCTATTAATTACTCCCTCTCAATTATACTATAACTATCACACTTTTCTTGAGTTTTTTATTTATAAGCCATTATTGCAGATTATAAATTGTATTAATATGCTTCTTAAAACCAATATAAATTACCCACCAGAAAAACGCCAGAAATTTTAAATTTTCAAATTATGCTTACAATTATTCATAAGGTGCTCCTTAGAATTATGTTTCAAATCACTCTTTTATTTAGTTAATTAGCTAATAAAATTGCTTAATACCAATAAGACTCTTTTGAATTTCTCTTTTAATCAAAGAATATTGCCTATTAGAGATTATATTCCCTCTAAAAAAGGGAAATTTGATATAATTGAATTTGCTCAAAAAGAAATCTAAATAAGAATGACAAATATATCTTATTATTGAAGATAATACTTAGTTATATGTAGAAAATTCTAAATCTACTGATCAATATTTTTATTTTTATTTTGAATTTATTGATTCTTTATATGTATCTAACTTATATTAATAACAATCTATTTTATAACATCCATAATTCTTCGTAATTGTCTTGCTGTTTTTTTCTGGAGCAAAATAGAAACAATATAATAACCAAATAATCATAAACTAATTATAAATTTTTAAATAAGAATGAATGGAAAACTGAGTTATAAGCAATATATATAAGGGAAACTTGATTTACTTGAATTTATGATTGCTGAAAAATAAGCTAATGTCAAACGTTAGGAAGCTTAAAGAAACGAACTCAATAGTTTGGGTATTAAATCAAAATTGAATTTCTAGTCAGACAAGTCAAAGAAGAATTACAAGCATTATAGGAGCCTCACTCATATGTTGGAGATGTTGTAAAACAAATGGGAAAGGATAAAGTGTTAGTTAAATTGAATTCAGATGGAAAATATGTCGTGACTTTAGATAAGAGTATCAAAATTGAGGATTGCAAACCAAATACCAGAGTAGCTTTAAAAAGTGATTCATACATTTTACATAAAATATTGCCTACCAAAGTCGACCCTCTTGTATCATTAATGAAAGTTGAGAAAGTGCCAGATTCTACTTATGATATGATTGGTGGTTTAGATTAATAAGTAAAAGAGGTAAAAGAGGTCATTGAATTGCCAATCAAACATCCAGAAATATTTGAAAGTTTAGGTATAGCATAACCCAAGGGAGTATTACTCTATGGACCTCCTGGGACAGGAAAAACTCTGTTGGCAAGAGCCATAGCACATCACACAGTATTTAATGTTATATTCTATATAAGGATTGTACATTTATTAGGGTGAGTGGTTCAGAACTAGTCTAAAAATATATTGGAGAAGGTGCTAGAATGGTAAGAGAATTGTTTGTTATGGCTCGATAACATTCTCCATGTTTAATATTCATAGACGAAGTAGATTCAATAGGAGGGGCAAGAATGGAAGGTGAAAGAGGTGGAGATTCAGAAGTATAGAGAACAATGTTGGAATTATTAAATCAAGTATAGACTTTTATTGAAATTAATAGTTGGATGGTTTTGAGTCTACCTAAACAATTAAGATTATCATGGCTACAAATAGAATTGATATTCTAGATGCTGCTTTATTGAGACCTGGAAGAATAGACAGGAAAGTGGAATTTCCTAATCCTGGAGTTGATGCTAGATTGGAAATATTGAAAATTCATTCTAAGAAAATGAATCTGATGAGGGGAATCGATTTAAGAAAGATAGCTGAAGTAATGCCAGGTGCTTCAGGTGCTGAATCAAAGGCGGTTTGCACTGAGGCTGGCATGTTTGCATTGAGGGAAAGAAGAATTCATGTGACATAGGAAGACTTTGAAATGTCTGTAGCCAAAGTAATGAAGAAGGACATTGAGAAAAATATGGCTATCAATAAAATGCTAAAATGAATGGTTATATATAAAGAGAGTATTATTAAATTATAATTAATGAGTAACAGAGATTATGACCATTTGTTTAAACTTGTCATTATTGGAAATAGTGGAGTTGGTAAGTCATCTCTACTTATAAGATTCGCTGATGATACATTTAGTGAAAATTATATCTCCACCATTGGAGTTGACTTTAAGTTAATTCAAATATTAAAATAGGTTTAAAACCTTTAAATTAGATGGCAAAGGCTTAAAGTTATAGATTTGGGATACTGCTGGTTAAGAAAGATTTAGAACAATTACAAATTCATACTATAAAGGAGCTGATGCGTACTCCAATATTTACTAAGCAATAGAATTGTACTTGTATATGATACTACTTGCTTATAATCATTTGAGGAAATTGAAAAATCTTGGTTAGATGAAATATACAAGCATGCAGACAAGAATACAACCATTCTTTTGATAGGAAATAAAAGTGATTTACCCAATAAAACTGTGTCAACAGAGAGGGCTTAAGTTTATGCAAAAGAGAAACTTATGTTATTCAAAGAAACAAGTGCTAAAACATCACTTGGTGTCTCTTAAGCATTTGAAGAATTGTCTAGATTACTAATAATTAAGAAAAACTTGACATAAGAAGAAAAAAAATTAAAGAGAAATTAAAAAAAAGTATGGATTCCTTTTATTATTTAAAGAATACAACTACTGCAGATTTTGATAAGAAACAATCTTATGAGGCTCAAAATGAACCAAAAGACAATGTTAATTTATGGTTAAGACCTAATCCAAAATAGGAAGATAAAAAATAATAATAATAATGTAATTGTTGATAGTTGTGTATATTTCATAAACATCTAAAGTATACACTTATTCACTATATTAATTTTAGTATTATATATCATAATTAATTGATTAGAATTCTTGTTTTTAATAATATTCTATTCTATTTTATATGAATTGATCATTGATAAAACTTTAATAAGAATTCTAAATCGATTTTTATATCATAAATGAATCATAGAATAATAAATACACTGTAAGTAAATGATGAGTAATAATCTTAAAAATTAATAACATTTATGTAATTCACATCCTTCTTTTTCCACATCCTGATCTCTAACCTGATTTACACCTTGATCTACTTTATCTGGGTTTTGATTATCTAACATTTGATTTTCTTCCTTATTTTATTTCCTCAACATAATCATCATCATCATCATCATTTTATTTCTTTCTTTAAGTGTTTTTTTTACTTTGTTTTGATTATTGTGGTTTTGTTACAGGTTCAACATTTTACTCCTCTTCTGAATCATTACCTTCTTTTTGGCTATTTTTCTCAGATATTCTTTTGATATAGTTTTGTTTAGCATCTTCAAATTTCAAAGATTGAATGCTATTCTATATATCTTCAATAGCATTTTATTCTTAGTTATTTGCTTTTGATTTTTGGCGGTTTTGATTTTCAAGTTGCCCTTAGCTTTAACTTGTTTTTTAATTGTTTTTACTCTTTACTTATATCTTTAATTCTTCCTCTTTTTATTACCATTCCATTTTGTCCTCATCTGATAACTTTTTCCATTATTCAATTATTTTTTCAGTGTGCTCTAAATTCTTTTTTGAATTAGCAGTCCCAGCATTGAAGAACTGTTGGTGGAAAAATACATTAAATCCATTGCTTGTTTGATCATTCGTCATTAAATTCAATTAGTACTTCAAAAGTTCCGAACCCTCCATTAGAAATTATATCCTACCTTTATTTTAAATATTAAACAATTACAATCTTAATTCAAAAATAAATTCACTTCAAAATATTAAATTATTATAATGTATAAATTAGTTACTTTATTTCTTTAGTTCCATATAAAATCTACCTACTCTAAATGAATGTTCTATATTTATATAGGAAAAATGAATTCTATTTAAAAAATGCGAACTTCAATTTTGAACTTTTTATTTCTATCAATTTTCTATTTGCAATTTGTAGTGTAATTAATAAGGATACATAATTCATCAAAATGAGTCAATAAAAATTAATATAAAAATTATTAAATTTACTTTTGTGAATGACCAGGCATGACTTTATAATAAGATAACTTTCAAGTATAAAAGAGATAAATGAGAATGTTAATTAGGTTTTGACATCCTTAAATATCCTTAAACAATCAGAGAAGGAAGATTTCTAATTGATTATAGAATGATTATAAAATATAGCATAAATTATTATCAAATTATTCTGAATTTTTTCATGGCTTTCTTTAAGTCCTCCATATTTAAAGGTTTGTCTAAATGATCATTAGCTCCACATTTTTAAGATTTAATTTTATCATCAGATCCTGAGAATGCAGTGACAATTATAATTAGAGATTAAGTTAATTTATACATTTATTCATATTTTCTTATTTCCTATGTACATTAATACCCATCCATTTCTGGCATATTTACATCCATAAAAATGACACTCATCTTCTCTTTTGAATATAAATCAAATGCTTATTTTCCATTGAAAGCTTTATATAGTTTGCAATTATAAATCACTTAATTCAGCATAGCACTCAAAGCGATTATATTAAAAGGAGTATCATCAACAATTAAAACCTTCAAAAATTCATCAGGAACAGTTTCTAATTTATAGTAAGTTTGTGCCTTCTTTGATTAATTTTTCCGTTTTTTACTAATTAAGGTTTAATTTTTAACAGAAGGAAATATTGGAATAATTTATTTTTCATTTTAATCTTATTCCTGCATTGAATTTTCTAAGGACTGCTGCAATCTTCTAAAAATAATGAATTTAAAAGTAGAACCTTTGCCTACTTAAGATTTTAACTCAATTTTATCATTAGGTCCTAATAAAGAGACAAGTTATTAACTAATTGTCAACCCTAAGCCAACGCCATGCCTATTGTTATTTCCTATATCAAATGTACTATATAATCTAAAGAGATTTTTTTATATATCATCAGGTATCCCATATCCTGTATCAGAAACTGAAATTTCAATAACATCCTATTCAATTGGTTAAATTGCCGTTATTATAATCTCACCTTACATTGTGAATTTAATGGCGTTAGCAACCAAATTAATCAAAACCTACTTTAGTCTGTTTTCATCAGTAAATAAATCAGACTAATCAGAATCAATTTAATTGTTCCAGATCAATTAGACTCCCTTTTCATTAGATTATCTAAGTAATAAGGAATTAATGAATTTGAATGTATTATTCAAATTAAATGCTTTTGGAATCAATCTCAAGTACCCTTTATTGATTTGGCTATAATCAAGTAAATCATTTATCATTGAAAGCAGTAATTAACCAGATTGATTAAATTCATCAAGGTGAGCACAAAGTTATTTAATATTGCTAATTGTAATGCTTGATGGATGTTACAAGATGTTTTGCATAATGTTTATGCCAATCATCATTCCATTCAATGGAGTTTTCAAATCATGAGACACTGTTGCCAATAATCTATCCTTATATTGATCTAATTCTTTTAAATGCTTCAATCTAATCTTTTCGGATATGTCATTCATAATCACTAATATGGAGTGCTTGTTTTCCCAAATACAGTGCAAAACTCTGATTTCAAAGTGTGATTTTACTTTTAATTATTATTTTTAAGTTATTGCTACTTTAGATTAAGAATCAAATCTAAAACATAAAAAATAGTCACTAAACTCTGATATATCGTATTCATTTTATATCACAGAAGTACTATTTGTTTTAAATTGCTGATTAAATTATTCTTCAAATTGCCCCATTTTTTAATATAAAACATCATAAATACTCAAATATGAATTATAAGTGTCTTACATAGATTCCTATTCAGTTTATATGTAAATACTTTTTAATTTTTTTATGATTTCATTTTCATCTGAAACCTACAAATATTTAATAGCAAAGTCATTACTATAAATTAACTTCATTTCTTTACACTAATTTGTGGAATCTTATAAATCATCATTGTTTTCTGTTAAAATTAGTATTGAATTCGGAACTGTTTTGTCGAAAATGTTCTTACATGCATGCAAATTTGAAGTCTATTAACAAATTGTATAGAAGTCTATTCTTTTGTAATATTCAAGAAACCTGAAGAATATCAGCATCATCAATAAAAGAACATAAAATGTCCAATATATGGATGCCAGATTCCCCACCAGTCCAATAAATAAAATTGTTGCGGCTATTAATATCAATCCTTAAATGAACCATAAAGGACAAACTAACAAATAGCTGATGATAATAATTCCAGTTTATATTCCTGAACTGACCGCTTATGATGTAGTCTATCTACTACACTATTTATTAATCAGTTAAGCCTATACATACACGTACGCTATGAGAATCGTTATCACACAACTTAAAAACTCAGAAATTGCAATAAATGATTTATAATGAATTCTTCTTAGATTAGCCTATGATACCATGCAAATTATGTGCCAAAAGCAAAACGCCACCCTAAAGTAGGCTACTAAATAATTTTTCAAGAAAAATTGATTGTTGACAAAGTAGATAAGGTTAATGAGGAAATGAATTAAGTATTATAATCGAAATAAGACTATGATTCTTTGTTTTTCCTTATTTGAATACTTTTCCTCTAAATCTTGATTAATAAAAGTCAATGTCCATAAATTCATTATTTTTTTTGGTTCTAAATCAGTTGATTCTTCAGGATGAAAAAAGAACTTTATAAAAAATTGATATATTTTTATCATTAATATTAAAATTATTATCTTGAATATTTAGACTTTAATTTCTCAGAATTTAATGATATTTAATTTTTTAGTCATTTTTTAAGGACAAGAGATAAAGCTCTCAGAATAATCCAATTCAACAGTTTATTGATAAGGTTAAAACGTCTTACTTATTAGGTTGACAGAAGCTCTAACATATTACTTTTAAATTCTAAAAGCCAAGAATTTTAATAATTCAAGAAGACAAAAGCTTTTTTATTGAAACGAGTAATCATTTTTGAAGTTAAAGTTTAATCGTTGAAATACTGTTTACAGCAAATTTTGCCGTTACCCAAATCCTTGGTATTGTATAGAGCGATCTTGATCCATTTATATATCACTATTAATAAACTTGTGATACTGTATTATTTTGTCAGCAAGTAGGTAAATAGTTTTCTGTTTGGCATCTTGATAATTGGTTAAATAGAGTAGTTTTCAAGGAAAAATTATTATATAATTATTAAATACAATAACTTTTTTAATAACAATTATGAGAATAAAATATTTAGATAATAAAAATCTTAAGCATATTTTTCATTTATTTTCAACCGAAGCAATGTTTAATCCTTATATTTAACTTCTAAAGAGAGTTTAAAAGGAGGTTAAAGTTCTAAATTATTTTTACCTCATTTCTTGTTCGATATCAAATTACTTTTTATTTCAATTTTTACTGTAACAAAATTTCCTAACTATAATTTTATTGATTATTAAATTTAATCCATCTTTTTAAAACCTCTAATCAACATGTTGTAAGAGATTATGGTTAAAATTAAATAAATACACTTCTCTATGAATATTTAAGATATGATTTTGTTAGTTCTCTGAGTATCTACATTGTAAATTATTGCAAATCAATTAAAGCTCCATCCTTTTGGATCATAAATTTTGCTAACGATTTAATACCTATGCTAATTATTTATTCATGATATTTCAAGTTAGGTAAAACATAGCATAGATATTTTAGATTGAAACTTATTTAAAGCAAAAAATTAATAAGTCAAACTAGGATATAAGAAAATAAAGGCTAAAGTTTATGAAAATGAGGAAAGAAAAAATTAAAAAACTAGTCAGTATTAGAAAGAAAATGTCGATTGTATAATATAAAAAGATCCCTCGAAATTTACCAACAAAAACCTAATTGATATTGTTGGGAAAAGAAATTGAGGAGAAATTAGATAATTCAAATAATACTCAGAGAATTTTTATTGAATTCATGACCTTAACTTAATTCTTATGATAAACAATACTTATCATCTAATTTATTTGGGCTATATTATTTCCTATTGGAAATGCTACATACTTAAATATAAGAATAATATTTTGAATTTTTTAATCTTGGGGAAAAGGAGAGAAGTTTTACAAAAAGTGATTTCCATTTTTAACTAATAATTAAATAAATTAAATGAATTAAATTTAAGTCATGAAGGCTAGCATACATCAGAATTCAAAAGTTGCAATGAGCGTAGGAGATTTTAATGTAAACAATAATGACCTTGATAGAATAGAAAAATTAACAAGTTTTAGAATTACTTAGAAACTTTGTTCTAGATTACTCAAATATTGAATTGTTTTAAAGTTTAATACTAGAAGATGGTAATCCTGAAACCACGTTTGTTCTTTATTCAATCATCTAAAAATCTCTGATAAACGGAGATCATTTTACGAATTTTCCTCATCAGAATGTGAACACTGAATACTTTTATAATGAGTATGATCATCGATTAAATATTACAGAAATGTGCACAAAGCATATTGAAATTGCTCTAATTTATTTACAATAATCACACAACCATCCAAATTACGTTTATAACTAAGTAATATTTACAATTGCTCTTTTATTGAGGAAAAATTGGGCTGATATTTTGAAGATTGAAGATATCATAAGTTCGATTATAAACAGCACGTTATCAATGAATAAAATAGTCTTTTTTAAAATATTTGAAAACATAATCAGCTGCATTAGACAATATTCATATGCTAGTGGATATATTGAATTTAGGAAAATCCTCAATAATTTTTAAACGTACTTCTAATATCTTAATTTAGATTATCCTTATAGAGAATATTAAAAGTGATTCACTTATAAATTTAGTAATTGTAAGGTGAATCTTTAATTAAGTTATATGGATAAAATAAAGTAATGGTTGAATCTTTTATCAACTTGTTATATTAGTTGATGAACTTGAATTTTAATTTGAGCTATTATGAAATTGATATAGATGATGAAGGAAAGGATTCCTAATTAACTAATGTATATAAGCAATTTTAATTCTTAGTTTCCAGACTATTATTTGGATTTGATTATTGACCCTATATTTTTGAAAGAGCTATTTCAAGACACAATTGGGTTCATAAACATTGATCAAAATCTAGCTCTGCTTTGTATAGGTATGCTTTAAAGAATTGCCTGTGTAAGATTGTCTATATTTCACAATAAGAAATGCAAGGGAGGATTCAGAAGAGTAATGTGGGAAGGATTACTCTATTTATATTAAAATCAAGATCAATTTATTAAATAAGTAGAGTTTTCCTCTGAAATACACTCATTAGCTGTAAGAATCATTAATAATCTGACATTGAGAAAAATAGCAAAATTTTAGATTATTTTTGATAATTTTTTCTAGTTGATTTAATAAGTCTACTAAAAGACAGTTCAATTATATGGAGTAAAAATAATGGCAAATAGTCCTATAGTAAAATTACAGGAACTTTGGAATTAAATTGGGTATTAGGGCTCATTGCATTTACCTTCTCATGATGGATTAAATGTACAAATAAATTAAGCGATGCAAAATCAGTTAATAATTGTGTTGAAGACATTTTTTTAATAAAATCAATTTACAGAAATCTCATAAGAATGTAGTGTCAAAAAGTTTAAGAAATTATTGGATTTAACATTCATGCCCTTTCATTGTCTATTTAAATCCCGCATTTAAGATAATATTACCCTCATTTTACAGATGATTGAGTAATTAAGAGGAGATAATGAATGTATAAAGAAATTAATAAATGATTAGATTAAAGTGCAGCCGTTATATGTTTGACTACTGTATTTTTATTGCATACATCAAGCACTGAGTATTTAAATTTGGGATTTGAATGCTATAGTTTTGGATAGAAGGAAGAGCCAAAGCCTAATCTTGATGGATAGGCTTACATCTTAAAATTTATAGTGGAACTTATAATGAATTCATAAGTGCAAAAGAATACAAGAATACTAAAAATGACAATTCTGTCGTTCATAGAAAGCTTTATTACTACAACAATTGATTCATTCTGTTATGAATAAGAAACAAAACAATTTAAGAATCTGTCTTAATTATATTCCTAATTGATACGAGCAGATTAGAGATACCATAATTATTTATTGGTTTTGGAGACTATGCTTGAAGAATGGTATAAAATATTCATGTATTTTAGTTTCTAAGTATTTACGTACGGTGATCCTTTCTTGATAGAATTCAGTCTTAAATTAATTGAATATATTTACTAAAAAGTGAAAAAGTACATTCCCAGAAAAGTATTTAAGGCTTGCAGCATCACAGATATGCTGAAGTAATTCTTCTTATAATTAAACATCACTTGTTTGAATACTCCTCAGTACATTAAGAAAAGAGCTTTGGTCTTTAAAATAATTACCATAGTTTGGGTAGATGATTGCTCTGACGATTATGTCAGTGCTCTTGTTGATATCTACAATCAAATAAAATAAAACATTGTAAATGAGATTAATAAAGTCAATATACTAAAGTATGTTTGGGACCTTATTGGAATAGCTTCAGAAATAGATGTCGACAATATTTATAGAACATTCTTAAGAATAATGTATTTAATAATATGAACCAATTAGATACCCAGATTTAGTTAAATTATTGACACCAGAAAACATTGAGTTGTTTGCTAAAGACTATGATTCTTCCATTGCCATCATCACATTATTCAAAGCCATCTTCTACAATAAGTACTAGTTTTCATCAATTACATTAGAAACACTCGATTGTCAACAGAAAATATTTAATTGATATTGTATTAAATTTATGGGAAAGCCATGAAATTCTTTATCATTTTAATTTAATAGTAGATTCAAACTGCGAAAACTCAGTAAAAGTTGTCAGATTTGTAATTGAAGTAAGTATCAAAACTCTTGGCTCTTATGAGTCAGATATCAGGATAGAAGAAAATTAATCAAGGATTTTTCATTATCTACAATGATTAATCTTTTATGGACCTTTTTAATTCATAGATATAACTTATCTTGATTTATAGACCATTGCTCTAGCATATTCCAAAATATAAAAAGTTGCTATATGAATGTTTTGATTGCATATGTTAAGACCATTCAGAAACTTTGGCTTACAAGTGTGAGTTGAGTTCCTATCTTGATATCTTCCTAATTTGTAAGGATACTTTAAATGATATTATCTATGATAACTAAGGAGAAGATACTATCAATGAGAATTGTGCAACACTTATTTTAATTGGAACTCTATTGAGCAATATAGCAACATTTTTAGTTTAAGAAGCTTCGGTGGGAGATATAAATGATTTGCAAACAATTAAAAATAAAATAAATACCATCAATACATAGGGAAAATAACTACTATATGAAATCTTTAATTTGAGTTGTTAAATCACTTTACTATATCCAAAAAACTCAAAAATGATATTTGCAATCCCAGAAATTCTATATGCCATCTCTATTCTTAATCCATCTGATGTATTTATAATCTAAAATCTTAGTTTGAGACCCTGCTTGTCACATTGGTAACCAATCAAATAGGAGTCATCTCAAACCCAATAATTGATCAAATCAGTTTAGCATTTAAGAATCTCGAAGGAGAGTTATAAATTTCAAATAAAGAAGATTTTGTAAGAAGAATTAAAATAGTCTTAGAAATGTATAAATGATAAATAATATTTATTATTAGAAGATTTATTCTTTAAATTATTGATAAAAAGATTTTTTTATATATAAGGTTACTCTAGTTTATCTTTAATTTTTAAATCAATGTTCAAATATTCTTTTGTAAAATAAATCTCCTAGATGAATATGATTATCGTAATCATGAATAAATAGGTGAGATAATCATAATCAATTAGAATTTGTTTGAAAAAAAACTCTAAATAAGGCAAGTATTATTTAATAAAAAATAATTGATTTTTTCCTAAAGAGAATATAATTGCTTAAATGAATTGACTGATGTAATTAATAATAATTAAAGTGAGCATTCAAATGGTAAAAAATCATAATTTCTATAAATAATAATAAGTTCAACTTATTTCTTGGCTTTCTGGCTTGATTAAATGACAATAGATTGGGAAGAGTTCTGTTGGTATGAATTATTTTAATCTTATTGGATCAAGTTAATCAAATAAAGGAGTCGCATGAAATGTGGATCTACCAGTATCAAATCTTGCAGATCGAAATGAATTAGAGTGAGGTGATGAATCTTGTATAATCTTGATTTTTTCTCGATGTGTCACTTCATTTATTGATGAATTTTATTTCAATTTTTTATCCTTTTGAAATATTAATTGAAGTTTTCTGCTCATAGGACTATTCTATGATGAAATAAAGCTTTGTTGCATCAATTTATTAGTTTTAGGTGATTCTTTGGGAATTTTAATGGTATATTCTTTCTAAATTATTTTATTCAACAATAAACGATCATTGATCACTTCCTAACCTTAGATGAGAGGATTATCTAAATCGACTTGTTGATAATTGGGAAGCATTTTCTGATGCAAGATTACAGACTTTCTTGAATAGATTTATTACAATACTTATAGATGTCTTCTAGACTTTAATCAATGTGAGAGTTCTTCATAATATCTGTTCTTTGGGATTATGGGATTAGGTATGTGATACCCTTCCTTACCTTCCTGAGATATTAAATTTCTTGTTTCTGAGCTTGAGAGGTCTTAACAGAATCATAGAGAGAAGGCAATTAATATTTGGTTATGACTTCAAGATTGTCCATATTTTAAGATTCCTATTGTTGCAACTTAATTTATGGTTCCATATCAAGGATACGCTTATAGTCTTACACCTTTATCATATATAACTCTGCAAAATGCGAACTCACTCTAGCATTTATGGAGTAGATTCCAGTTACGATGTCTCCCACTCCAAAGGCAGTTGATTCTCCAAGAACTTTGATCATTTGATGAACGAACTTTTTTTTATTTAATTAGTAATGTTATTCAATTTGTTGATTGATGGGTTCCTTTTTAAATATTTCTATTTCCCCTTATTTGATTACATAAATGGCATCACATTTTTATCCTTCCTAGAAGATCAAATGACTCCTTGTAAATTCTACGCTTTTGATTGATCTATAAATGTAATCAATTTAATAATTTTTCAATTGACTAAATGCATTCACTTTGCTCAAATAAAGGAGTTCATTTTCCCTATTTCTTTTTGACTATGAAAAAGCCTTAGTCAAACTCCTAGTTTATCGAGGTTCATTAGTGTGCGATTAGTCAATTATTTTATTAATCATATTAAATAATTATGAATAATATTAAATTGCTTTGAAACTAGTGGTTTCATTGCATTGGTCACAAAATTAAAAAAAACTATCAAGATTTTTAATTTAAGTTAGATATCAAAAATTAACTTTTATATATTACATAATTTAGTTTATAATCAAATGAAAATAGGGATTGAAAGTACTTCAGAACATGATTTGGACATTTGTGGCCTTTCACTATCCTATTCATAAACCAAGTTGCCAAATTAAAGTAATAATTCTAAAGAGAAGACCCAAAAAAACGAGACTGTATTTTTTCTATAAACCTTAGACTGATAAAAAAATATAAACAATGAAAGACAGAGACGATCTACAAGGTTCTGTATCGTTGAATGATTTAAATATCCTGGGACTTAAGGATTATTACATGGGATCTAATGAGAATCGTTTGGAGGCAAAGTAAAAACTAAATTAAGACAATAATGAAAGTCCAGGGATGGATTTTCAATAAAACGAATAGTTAAACACTAAATTAGATCAACTGGGTTTTAAGTTAAATGAAGTGATTGGCCACTATCTCAATGAGCTTACTAATCAACCAAGATTATCCTTTGATTCGTTCCCCTTGTAAAATAGTGAAATTTTAGATGAAGAACAACAACAATAGATTATAGATTATGAATTGCAGGCAATGAGATAACGCATATATAAAGTAAGACATTATGAATATTTTCCATAGCAAATTTTAGATAAAATAAATCTTTCTGTTATCCAATCTGTGAGTTCTTTTGGTTCATCTTGTTAACTAACTTCATAATCTAATATTATTTAAGCACCCTTTTCTAAAGAACTGATCAATAGCACAACTCATATCTCATAAATATCATCAATGTCACCGCAAAAGTCCTTATCACATTCCATTTTTGATTAACAGTAGCAAATTCATCAAAGCATTAATTGTGTACAACCAAAAACAAACAAAAAAATTGAAGATTCACCCTTTCAGATGACTGAAAAAGAAAAAACTAAGGAGGAATTGCAAAACAAACTAAAAATTTCTTTAAGTTTAAATTAAAAATAACAATAAGTCAATAATTAACTCAAAGAGGAACTTTCAAAATTAGAGGTATTTATATAAAACCTATATATTAGAAAAGGAATTCAATTTCAGATAATAATAATGAAGACAGAGATCATAATAATTTATTAATAGAAAATCAAAGATTGAAAGAAGAAAATCTAAAATTAATCGAGTTCATTTAAAACAAGTTATGCGATTAATGTAAAACACTTCCAACGAATTTTTGATTTAATATGCAAATCTATATTTTTTTATTTCCTAAATTTATTTAATTCTTTCTAGATACTAAGTAATTAAAACCTCATTCACTATATTAATTTATAGCTATTGATATTTTTTAACAAAACACAGAAGGCTTTGTGGTATTGCAAAAAAAAATTGAATATATAGCAACTTAATTGTTAAATAACTAGCTTTGGTTTAAAGGATTCCTTTATTATATAAATGCTAGGATTGTAGTACTGCCATTTTAATTTTATGAAATTAAATTAAATAGACTTTTACGTTTAGAAATTTTATAGAAAATTTGATTCTTTAAGTTATATTGGATAATAATTAACATTAATAAATATTATGAGAATTGATTATCATATTCATATATTGTTAATTTATGTCCATCCTTATTTCATTAAGGGGTAAATTAATCTGTAAATAAGTAAATGTAATTAATTAATTATGAATAGAAAATTAATTGCCATCTTTTTTATCATTTTAACTCTTGAAGGCAATTAAGCAAAGGATGATATACCTCAATACAAAAGATGCTTGGAATATGAAAAGGATAAAATCTTTCGATGCATAGAGAATCACATTACAACTGCTTTTACATATCAAAGTGTAACTACTTTTGCCGCTTTCATAATTGCAAAAATAGGTATCTGGCTAGCTGGTTTCACAGCAATGGGCCCAGCTGCAGGCTCATTTGCAGCTTTCTTATAATCTTTGATAGGAAATGTAGTAGCTGGTTCATTTTTTTCTTTTTTATAAGCAGTTGCAATGGGAAAATCAATTTTATTATTATTACCTTGTTTAGGTGTTGGAACTTTAGTAGGCTTAATCTATTTAGTGTTTAGTTGCTTTAAAGATGAATATTGTACTAAAGTAGAATAACTTAAACCCCCTAGTCCAGAAGAAAGGTAAAAAAATAATGATAAGACAAATTAGGATTCAAATAATCAAAACGATAATAAATAAGAAGAATCATTTTGGAGCTCAACTTTAAATTTAATTACTGGGCTACCCAATCGCTATCCAACAATTACAGATAAAATTTCAGATTTATATAATTAATTGCCTAACATGCCAGAACAATTCAAAGAATTAAAATAAAAAGTTCTAGATATTTCCTCTTCGCCATTTTTAGAATTTACCGGTGATTTTTGGGAATTCTCTAGTTAATTTGCCTCCTCGATTAAATAATAAATTTACGAAGGTTAAGATTAAATGGAAGCTTTATATAATCGGATAACAGCTACTTTTAATGACTATGTTGATGGGATAAATGATTTGTTTGACTTTGTTTGGAGAAACAGAGAAACTATAAAAGAAGCATTTGAATATGCTATTGTCGTTCTTTAAAAATAATATAATCAATTACAGGCAATTAAAAATGTTATAGAAAATATTGGATAATCAAAGAAAGAGGATGCTTGCATCAATAATTTTATAGAATACCTTGCAAATTTGTGATTTTTAAAATTATCTAATATTGCATTTCTGGAAAATATTCACCTATATATATATTAATTTTATTAAATTAATGAATCATATATTCAATAAACAATTTAGTAGTATCCTCTGGAAGCTGGTCTCAAATAGGTTGGGCTTGAGGGCTCAGATTCCATTCCGTATAATCGAACCTGTTTGCAGTCGTAATCTATTCCACTCGTGTTCTTTTAATTTATTAGAATTTTTGTTTCTAGATACAGAATATTCAGATCCTGGAGATAATTCTAAAATTTTCCTCTATATTTTAAAAGCTATCATAAAACCCTTATTTTATACTCTTTATAAAATCTAAACGATATTAACAGTTAATCGCATTCACATACTTTCCTGATAGCAAAATCTATTCTATTCACTTCTTCATCAAAATAAAATAATTAATACTTACCCAATCATAGTGATTAAACTAGATATCTTTCATCATTAGATGTCTACTATAGGATTCAAAATCAAAGGCATCAATGATCAATAAAAAACTCTTGTATATTAGAAAAAAACATCCATCAATTCATTAATATCTTGTTAGCTAAGCACTAAGGAGCATAACTGAACAATAAAATGATATACTAATACCTCATTCTTTGATTGAATAATATAAATATATTATACAACTATATTAATGAATTTAAAACCTGATTTACAAGGATGGCAAGAATATGTTCAAACTCCATACACTAATTAATTAAAACAATTGAGTGATTTGCTTAACAATAGTTAAGAATAACAACAACCTAAAATTACTCCAAACCCTTTCAACATTAATTTGGCTAAGAAATGCATAACTCAACAATCTCAATCTCCCAAGTACAGGTAACACTAAAAATTACCTTTTAATGAATATCGAAAACAAATGAATATCAATAGATAGGCCTCACCGTTTTTAAGGCATAATCAGTTTAACTTTAGTTAAGATAGGAAATAAGAAATCCATTCAAAGTTTTATAGCAATTAAAATCAAAAATAGAGTCTAGTTATTCAAAGTCCTCAAAGATCATAAAGAAAGCAGATAACAAGAAAATTACTGATGATATCCAAAGATTTTAATAATTCCTAAATTTATCATATTATTAAGTTGATTAATAAGTGAAATACAAAATGTATAATTATCTAAATTCTGTAAGCTCTATTTCTTTTCTAAGGTTGCCATTTAGATAAAAAAAAGGATATGTTAATTTTTATATCCAAAATTGAAATTAATTATTAATTATTTGATCGATATTGAAAAACTAAAATCAAAAAATTAACTAACCCTCTTTTTCTGAATAATCCACACTTCACTAAATACAAGCCTAAAATTGGTAGCAATTAAATGCACAATAAGTATTTATTACGTTAATTATAAATCACTAAATTTATATTAAAGTAATCTTTGATTTAATACTCAGATTATAACACAAACTTTAAAGATTTAATAAAACAATAATATCAAATTATGGTTGAATCAAATAAAAAATCTCATGCTTTGTTATCCATATCTAACTACACCGCATGTATATTACACTGTTAAATTAGGCTATTTTGATAGTATTTACCCTCTAGATCAATCAGATACACTTATTGGAATAGACTTTCACAATTACATAATGCTTCATAAAAAATGCTGTCCAAAATGCTTGATATTCTTGGAACTTTTTACATCAAAAAAAGCTTAGACCTTCCAATGTACCAATTGTTAATGGATGATCGAACTGAAAATCACTTTGTTATATACTCTTGTAAATTGTCTCTAAATTACAATTATGCTGTCTTTGTTTCCGATTATAGCTTTTGCTCTCTCAATTCAAAAAACAGAAGATGTTATGTAAAGAATAGAAAGAAAAATTGACAGCATAACCATTATAATAATTGTTAACTTGCTTTTTAGCATCCCTATGTTCATACTTGGACTAATCATTTGTTTATTTCTTGCACCATATAAAATCTTGCGAGCTTTTTCGGATGCTGTTAAACAAAGGGATTTTAATATAATCAAAAGAGTCTTCTCATCATCTTGATTTTGAATATCTGTGTTAATTCATTATTACGTAATTAAATTGTATTTGATATCTCTATATTTATTTGATTATACAAAAAATGATGCAATATTAATTTTATATATGTAAAATAACATAAAAATTATTATTTATAACATATTGTTTTTAATTTTTCTAATTCCAACGTAAAAGCCATCGAGTTAATCTAAATAATTGACTGAAAAATCAATATGTAAGATAAGAATTTCAGATTTTAAATTGAATTCAACTCAGAATTATTCTATCTGAGTAATAAATGAGTTATAAAAATAATGAGATAGGGAAAAAGAGCAGATGATATCAAAATAATTTTATATTTACTAATTCAAACTATTTTCTAATTAAAAATTATTTATTGAAGTTAAACTAATGCTTGTTTGTTGGATTATTAATTTTTTTTCAGGCTCTGTGTGATAGTTTATTTGTCTTCTTATATTCAACTGCCTTCCTACCCTGAACTGTTTCAAAAATTTTAAACATTTATGAACCTTCAAGAAGTTTAAGAAATATTTCTAGTATTGTTTTCAAATTCATAATATACAAAAGTGTTTAAGTATTTTGCAATACTTTAACTATTCTTCCTAGACCATTTTTCTCACTTAAAAAGAAAGATATCACAAAAACTTTAAATTGATCCCTTGTTTTGACTTGTCTTAAAATAATTTTAATTGATATAGAATTTATTTAGTAATATAAGATGCTAATAAATTCTTATTACTTTTGTGAATTAAAATTCAAATTATTGGTTTTGCAAATTTAAAAGTATATGAGAAAGAGAGAATGGAATCAAACAGACCAAGGAATCTCTAATAAATTAAATTTATTATTTAAAGTTATTGATTAAATATTAAAATAATGACCACAGTTAATGCTCCTAAAATTAGTGAATACAAGGAAGCTACTCGTATTGAAAGAGTGGGTGCTTAATCTCATATCAGAGGTCTAGGTTTAGACGGTGACCTTGAGCCAAGAAATATTTCACAAGGTATGGTGGGATAGGTATTCAATAATTTAAAATAAAACCTAGAAAAAAGCTAGAAAAGCTGCAGGTATCATCCTTAACACTATTCGTGCTGGTAAAATAGCAGGAAGGAGTATTTTGATTGCAGGATAACCAGGCACAGGTAAGACAGCCATTGCAATGGGTATTGCAAAAGCATTAGGAAATGATATTCCCTTTACAGCCATGGCAGGTTCAGAAATTTTCAGTCTTTAGATGTCAAAGACTGAATCTCTAACTCAAGCATTTAGAAGATCAATTGGTGTGAGAATTAAAGAAGAAACTGAAATTGTGGAGGGAGAAGTTGTAGAAATTGAAATTGATAAATCTGCAACTTCTGGAGCTAAAACTGGAAAGATCACTTTGAAAACAACAGAAATGGAAACAATTTATGATTTAGGCGCAAAGATGATAGAATCAATTACAAAAGAAAAGATCTCATCTGGAGATGTTATAACTATTGATAAAGTTTCTGGAAGAATTAGCAAATTGGGAAGATCATTTTCGAAGGCATCTGAATTTGATGCTCTTGGACCATAAACAAGACATGTATAATGTCCAGAGGGAGAAATTGAAAAAAGAAAGGAAGTGGTTCATACAGTCACATTACATGAAATAGATGTCATAAATTCTAGACAAAAAGGATTCTTAGACTTATTCTCAGGTGACACTGGAGAAATTGATTCAGAAATAAGAGATTAAATAGATTCGAAAGTTGCTGAATGGAAGGAAGAAGGAAAGGCTGACATAGTACCAGGTGTCTTGTTTATTGATGAAGTCCACATGTTAGATATTGAGTGTTTTTCATTCCTTAACAGAGCCTTAGAATCAGATAAAGCACCCATTGTCATCTTGGCTACTAATAGAGGAATAACAAATATCCGTGGAACTACTTATAAAGGGTATTATTTTAGATAATTCATTATTTAGACCTCATGGCTTACCAATAGATTTGTTGGATAGATGCTTAATTATCTAGACTGAACCATACAATGAAGCAGAAATAAGAAGTATTCTTGAAATAAGGTATATTTGAAATTTATTCTTAGATGTGAAGAAGAAGATGTTGAAATGACTGAAGAGGCAAAGGAAGTATTGACTAAAATTGGAGTGGATACAACTTTAAGATATGCCATTTAATTAATTACAACAGCTAATTTAGTTGCATAGAAGAGAAAATCAAATGAAGTCGATGTTGAAGATGTCAGAAGAGTATAATTTAATTTGAATTTAGGTTTATTCAATGTTCATTGACCATGTAAGATCCACATAATATTTACGAGATCATTAAGCAGAATACATGTTTGATGAATACTAAAAGTAAACATAAAAGATGTAGGTTGAATGATATATAAATATTCATATAAATATTTACCATTATTGACCTCCATCTCCTAACTTTTCTGATTTTCCTCTTAATACTGAATTTTTAACAAACTTCCTTATTTCTCTCCTTAAAACAATAATTTTACAATACTGTTCAGAAACCTAACAGAGTAGACTGACTGCTTTCTGAAACTGCATATTATTAGTTATAAAAACAAACTGGAGTGATTCTAATATTATTTTTTACAATAATTATTTTTCAAATGTCAGCTCCTTAAATTATAATTGAACAGCAATCATAACTCAATAGTCCAATCGAAGTAGATGGAGCTGTTTATGTGGCTGCATAAAATGGAGAAATAATTTAATACAAGGATGAATAATCGAAAGTATGATTTACATAGTTAAAGCAGACATTTTTTCATGTAGCTAGCCAACCTCACTCCATAAAAATGGATAATAAGAACAAAGTGTTTTACGTAGCTAACATGGCTAGATAATGCATTTAGAAATTTTGTCAAGAGGAGAATAATGATGAAATCATTGATTTCATTAATGAATTTGAAGGAATGCCTCTCCTTGGTCCTAATTCAATATTGCTCTCTCCTAAAAATAGTAATTCACTCAATAACCCTTAGACATGGTATTTTTTACTGATTCTGGACCTTTTGGAGAAACTGCAATAGATAACTGTAAAGGATCACTTTTTGCAGCAGATTTGGAAAATTTAACATGTAAAGCATTAGCATTGTATTGTCTTTCATTTCCCAGTGGAATATGTATGGGAAATGACGAGAAAACCATTTACTTGTGTGAAACAGGGAAGAACAGAATTCTCAGATTTGTTTAGGCTAATGCTGGGATATACTACTTTAGGTATCAGCTACCCTATTAAATTAGCGTTTATATTCAATTTTAAGGAAGATTTGGTCCAATGGCTTGTGCTGTTTCATCATCTGATCTATTGTATGTAGCCAGATATGAATTTGCTTAAGTGACTGAGGACGGACTGATTAGTGTGTACAATCAGAATGGCATTAATATCGACAATATAATATTGCCTCAATATCCTGAATTGACAGGAATGACATTTTCTGTGTAAGCTTAATTTTTTGGATAAATTTAGATTACAACCAGGAGTCTTGTACATAACTGAAAATTCTTAGAAGGGGAAATGCCTGAAGCTGAATGTGACACCGCCTGACAAAAAGGACAAGGATAAATTTAAGTGATGTGATGCCTTATAAATTATATAATTGACTAATTTATTCAGCAAATAGAAATTTCAAAATACTTTCAATAAGTTTCGATTTCTATCCACATTTACTAGATTCGAAGGAATTCTAAATTCCATTCATGCTTTAATGATAAGAAATTAAATTAGATTTAATTTTTAAGTATTAATTAATTAATTGAGTATCAATATATTATATATAAAAAAGTACAAGATTTGAACAATATTATAATAATATAAATTATTTATACTCAAACAAGAAAAAGCTTGGTATTCTTTTCCATGGGCATATTGAATATATTTGATTTGTTATTTATTCTCATAGTCTTTATTTATTCCATGGTAAATAAAAAAGAAACATTTTTATTTGAAGGTCTTCCTGTGAATAGATCAAAAATAGGTCGAATTTAGGAAGTTTCATTTGGACGACTTTTCAAACAACTTCCCTTTATAATACCATTTAATTTAGATGGCATAAACTTTTTTTCATTTTATTTCTTTTATCTAGGGGTCAATGACAACTTTTGCTAGGCTTGACATTTAATCCCTTGTTTTTCATAAATTCTTCTTTGAGTACACCGATCTGGATTGTTTAACTTGTTATTTGGAGGTTACTGATTCATATTAGTTATTTTATTATTTTGACGTTCAAGAAAAGAGTACTTTTAAATTTAATGGGGTAAGTTCCCATCAGTTTGGAGTAGTTTTTAGTCTTGAAAGGTTCTGAATACATTATTCTACTCTTGGGATTCTGCACTATAATGTCCTCCCATGAATTTATATTTTGGAGATGAAATTGGTTAATTCGCTGATTCCACACTGGAGAGGGATTGTGTGCTAGCTTCACTAAATTAAAAAAAGTTGGTAGGAAAGGCTAGAACGTCAATTACTTTCTCATCTTCATCCGAATTAATTGTCTATTGAGAGTCAAAGCAACATTGTTTTTGCATTAACAAATTATTTATTTGAAAAATAGATTAGAAATTAGGATATGGATTAATATAGAATAGTTGTTAGCAAGTTCAAGAAAAGTAAATTAATTGATAAATAAACAATTAAATTAAAAGGAATTTAGTATCTTAATTTTCCCGATTAAATTGAAATCATGTACTGGATTCCTGCAGAGTATAAGGAGGGTTGTGAAAGCACAAATGATTGTTTGGAAGTTAAGAATGTAAAATCGAGTTTGCTTCTACAATCTATAATTTGGAGATGAAAATTGTAAAATATTAAATTAAATTATTTTAATAATATTAAGTTGTGTCATTTTGGGAGATGATGAGGAGTGATGGCATCTCTTTGGCGTGAAGCAGTTAAGTGAAGCTTTAAAGTTTAGAGTTATAAAATATTTGACAAAACTGGTTAGACAGGGATGAAATGATATGAAGGAACCAAGGATGGGGTAGGCGTATGAGGATTGAAATGGTAGACTTTAAGTAAGTGGAATTGAATTTGGAGTGATTAATATAATTATAAATTATGAATCCTATTGACACCAGACAAATATTGAATTGGGATCAAGTCAAGGTGCATCTACAACCTAATTTATGCATTGAATGTTAATTGGTTCCTTAATAGCCTCTTCAGTGTTATCGATGTCAGAAATTGTTGTGCTAGACTTGTCATGGGGATCTAAAGTAGAAATCGAGAGGGCCAAAAATATTTTGTTAGAAATGCAAAGCACTCAATTATTTCAATCCTGCTAACAATGCCATTTACCAGAGTTACAGAGATATGGTAATAGGGTGTGTAAATCGTCGATACGGTTGTAAAGTGACACTGGACTACAAGAAGTATTAGAAGCATGTTGAGGAGTGTGAGTTTCAACGCATACCATGTCCATCTCCTGGATGTTTCGTAACAACATTGAAACGAGCGAAGGGCGATCATTTATAGGTGTGTGAATACGTGATTGAGACATGTCAATATTGCAATAAGTAATTCAATCGGAAATCGATGGCTTATCATCAAGTAAGAGTTTGTTACAATGAAATGATAGGAAAAATGTAATGGGAAGGATGTGTAACAGATTGATTTGGCATCGCTAAAGTCGGACTTCCTACGACTGAGGAGCAAATTGGATGCTGCCATTTCACAATTCGAGTAATCAGCTGAAATCGCCATGCTAGAACAGAAGGTAATCAAATAGTAGTTAGAGATCCAACAATTGAAGAATAATATTAATTAATGAGTTATTAAGAATTTGATTCTCTCCGCTCCAGACGAATGTAAGTCTTTACAATAGTAGGGCATTTTCATTGCACAAGCAACGATTAGCCAGCATCAAGGGATACGAGAATAAGCAGATTTCCAGTGTCGTGGCCAAAGTTGAGAGAATGAGATCTGAATCCATTAACAGACGTAAGTAGGTCGAACAATAACAGCTCGGAGAAGAAAATCAACGGATAAAGTAATTAGGTCTTCCCTAACTTTAGAATTAAGTTGATCGAAATAGCAAATGAAAAGAAGGCATTATCTTAACAGGTCAAATTATGCTAGGCCAAAAAGAAGTTATAACAATTAATTAGACATTAATAGAATATGATGGAGAACCTTATTTTGATGAAGAAGATCACCAACGTGTATTTATTTCAGCTCATCTAGAACCTCATCCATCACTCATCGAGTCTAATAATAGGATTTCCATCTCAGTAAATTCAAGCAGCTTGACAGGTACCTCCAAGATGATGACAAGACTTTTCTTAAGTAAAATATTTCTCCATTTATTCACCAAAGGCCTTCACTCATACAGAGTCCCAACCAATCTTAATAAAATTCATAACACACCTAAAATACAAAAACTCTGGATGCCACTCACATCAAGTTGTCAGAATTAAGAGTTTATTCAAATGGATAATTACTTCAATGAAATATATAATAAGAAAATAATCAAATTTCTTAAGTTATTAGACACTCTCTCTTAAACAATAGTTCATCCTCCTCCTATCTCTCTTCAGATTTGATCTCCTCAATTTTCTTTCTATTACTTCGCTATTTCGGAACCTAAACAACATTTTTGAAGTGATCCATCAATTTATGAATTTATTCCGATGAATGATTGAATTTCAACTTCTCATATTTAAGGAACTACTTAAATTTTACATTGAAATCCTTCTTATCATACACCAATGCTCTATCTAAAAACTGTGACCCCAATTCCTACGAATACACCTATTCAAAAAAGACGGTTCCAAAATATTTCTAATTGGTCTTGTAACTCATCTCTGCAACTGTAATGTTGAACCGTTTCTCAAGATACTTGTAAATGAAGTCTGTCTTGTTCTTCTCCTGTTAAGCCGAAGCCTGTTTCTCTGAATTACTATCAAACGAACTGATCTGAGGATATAACAAGGTCCCTCTTCTATCCACACCAAGCGAGAGTTGAGGAGCAGCTACAGTTTGTTTATACCAACCGACTAATTAGCCCCATGCAAATAAGGAAGAGTAGTTCTTTCCCTCTGCCTTGCATTTCCTCCTGATCAACCCCACTTTACCCCATTCGAGATCCTCTATGGGAGGAGACTGAAACCCTTTATATTCAGTGGGTTTGAAGTACGTGTACGTGAATGCCATCATCTACAAGATCAAAGACAATCCTTCATAGTAGAAGGATTACTTCTACTACAATAGTAAATGCGAGAGCACTAAGAATAGTAATCTTGTTAGTAATAATTATTCTTGAACATCATACAAATGTCTCTTATCTTGAATGAGAACTATTAGTTCCATCAACTTTTTCAATCCATGTTTTTAAAACAACTAATAGAGTTCATTTGATAGTAAGGATTCATTAGTCATCCCCCAAAAATTCATGATGAGATCCTCATTAGTAATCTTTGATAATGGAGGCTCTACTGTATCACTCTATTTCAGGAAAAACTTAATTTTATCTAAGGTGAAAATTAAGTTTTGAATTCTTTCTTCAGAATGTAATTGAGCAGTAAATTAATTCCATTTCTCAGTTTCCTCATTGAGAATAAATTTAGTATCCAATTCAGCCTTATATATTATGTACCTAATATTAATTGAATATATATACTCTTCATCAATGAATACTAGTAATTAACATATCCAACATTTTAACCAAAACGGACAACCTGTTAATAGACTGGATCTAATCTTATATTTGTCTAGTAGTCTCTAATCAATTTTGAAGTTATCAAGACAAGAATTAAAGAGGATAGCATTTCTCTTAAGGAAACAGTGATTTCTATCCAAAATGGCGTTGTATTCTCTTTGATTTGATAATCCCAAATAATATTTTTTGCAATTTTCACTTCCACATAAACATAAGGCTTGCAATTGTTCTTGTTTACTCTCAGTGAATGAACAGTAATCAAAAGTCAACTCTTCTCCAAATTGTATATCACGCATTGCATACATCCCAATAACATAAGTGCCATTACTGACTGTAGTGACAGTGCCACAATTGGGATTGCATGAGTGACTTAATCTTGATGAAAAATTGCCTTTGTTGATTGGGTCAACGAAGAGTATATCAATTCCATCCTCATCATCAAGATGTCTATCCAACATGATATTGTAAAAGTCTGGGAGAATATCCTTTTTGTTTTGCTCCTTCATTTGTTTTTTAATGAAATCCTGTTTTTCATACCATCTCCAAGGCTAATAGATTTCTCCTAAGTATGGTATAATGAGGGAATTAGTTTTGATGCCAAATTTGTTGACACAAACCAATCCACATCCTTTAGTGTGGATACGGAATCCTCCTCCATCAAGTTTGATGACTCTTTTGATTGATTTGGCCATCTTTCTATCATCCTTATTATAATAACTGGAAAGCATTCTGGACTCTCGTATGATGTAATCACATGCTAATCCCATATCATAGCCTCTCTCTTTATCGTTTGGTCTATTGATGGCCAATATCAATTTCTCTATAAATTGGTTCTTCTGAGATTCAACGTAGTTCAACGGCAATATGTTGATAATGACATTTCTAGTGTAAACATCTATGCCCCAACACAAGGTCTCCTTAAATTAATATATGATGGCATTATACTTCCACATCTGCGTTATCACCAAAATTTGTTCTATTAATTAAATATTATTTTAATTAAATCTGCATATTTGAACATGGTCTATCAGTTCCTTCGTGTTCTCTGCACTCAATTCTATTGCTTCTATTGGGACATTCTGAATCCCATTTGATTTCTGAATAATTGAATGTTCCCATTCTGCTCAAATCGAAACAAACACAATCACTCTTACATTTAACTGGAACTTTCTTGCTTGATAACTTTTCCTTAATTTGAGAAATATGGGGCTCTTCATTTGGATTTGGTTCATAATCTTGGATTTCTTAGTAAGTACGTATTTCCTTCTTCTCAGGCACGACAGGCCAAATCGTGGAGGATACTTTAAATTCGGTATTCATTTTAAGGATATTGTATACTTCCTCCTTTATGAGTTCAGAGAATTCTTGAATCACCGTCCTAATCTTTGGCTTCGCACCCTCCCAGACCTTGGACAAATAATAGTAGGATTATTGGTTTTGGCATTTCATGTAAATGTTACCAAACAATTTATGCAAATCCTTGATTATTTCTTAAATATCCCAATACTATCGGTATTCCACTCTTTTTCTGAATTGATGCAAATAACACAAATTACTCCTGAAATTGATAGGCTATTCTTTTACTGTATTATACCTTCATTAATTGCGCTGTCTCGTCATACTAATACTCATACTCCTTATCGAACCATTCTCTATACGAGTCCTTTGGATTGCTCTCCACATTCTCAAACTCTGCAATTAAACCACTCAATTCCTCACTATCCAAAATATTCTTCGGATCACTCTGAACCAACAAATCCACAACTGTTTCCAAGTGTTTCCAAGCATCTTCTCTCTTTACCACCTGGGTTTTCACTTTTTTCTTATTCTCCACTATTCCCACCATATTATTTTTCTTCCTCTATTTTTTTATCTACTTCGAAATTGAGTCGCTCTTCTTCTCCTCCTCAGCACTACTACTTTGTTTCACCTTCATCCCCTTTGCGCGCTTCAAGCTCATCTCTATATTAATTTTAATTTTATATGGGAATTCCATAGCCAAAACAAACCCAATCCTAACTTTTTGAAGAAACCCTCAAATAATTCGACATAATCGACAAATAATCTACATACGTACTATTTCAGAACAATTCTACAATGCAAAAGTTAGAATATTGGACTTTCAAGTATCATGATGAAGACTCCTTCAAAAGAGCAGTAAAAGATCTGACTCCACTGAGAACCTGTCAAACTCTGCTTCAAATCTTTAAACAAAACACTGTGACTCACGATGAATTCTGTTCTACATTCTATGAACTCCAAATACTCGTTGAACATCCAATACAAAGTTTCGCAGAATACCTTCAAAATAGAGGACAACATGATTACTCATCAAAAGAATTGTATCATCTGATTGATTGTGTAGTGTTCGCTCAATTAAACCTCGATAAAAAACAATATATAGGATTCAATAATCTATGGCAAGGCGAAAATGATGTCTGGAAACTGAGAAGCTTTGATTACTCCTACCGACCCATCGACTTCTGGGGAAAACAAGTACCCCACTTGTACCCAGCACCAGAAGACTTCAACTAAGATCCATTGCTTAAGCATTCCCTTGAATAATCAACCGTATTCACCTTCGGCATGCTCCTTCTCCATGTTGCCCTAGGTATTGCATTTGCATAATTAAGCATAGCTAAGTCATGCGACTCACTTTACTAGAACAACCTTGTAGATCATCAAAGATTGACAACTAGAATTGCTGAATTCTACAAAAACTATCCTACCACCCTAGCAGATATCATTGCGAATATGCTCTAATTGGATCCAAATCAAAGATGCACTTACCAGGATATTCAAAATAGATTGAAAGAAGCTTAACAATGCAAGATAACTGATAGTACGAACCTACTCTTGAAGATGCACAAACAAAGCAATAGCTAATCTAAATTCTAAGGAAATCCTTATAAATCTCCTATAGAAACCTAGAGATTAATGAACATTCCACTCTATCCAGAATAAACATTTTTAAATTCTCAATCAATCCCTGGAAATAACAGTTTACCAAATTGTGCCAACCCATTACAATTCAATAATTAACAATTGATTGCAACTACCAAACAATAATAGATAGACCATTCAGAACCTTAGACTCCTATGCAAAATTGGAGTCAATCAAGGGCAGATAGACTATAATTTGGTGATGGAAGATATTATGTGGGAGAAATCATGAATGAATAAATGAACGGTAAAGGTGTTCTGTATAATTCTGATTCTACAGTTGAATATAAGGGTGAATTTTTAAATGGTCAATTCCATGGGGTTGGAATTTAATTCAATAAAAATCCTGATATCATGGATACTTTCCTTAATGTTAATGAATTTCCTGGCATTTTGAATTATTGGGTAAAATATGAGGGTGAATTCTATCAAAATAAGTATATTGCATATCAGTATTAGAAAACATGGAATCGGAAGTATTACATTCTCAAACAGTGATTGTTACATTGGAGGATTTCAGAGAGATTAAATGAACGGAAAAGGCACTTACACTTAATAATATGGGTAAACTTATATTGGGTTTTGGGAATGTAATAAACTAAAATGTTGATTCATTATTTATTAATTTTAATATGGAAATTGAAGAGTCTTATCAAGAAGCTAGACAAATTCTAAGTTAGAATTTAGAAAAAGGTCGAGTCAAATTAAGCCCTGAAGAAAAATTAAAATGTGATATTGCCTAGGCTATCATTTATGAACATGATCAAAAAAGATTATAGGCTGCCTCTATCTTCTATAATTTAAGCTAAAAGAAACCAGAATACTTTCAAAAAGCCATCATCAATGGATTGACTGCTCCTGCTTCTGCAAAGAGACAAGCACTTCTTCTCACAATCTATAGGGACAGTCGAAGTTAAAAGTCAAAATGGCTTCCTTTTATTCGATCTAAGTAATTTGGTTTCAATTATTTATTCAAGTGTGCAATAGGATCTATTAAAGTGGAATGATATTGAAACCTTCGCAAGAGAAAATAAAATAAATCCCAATTTATTTTGTGAACATATCATTACAGCTATTAGTCGATTTTACAGCAACATCTCCATATAGAAACTGGCTCAGTATTGCAAATTGAAATAGGAAGAAGCTTATGAGCTTTTAGAGAACATGATCATCACAGAGAGATTACAAGCCTAAATAGATCAATAATAAGGATTTATCTAATTTTAACATAAGGAATAATGTACAATAGAAGAATTCTGTACAAATTTATATAGTTTATGCTAATGAATAATTATCTACAATTATAATTCATTAATAATAATTGAATTCCTCTCTAATGTTTAATTTTAATTATGAAAAGCTTTCATTCATATTATGATAACATTTGAAAACACCTGAAATCATCCATTATCCTGTATTCGTCTTTTCCATACATTCTTAGAAATCATCCTTCAATAATTAAAATTAATCCTAAACAAATTTATCTGCATCTTTCAAACCTTAAGTGCATTCAATCACACAAAATCTGATTGATTGTCTATCTTTGAAAATATCATCGTAACAACGATTCCTAAGACATTTGGTGATCTAATTCTCATATTAAATATCTACTTTATTTTGTAGCACTGCATATTCAAGCAATAAAAACTTGTTCACATCTGCTATATTTTTGTTGTATTCAATATAAAGATCGGCAGCTGTCTTCCTTTCTTGTTCATTCAAGATATCCTTGTCAAAGAGCTTTTGAGTGTTCTCATCGATCGTGTTTTTTAAATGATGAAAATATGGATATTCTCCCTCTTTAGCTGTCCTCATTAATATTAAATATAAAAATTCATTCTCTATATTTATGCTACTTGATCATGTTCTAGATTTCATCAAGCACTTTTATTTTACTTTATTGAACATATTTTTATTAAACTACAGTATTCTTCAAGGCTTCCCTCTCCCCAAGCAATTTTTCATTTTCCAAAGATTTCACCTTTTCCTCAAGCTATCATTAATTATTGCAATATAAATTACAAATTTTTATTCATTCTCCAGATTCTTTGAATTCTATTTGCTCTTCAGATATTTAGCTTTGAATTAATTAGTATGTTCTTCTTGTTATTGTAACTATCTTTTCAAATCAGAAGCATTTCGCTTCCATTCATTTGCCTCCTCTCTAGCAACATGCACTTCTGTAACCAGAGAATCAACCTTCTTCTCAATATGTAAGATCTCCTATAAATTGTAAACACACTAATGATACTTATTCTTGTTATTGTCTCATGTAATCAATCTCCCTATCTTGTTCGTATAATAAATGCTATAATCTCCTATTCTCTTATTCGCAAATCTCGATTTCATGATGCAATCTTTATTTCTCTTTCTAATCGATCTAATATTGAACATCATATTTTGTTATTTTTTCATCCTAAATTTAGAGACTCTATCTATATTTCTCTATTTCTCCTTTGAGATCTCTTACTTCTTGAACATTAAATTAAGCCTCATTGAGTGCTTAATCTGTTTTGTACTTCTAATCTTCAAGTTAAGAATACAACTTCATTTATTCACCTTGTAAGTCTTAGATTTGTTTATTAACTATAATATCTTCTTTAGATTTTTCTTATAATTTCTATTCCAATTACTAAATATAGGATTGCATCTATTTGGATTTTTATTTCTTTTTCTGCAATGTCTCTTGTAATTCACTGTTTAATCCTTGTTTCTCTTAATCTAATTTCCCCTACAACATTTGATATCTTGTGTCAGCTTATCGTAATTGTTCCTCTAGATCTTAAACTCTCTTCCCTTAATTTTCTATTGTAATTTACAAAATCTTTTTCTCATCTACAAATTCCTAAATTTTAGCTCTTAATTTATTTGTGTTTTCCCTCTCTTCTTAAATCATCATTTCTAAATATCTTCTATCTTCCTCCTTCTAATCTAGCAACTATTTAAAATGCTCGTTTTCATCACTCAAACACATTAGTCTCTTTTCTGAATCTTTACTAATGAATCATTAATCAATTAATCTTACATTTCATTTGAGAAGTCTTCACACAATTTCTACACTCTGTCTAATTCTTATTGGAATCCTAGCTTCTAATCTTCGAACTTACTCTAAACACAACATCAAATGTAATTTTACATCAATCTTTTTTTGAGATTCTTTTAGTAGTTGAATTTTTGCTTTCTTTTTGGTCAATTTCTATTTGGCTTACGTTAATTAGGCTCTTAGTTCTTCAGCAGTTCGTGTTTATTAATCTTCTTTCAAAATCTATTCTTTCTATTCTTGCAATTGATTATACAGATTCTCCTATTATTCCCTTAGTTCCTTCTCGTACTTTTCGATAAGATCATCTTTGCCTCTGATTGTGGATTCCAGTTCCTTTGTTTGATCAATATATTCCTTAAGAGTTATCTATTTTAATTATTAATTCAATTTTATACTTTAAGCTCTTTATTTAAACTTCTCATTTTGTTATACTTGTCTCTTGATACGTACTCCTTTTCTTTGTCGTCCTTGTAATTTTTGTCAGAACGTATTGTAGTATCATTCTTCCCGCCTGATTAATACAATTAATCGATGACTTATTTCGAACGATTATACCTCTCCAACAATCGTGAAAAGTCCTTTTCTATCTTTTCTGTTTGACCATCTCTCAAATTCATTTTTAATATTCAAATTTATTAACTGATTTAAATTACGTAAAATAACAATTATTTATCAATTACATCCTTGTCTCTATTATAGTGATCCTACTCAGTTACTTTCGATCTTCATCTAATGCTCTTATATTAGAAGAATGTGAAAAATAAATAATAGGATTAATGCAATTAGTTTTATTACAAAATAATTTAAAAATTCATATATTATATATGAATATCAAAATCTTGTACTATCATTCATGTTCCTCTTGTTGCTAATTAGATTTATAATAATTTTGATTATATTATTAAAATGAAAATGCTTAGCTTTGTTCCTTAGACAATGAATTTTATAATTGCTATTTAAGTAACTTATCAGTAGTCAGCTATAGCTAGGTTTACATCTCTATATTTTATTCACGCAAATATTAATTCTCAACTTCCAATTATTGTAACTTGTCTTTCAATTCAGTCAACTCCTCAACCAGATTATTCTAATCGGAACTATTCTTCTATCCCTCTTATACTTATTGCGAATCACTTGATTTCCTGCTCTCTATTTATTGATACTCGACCTCATTCCTATAATTTTTATATCGAATTTTCCATTTTTCTTTTTTCTCTTAAATTTTACTTAATTGCTTGATCTACTCTTATAACTTCTTATTGCTCTCAGTTAATTGATTTCTTTGACTTTACTGAAGATTGTTGTCATTCTCCAATTATTTTATCTTGTCATCCTTGGATGTGCCTTTAGTTTAAATTTCAACCAATTTTTAATAGAGAGAATTCCTTTCCTCCTTTATTTCCTTGTAATTATCTTGGATGATTTTATATTGCAATTTCATCTCTAATAGCTATTACTTCATCGATTCATTTTATTCTGATAATTGTTTTATTTACTATTCCAAATTATTCTCAGACTCCAGAGTCTTTTCCATGCACCTGAACTTATGGTACTATTCCAAATAGCTCTAGTTTTTCTATCTGCTTTTAATAAATAATTACTTGTAAGTGTATGATAGTTTCTATATTTCCTGCTATTGTCTTATTGCTTAAATTTATTGCTTTAATAATAGGTTTTCCATTTCACAATCATGTAGGGCAGATGATTTCCTCAAGTATTGGTTATTTAAATCATCCAATTCTAGCTCTAGCAATTTTCTTTGCTAATTTGATCTATGCAATTCCTATTCAAGTTGATTACATTTTATAATCTGATCAGTGTTACACTTAAAAGGTGACTTAGAAGTGCAGGACTCCTAAAACGAAGCCCGAGTTCCTCTTGACGTATTCAGAGTGAGATTGAACTTTTTTTTTAACGGACTAGATTACATTTTATAATTATTTACAGAAGCTTATAGTTCATTTGATTATTTTTCAATAATTTTTCTTATTAAATATCGAACCATATTTAAGGGTTCATATTAGAGTATTATTCCAGAATAATGGAATAGTTCAATAAGAAGTTTCTTAATGGTATTGAGCTAAGTATTTATATTTGAGATTGGTGTTAAAAATTATTGGTTATTATATTGTTTATTTTATATTGAATCAGTGAATTGAATTAGTTTAAGTAATTAATTACGAATAAATAAAAACAAATTAAAATCATTAGAAAATGGTTCCTTTCAGGAATCGATTTCGATGCTTTTTTCAGTAATTTAGTTTAAGCTGCTTGAAGTTTAGAGATGTAATCTCTTGATTCTTCTGAGTGTCTTTAATTTTTGAGAGACTTAAGTTATAGCATCTCTTCTGTCTACTAACTTGTCATTAACATCTTGACGCATAATTATCATTTTGAGTATTGATTTTTCCTCTTTGGCGATATATTTTTGATCGTAGAGAGTTTGCACATACTTGAGAGCGTTTTAGAAGTAGGTTTGTGTCATTTAAGAAAAATTGATTTTTATATTATATAATTTTAAATTATATCAAATTAAGTTAAAAGGGGATTTTATTTTTAGTTTATTTTTGGAAATTAATTGTATTTTGGATATATATTGGTGATAAAATAATGCGTATTAATTTTATGTTATTTATTTTAAGATGCGCAATATTAGCGATGTTGGTGAAAAAAATTATATATGGCAAGAATTCTAGAAGCATTTCCCATATTCTATATAACTAATAATTGGTTAATATATGGTTTTGGAGAAAATATATACACACAAATCTCACTGAAATATTTTTAAACAGGACTTTCAAAACAACTCTTCATCAGTCTCCTCATCAATTATAAGAAGCTAGGGCTGCTTGATCGTGGACTCCCTTCTGTATTTTCTAATTAATTATAAAAAAAAGTAAGAGAGCTATTCTGCACTAATTGTAGAGGGTATTTTAAATTCATTTCTAACTATTAGATCTTTTAGGATAAGTTTCTCCTCCTCATTAACAAGTTTAAGTTCGCCCAGGGAGCGCAAAGTTTAAAAACACATCCTAAAAAAGGATTCATTCATCATTTCTGATTAATAATATTAATATGCTCTTTTTTTTATTGTGCTGAATTTAAATTAATTGAGCCAACTCTTTTATTAATACATATAATAATATTTCTATTAAGTGTGATTTGTAAGAAATGTTCAATTTAAATCAAGTTGTAATAAAGTATAACTATTTTCCTTTTTAGTTGAATCAACTTCTAGTATTGTATGAGTTACAAATTTGATAAAAGTATTGTATTCATTTAGAAACTATCAGGGGAAGCAATTAATGAGTGTTTTTAATTGAAGAAAATGATGTTATCAAAGTTAGTTGTAAAATAATGAACTTAATTAGAATCATATTTAAATCCATGTAAGCATTTAAAAGTTTTTATTTCCTTTCTTTCTTTCATAGATAATCTTAGAAGAGAGCTGTGAGAATGCAATTTATCAGGAGAGGTGATTTATTTAGGAATGATTAATATTTTAATATTATTTTAGCAAATAAACCGAAATTAGAAAATTTTAACTTATTTATTTGTAACAATATCTCATCTGATAAATAAATATCAAAAAGTAAATATACTTTAAATATTGATAAAAAAGAAATAATTCAAGATCCCAAAATAATATTTTTGAACATTTCCATTCTCAGACTGCTTCTTTCTTCAGTTCTAATACTTGATTCGAACAACTATTTCTTGACATCATGAAGCTTGATCATCCTTTCCTCTACAGTCTATTGGCAAATTAATCTATAAACATGTGTCTCCTTAGTCTAACCAATTCTATAAACTCTTTCTATGGCTTATTCTTCTACAGCAGGGTTCCTTCATGATTTATTAATAAATTTACCACCAAGGATCTATCATGATGACATGATTGGCAGCAGTTAGATTTAATCCAACCCCACCAGCTTTGAGTGAAATGATAAATATCCTGTATTCATCCTACTCTTTGAAAGTCCTCAAAACTTCAGCTCTCTCTTATTATGGCATGCTCCCATCCAATCTCTAAATATTATCAATCAATAGTTTACTAAATGCTTAATTTTCTAATTATCAAGATCAAATTCGATCATTTGTATCATGCCAATAAATTAAGTGAATATCACACACTTTTCATTCTTTGGAATAGCATCCAATATTTGCATTACTTTTTCTATTTTGCTTGATCTTTTATAGTTTTCCTTCCAATTTAAACTAAATGAACTCTCCCTAGGCAAAGTCATAGTATCTTGTTTGGTTAAATATTTCCTGCAATATGGACATTCACTGGAATTTGCCAAAATACCATATAAACATAATCGACAAAGAAAATGCAAACAAATAGTGACAATTGTATCTTCCACCTATTCCAAACATACAGGACATGGTGGAATATCATTTTCTTTGACTCTCCTCAAAACCTCTTGTTTATATTATTGTTGATCTTGGCAGATCTGAACTTATTAATTGTTCATTAACAATTCCTCTTAGTCTTCTCTATCCAAAGCTTGACTACTTAGGAATTTATCAATCTGCTCTTCCAATTGATCAATATTCTTGACATCACTTCTAGATGTAATTAGTAAGGGATGATCACAAATTTGTCTAAGTCTAATTAAGAGTTCAAACACTTTCATATATTGAGACATTAAGATTCCTTTGGCTAAGAACCCTTCAACTTCATCTTGAGATTTCTTCTCCATCTTATCATAGACCATTCGCTCATCCTTCTTTAATTCTATGTATTCGAAGTGAATTTCTTTATTTGGTAAATTGATTATGGGCCTCCCATTTTGATCCTTGCTCTTCTTGGTTCTCCTTAACAAAATTGGTCTCAGAATGGAATTCAATAGAGGAAATATATTATCCTTCCCTTCCTCATGGGGTTTATTGATGTATGCATTCCACCAGAGATAATCAGACCATGGTTCTAGTTTAATAAAGTGTATTAGACTAAACATATCATTGAGATTATTTTAAATAGGTGTACCAGTTGAACACCATCTATAATAACAATCTAATTCATAGGCTCCTTAAGCAAGCAATGTTGTTCTTCCCTTGATATAATGAGCCTCATCTAGAATCACTCTGAACCAACTATAATTATAGACTGAATATGGATCTTTGGAGGATTTCTTAAATTCTACACTAATTGTATGATATGAACTGACAACCACATCATATTGGCATAAATCTGATAGATTTCTTTCAGCTCCAGTATACTGAAATATTCGTAAGTGCTGACTACAATGATAATTCAATTCATCTTGCCATTATTATAATAAACTCACTGGAACTATTATCAATGTCCTAGCCCATTTCTTCTTCTTATATCCTACATAATCTCCAATCCATTTCTTCCCACTTTGATTCTAATTCTTCTTAGTACTTCTATGATGATAGTCCTATGGAGTTTTAAATGGATTAGCCAAAATCAAAGAAATCAACATCACAGTTTTACCCAAACCCATTTCATCAGCTAAAATGCCTCCATTACATCTTCGAGAAGAGGATGGAAAATCCAAAGAAGACAAACCTGAAAACGGATTGAAATATATTTTTAAGCCTTGAGTTGTTTAATACTCTTTCCATAATGGATGCAAAGCATTAGAAGAACTTTCGTCATCCACTTTAATCACTCCTTCTCTCTACAATAACCATGTTAATGCCTATTTCTAATAATCAAATAGTTTCGAGCCCAATTATTTTGGACCATCATGCATTTCCAAATCATGATGAGTACAATTATTAAAGCCGAGGAACTTATCGCAATCTATTTCTTCGTTCATTTCATTTTAAGGCTTCTCCCTCTCTATTTCTACTTTCATCATTTAACTCTAATCTGAAGCATTATTTTTTAGCTTAAAATCATTTAGAGATAATTATTTTGGCTTCTATTTAAAAGGGTCTTCTTAATAGGTCACTGCTGATTTACTTAAGGTGTTGTTATTACTATTTTCTTTTATCTCCACATTGCTAGTTTCTATTTTTTTCTTGTCAATAAAATCCACTTTAGTTGAAGTTATCAATTTGCAATTGACTAAATCATATAACTTTTAAAAGTTGTCACTGTATCTAACAAACTCTTGCACAGTATCATCAAACTAATCGCTTGTTCCATCAGATAATGCCTTCTCATTTAGAAACACATCAATTTACAATAATATTAAATCATGTGTTTTACATAGGATCTAGGATTGAACATGATATCCAACTATTTTCACGTAGTTCTCCTATAACAATGGACTAAATAGATCCTCGTATTCTGAATTCAATCGACCTATCTAATATGATTACATAAACTTACTTCTCGGTCATTATAACCTATTCTAATTATATTTTATCCTTTCACAATTTTATTTGATTTTTTTCCTTTATCAACCACTTTGCAAGTCCCATCCAAAATTAGTTGAATTGGTTATTATTATACATCCTTCAAATTTTGACTTCCCAAAGCATAACCTTTGATTTTTGCACTTCCTATAAAAAGCGGAAATGTGATGCCACGATTAATAGTTGTTTCTCCTGAATTCAGTTTTAACCCAGAATTTTAGTTTTTTTTTTCATTTTTTTCCGAATCATCGGTTTGTTTACTTTCTCGTTCTTCCAATATTTAATCTTTCTATTCCTTTGTCTTATTCTACTTCTTTTTATTTTTTTATTATTAATTCTGTAATTATGTGTTTTTTTGTTCTTCCTCATTTTTTTATTATTTCAACATTTCTGAACTCTATCGAAATTTAGCTTGTCTTTTTTCCTATGCATATTGAATTGCAATCTCTTCAATATCGTTTGTTTACTAGAAATCCAAATTTCCAGAGGGTTTGCTTAAAACTATCTATTGATCCAAGCATTCCTCGATAGGCTTTTAATACTCCTAATTTAAGTCCTTCAGAATCTTCTATAACTATTATTATTTTTTAGCTCCTTCCATTAATTTAGTGATACCCGAAGTTGGTTATTATCTCTTCTTTCTCTCCTCAGCTTGATAAAAGTAATTTAATGCTAATTCTATGTCATTTTTGCCGTATCGCAAATATTACTTGGCTTTCTCTTCGTTCAATTATCCTCCTGAAATTGCAATCATTTATTGAACAAGTTCTTCCATTTTATATTATAAATTTAAGACTAATTAATTTATTATTTAGAGGGAAAAACATAAAAGTTTAATTTTGAAATTTAGTAAAGCCATAAACACAACACTTTTATTATAATTTAATATTTATGTAATAATTTTTATAATTTCCAAACTTCTCTTCGGCCCATATAGCAACAGATGAAAAATAGCTGAATTCAAGACTGCATTGTTAATTTTAACAATCAACTAAATATAATATTGTTAATTTTAACAATTATTTAAATACAAAAAGTCAAAACAATTTTGCGAATTAAATAGGAGAGCAAGGGAATTCTGAAAAGGGTGATAGTTGTCCAATTAAATCTTCATATAATGGTTCCATAAGATTGCTAGCATATTCTGGCTTATGTCCAAATATTAAATGAAATAACAAATGCATAGGCTTTTCATAGACTTCTCTTCGTTGTTCATTTGTGTAATTCTCTTTGAAGTGCTATAAAGTAAAATAGGAACAAATACATCAACTATTGCATTAATTTTTTTAGCAATTAAAAATTATATCTGAAATTGAATTCTCATTTGCATTAGCAACTTTTGTTACTATTTTCTCAAGATTTCTAATTGATTTCTCATATTATTGATCGACAGTTGAGGGGAAATACTATCAAAATATTGTTCTCCATTTTCTTTTGCTTTTTTCCTTCTTTGAATTTTGTGAAGTTCTTAACTAAAATAGCCATAATTAGTACTAGTTGCCTTGGAAAAAAAGAGGGTGATTATAGATTTTCTAATTTTTTTCATTTTTTTTCATCTTAAATCCATACAAACTCAACTGCCTTAAAAATGATTAAAAATTCTATGTGTTAAAAAATTCTTCCATAATATTGCTTTGAAATTCCGGAATTCTTAAAATCTAAAATCCTTTTCCATCCTTTGTCCAACGAATAGTGGTCTGAAAACTGTCTTTCTAATTAATATTAAAGATCTTCATCTTACTTCCAAAATATCGTAAAGGATGGCAATAAACTTGGCTGGTTTGCTCATGAAATTGTAAAAAAAGTAATATAAAAATATATAAAATATTATCAAAATAATAAAAATCGAAAAAGAGGATAAAAATTGTAATTACATATTAAACTTATGAAACCCATCCAAAATTTTATGATTTCATTCTTGTAATTTTTATATTTTAAATAATTAATTCTTAATTTCTTCACTTTTTTTTGCACCAGTTTAATATTTTTGAAAAAAGAAAATTTACATAGAAATTTAGTACAATATTTTTATTTAAAAGTGATTAATTCTAAGAATGTGATTATAATTTAACTGCGAAATTACTACTCCAATTCTGAAATCAATTATCGATAAAGGAATGTAATAATAATGACAAATCCATAATATCAGCAGCTATAATATTATTTTGAGTTTGAATAATGTTTAAAATTATAATAGACTTTAACTAAGGTAAATCGTGTGCATGCTTGGCTTTCTCTGATGATGGTTCAGTAGAAACTTTAGATTTCTAAGGGAGTTCGCCTATAAAAACACTGATATCAGATTAATAATTAATTGATCTTATAAAGATACAAAAATTTTGATGCCATGATGGTTTTGAAAATTAGAGTATTCCCTTAAGTAAAAAGAATGGTTTCACTACAAATAACAAATATCCATATATTGGTAAAAATATAATGCTAAATGTAAACTTGATAATACAAATTATCTAAGTTTCCAATTGTATCTCCTAATAAGTATAATTTATTGGTTTAATAACTCTTTATTCACAACCTCTTATCTCAAGTTGAAATGAATGATAATTTTGTGGACATTACTATTATATTTACACTGCACTTTCTATTAATCAAATATTGATGATGTTTCTGCCAGTTCATCTTAAAATATTTAGAATGGGGCCATCGACGAATGCACATATAAATTATTAAACAAGTTGCCGACTCATTTTGAAAGGACTTAGTTTGGATAATCAAGAATTCATGAGTAACTATATCGTGAACAAGGATATGTTATATTACTAGCATAGGGTGGTTATGCTGTTTTCAAAATGAATCCTATATTTATTACCTTGATTGAATTGCACATTACATATAAATAATTACACATCTTAATTTTTATGAAAATATTATCTAATTTGATTTACCATTTCAATTATTATTTTATATTTATTATGAAACAATCCTAAATATTTACTAAGAGTTTTTATTAAACTCATGATAAGAATACAAGAAAATTTCTTACAGGTTAATAAGTTGAAGTGGAAAAGCAACCAAAAAAAAATGGAAAAATATTGTCTAGATAAGTCAGACTGCAGGAGACAAATATGATTCAAATTAAAAATGATAAGACAATAAAGTACCCAAATGGTTTCCTTTTGATTACTAAAGTATTGCTGTCTAATAAGTTAGTAAGAGTTTGAAAAATTACCAGAAAATCAAAAGGCTTTTTTCAGATGGACAACCAATTAGAGCAAGAATGTAAGAATATTGTTTGATCGTTCTTCTGAAGGATTGAATAAGACATAGATTGAACAATTTGAAAAACCCACAGCTGTTTATTTTGACAATATTGAAACAGGCATTAGATTCGCAGAATTTTTGAAGTTCAAAAATGCAGAGATACTCAATCATTTGAATGATACTCTTACAAGGATATAGTCAGTGTGGTTTCATTTATCAAGTTTGAAGATAGTTGAAAGTTCAATTGAAAAAATGAATAATGAAGCCCAATAAATTCGATATTATTAACTAAAAGAATAAAATGAATTTCTATTAGATTTTGATGAATTACTTGATTATGACAAAATCAGATATGAAGAAATGTTAAATATACTATTCAAAAAGGCTGAATATGAGGAAAAGCATAAAAAGCAAACTATTAAGCAATAAAAAGTTGAAATAATGAAATAATCAGAGAACTTTATCAAAAATAAGGAGGTTCAAGCAATGAGACAATTGCTTTAACTTTGGAAATAAGTTGCAGGAGGTATATTAAGAGAGAACGAAGATTTAGAGGAATATTAATAAAGAGAGTTGGAAGACGAGGAAAGAAAACTGTAAATAGAGATTGAAGCTATTGAAAATGATTAGTAAAGAATCTCTTAAATATAGTAGTCTCAAATATAGCAGCAGAATTAATAATAAAATTTACCTTAACATAAAGATCTACATCTTACTAAATTTAAACTTATAATAGGCTAACACATTAAATTGTTTAATCCTATTTTGTATGTTTACTTTAAGAGTATAGAATCGAACTATTACGGCAAAATGGAATTTGTTAAAGGTCAAGAGATCAATTTTATGTAATTAGATATGAAGGGATGGACAGCTGATCTCGAGGTGACTTTTTCTGGATTTCAGATGTAGGATGCTTTAGATATAGTGATTTACGATGACTATCAAGAAGTAAATGAGAAGATGTTGGCCAGAGCACAAGAAGAATAAAATAACATTTTGGCTTTTTTGGCTACTGCAAAGAAGGTTATGCAAGGTAGAATTTATCTAAGAGATTTTGAGAAAAACTTAAATAATAATCGAAGACATTTTGCTAGCTTAGAAGTATCAGCGAATTTATAATAAAAAGTGACAGGAAATCAATTACTAAATGTTCCCATGATACAAATAGACATTCATGAGGATAGTCCCTTTTCCATTTTAAATTCTACTGTTAATCCATTTTACTTAGATATTATTGAAGTGCCATTTACAGCTCAGGAAATGAAGTGTTTTGCAAGACAACTAAAATCTCCTTTTAATAGTTTGTAATAGTAATGGGATTCCTTCAAAGTTGAATCTTTGGAATTTGCTCTTCAAGTTAGAGGGCAAATATGGGTTAATAGTAAATAATCAGATGATGATTTAATTGAAATTTAAGAGTTCATTGTAGAAGAACAAGGAATTGAAGAATAAAAAAGTAAATTTACTTTGCTTGCTGAATACTTGTAATAAAACCAGATTCAAAATAAATAGGATTTTGTGAAAAATAAATTAATTTAGGCATGTAGGAAAGGTTTTACTAAATAATCTAGAAATGAATTAATTCCTATTTTCTTATAGTTTAATAACAAAATTACTAAATTCCTGCAAGATATTGGAATTGAGTGGAATCAAAATGAAAGCATTATAGATCTTATTTAGAATGAAATAAATTAGTATATAGAGTAAGATACTATAGAAGCTAATAATGAGAGAGTTTAAAATTACATAGATGGTTTATAATTTAGATAAACTACTGTTTGGACAGATCAGTTTATTAAGAAATTGTAGTTATAGAAAGATAGGATTGCATATCTTTTGAATTGTTTTGAGTTGAGTGATCATATGAAAAATAAGATGATTTTGACTATAAAATTGTTCCAACTTTTTAATTAAAGAGAAGATTGTGATGATTATGTTCTGAAAATAATTTTATGTTTAGATTACAAACTAATGATTCCGAAAATTTAATGTGAGAAGCTTGATTTTTAATGGTTTAGAAGTCATTTGAATAATTTATTTAGTGATTTCTTTTATTTTGATATATGGTTACGGGTATTTGATTATATAATTGGAATAGGTTTTGTAAATGGAGATTTTGACAGGGCAATAGCCAGTGTAATTGGTGGAATTCTAAATGAAGTGGACTCTAACAAATATAGAACCAAAGAAGAATTCATCACAGGGCTGACAATTTATGGCAAGTTGTTATGTGATCCTGAAAAATTGATCATGGCATGTTATAACTCATATAATCATCAGGAATTCATATATTTAGAATCTGATGAATAAATCTTAGAGATCTTGACCTTAAATGGTAATCCATTAGAGCAGATTTGCAAAGATCAGATCTAATAATAATAACAATCACATATATAAAGTTTTATTATTGATGTTCCTGAGGAGCATGAAGGATCTATTTATGAGATTCATGAATAGCACTAATAATCAGCAAATTTGTAGAGATCTCATTAAAAGTATCTATTCAAGTAAAAAGTTGAAAAGATTCATATTTTAATACATTCCATGTATTTGCATTAGATAGTCTTTCATGAGTAAAATGTAGTTTCAATTTAGAATCAAAGAAGAAATGAAGAGGATGGATTATATTTTGAATTGCCATTCACTTCTTAGATTGTGGATATATAAATAAATGAGAACTTTAAGGGATAAATTGATATTGGTTACTTTTTAGTAAATACTATTTACAAAAACACATTAATTTTAAATGATAACTATGATATGGAAAGACACTATGAAATATCTGAGTTAGAGTATTCAATTTTGTTAATAGGAGAAGGATTGCCATATGAAAGAGTGATGAGCAAAGATAATGCTATAAATAATTTTAATGACCTTGCATAACAATTCAAAGTATAGCACAATTTTTCCTCACATCCAGATGCATTTAAACAAGGGAATGTATTAAGTTTTGCAGACTTTAATTAATTGATGCAGCATTATTTTAAATTAGATCAAGCATCCCATAATTTGGATGAGTTATATGAAAAGTTTTTGTTAAAAGGAAATTAATATATATACTTGATTGATATTTTGTTGAAGTTAAATTAGAATAAATAATTGGAGGTATTAAATTTATTCATCCCAAATGAAAAGATTAGTCATAAACAATTGAGGAGGGAATAATTAGAATTTAATGGAGATGTGAAATTTTTAAAAGTATTGATATCAGATGAAAATTATGGGTAAAGTGTTGATTTAACAGCTTATTTCAATGGTTTGCTGTTAAATCATTATTTAAAGTACAACTCGTACGATATGTTGTTAATTGATCATAATAATAGATTATACTTGCTAGACAATGCAGGTTCTTTCTTGTCACAGTTACGAGCATGTACATATAATAATATTTTTAGAAACTTTAATTTTAAGTCTAAAATTTAGTAGTTTCGGTAACATTCGCAACTTGCAATACTAGCTAACTAAATAATTTAAATTAACCAAGGAATTGCAAACTTCTGCAATCTCAATTAAAGAGCTATTAGAAAATAACAGCAGATTATTATCTCTGGATAACAATTACATTTTGATGAATGAAAAACTCTCTACTTTCAATTCACATTTGGCATATTTAAGATGCAGAGATGGATCCAAACAATTCTATACTTGTGATGTTATCGGGAGAATTTTGAACAAGAATAACGAATTGCAATACTTTGTTGTACAATTGGAGTAAGACAAGAGGATCATTAAGTCTAAGGATGATGTGTTATTAATTGATAACATCCCTCTGGAGGAATTGGAAGTGTTTGATAAGACATGGAAACAAGTATTATGATGATGATATAATTTTAATAAATAAAAATCATTATTAAAATATCACTGGGTCCAATTCTCTATAATACCATAATGCTAAATAACGAATAATGAATAATGCTGCTCCCAAGCTTATAACAGCTGGACTGTTAAAGTTCAAAAGACTCACATATATTAAACTCAAAAATGTTATCACAGTTGCGGTTGGCATATCATATTTGCAGGCATCTACCCAAGAATAATATACAGCTGTGGCTAGAAATCCTACGGCCACACTGACTACTCCTTGTTTAAATTTCGTCATATATACGTTAGTTTTGAAGTTGCCCCAATGAGGCAGCAACCCCCAGATTTAGAGAATTGATGGCACAAATATGGCTATCCAACAGCACACTCCTCCAGAAAAGCCCATGCTGTGAGTTCCCAAAAATATAGCAAAATTCAAATATGGACCAGGTAAAGCAGCAGCCAGTCCGAATCCCAACCAAAATGCATCTTCGTTTATATATAAAGGATTAAGTACAGTTTCAGCATACATAAATGGTAAGGTTATTGGAGTGCCTCCTATCATGAAAGTTCCTATATTATAAAAGGTTAGGGATATATCTAAGATCATCGATTAATATGCTGAATTCAAATATAGCAATGCAAGTAGGATTATTGCATACAAATAAAATGATTTATTCCCCAATAATTAACTAATTTTATGGCTATTTTTGATATTAATTAATTTTGGATCGGTGATAATAGCTGGAGTTACTGTTTGATCTTTTATAAAAGTGCTACGACCTGCTGTATTTTCTGCATCGTATTCCAACATTATGGCCAAGATTCCACCCATCATCATTGTTAAAATTAACACATAAGATTATTGATATGCCACCAGAAGAACTGCACTTAATATTGACAAACTCAAATGCACCCTATTTTTAATTGAATGCATAGCCATAGAAATCATTAACTATAATATTAAAGCCACTGTACTCGCTTTGATTCCTTGGATGGCTAAAAATATCAAAATGTTCAAATCCCTAGGATCAGAATACCTGCTGTATAAGAAACCCAATAATGCTAACAATAAGGCTCCAGGTGTTGCAAATGCTACCAGGGCAACCACGCCACCTTGAGCATTCTTCATTGCTATTGTACCTAAAGCTACCATCATCTATGAAGTTGTTGCTCCAGGGATGAAGTCTACTAGTGATATGATTTCCTCCAATTGAGATTCCTTTTATTATTAAATTTGTTTACTGTCACTGCCTATGCTTTAGTGACGAATACTTCCTTAAATTAGCCATATAGACTTGCATTAAGAGTTTTAATGTCGAAAAGAGCAAAAGGGTATGCCAGACTGAATAACTCCTTATAAGTTAGAGTTCTAGATGCATCGATCAACAGAGAAAATTTAGCCGCAACTGGTTGAGGTCTCAAGGTTTACATTTCAATCATCTTAATAAATAATTATATCTCAATTATTAAACAATTTATGCACAAACTACATTTAATCATTCCTCCTTCTGCTCTTAACTACTCAGAACCTACTACTGTATGCCACCATTTTTAGATGTCAAGTCAATTAATATTCAATATTCCAAAACTATTCCAATATTTTAATTTTTTGATAATGTCTCTACATTTTATTCCTTTCAATTTTGTAACCAAGTCTGCATGTGTCATTTCATTTATAACTTTGATATTAGATCTTAATCATTATCATAATTGTAAAAGCACTAAGTATTTATATATAGTTTTGTTTAAGAATCGATATAAAATTAGTCCTTTTTATATATTTAATCATAACATATAATATCTTAATTAATCACCACATAAAATAATTATTTTCGTATTCCCTTCTTAGATAAACAAAGGGTTATGTAAAAACACTTCATAAGATCTAATAATATTTTCATCTGCTTGTTCCGACTTGATTGATAAGTATTGAATTTTTAAGGGATTATTTTCAACTTTTTGATAAAATTCACTATTGGAATCACTAGTTTCCTTACCTTTTTACAAAAATACTTATTCTTTTTAATTCGGGTTTTTAGAGAATAAATAAATTTGATTTTAATATTTGATGAAACACATTATTATTTGATTGAGTTTATGTTCATAAATTTTACTGCGACTTTAAAATTAACTTAATATTTTATATTGGTATTGTTGATTTGAGTTTTCTGCATCTTTATACTAATCATCCTTGATTTCTAGATTGTTATCGTTCTTGAGTGGCTCTTTAATTTTAATTAATTTTCCACTTTCAGTTGAAAATAAAATATTCTAATTGTCTGAAAGCTCAAAACAGGTAATTTTATCAATTTTATCATAAGCATCTTCCAATGTAGGATGATAATCCAAAGCATTTAATTAGATGTTTAAATTATTCTATTAGTTTTCCCCCATAATCATTAAGCATTATTACAACGCATATTTATAAGTGTGTTTGTCTACTTATACCAATTAACCTGCTGCTTATTGATTTGCGTTATTTTAATTCTGTTCTGGTATTTCCAATTTACCTTGTGTTAATATTAATTCTTCTTTCTTTTAGCTAGTAGATATCAGACTAACAGTGTAATGGGGAAAAACCAAATGATTATTCCAAATACATAGGTTATCAATGATACTATCAAAGTAAAATCTTTTGATAACCTTACCATCGATAGTCTGAATTAAGAGCTACATGTCATCACCACAAGAACAGAGCTGATTGTTAAAGTAAACCATTGATCTTACAGAATCATTATGACTATGCAATTTTTTCATTATTTAAGAGACATCAGATAAATTCAATATATATCTAATCTTATTGACACTATTAATCCAATATTTACCGGATATTTGATATCTAATGATTTGATTACTTTCATAACCAGCAATCAAATATGATTAATTCTAGTTCAATTCAACATTAAGCAAACAATTAATAAACTCATAAAGATTTTGTTAATATGGTATAATAATATGGCGTAGGTCTAGTTCATCCTTTGAAAAACTCAAACTTTGTTAATTCTCATTTCCTTAGTTCTCTTAAGCATTTGTATACTATGGTAATTGTTCAGGTTTTGATTGGACTGATATATTAGCAATATCCCACAGATAGATATTTTTATCAGCTCCTGCAGATGCTAAAAAACACTTTTACTATTTCAAACTCTGACCCCCTTATTTCTCTATTTTGCTTTTCCACAGCTATCTTTTAACTTCTTACCATTAGTTTTCATCTAGGTTTTGGTCTTTTTATTCATTGATTTCATTGCATTTCTCAAAACTTTCCTCCAACACAACGTTATGGAGAGTCGCTGCAAACACATAGGAAGTATGTTTGTTTAAATTATGAAGTTATAGACTTGTAAGTTGTGCATTTGATGTTTAGAGAGACAATTAGCTTCTAAGCTTCTATGATTCAAGAACCTAATTCATATTAATTTTATATTATATATATTAATAAAATCATTCAGCATGCTATGATTAGCTAAATTTAATTACTTCTTCGTTTTGCTATTATTATTGTTATTACTTATAGAGAGGTTCCCAAAAAGAATCCTAAAACTACCTTTGATTCTTTTCTTTTAATTCAATGAGTTTCAACTGATTTTATCCAAAATCATTCACTTTGTATAACATTTCTGTGGCAGGATCAGTAAAGAATTCTCTCTATAGTTGAGCTATGATAGCCTCCATTCCACCTATGATGCCTCCAATAAGAATTATAGACAACCAGAAATGAGGAGTACCAACCATAGTAAATGGAGTGTATTCCATCAAAGTTCCTGGCCAAAATTATGATATGATAACGTAGATGATGTAGAGTAATACAGATAGGAAAGTTATGCAAATAAAATTAAACCAAGTCCAATATTTGGTATGGATAGCTATTTTCAAGTCGGCAATCTTAAATATGAATGAAATTTAATACCAAAATAATGCTAGAATACACAGTCAATGAAAATGCTGCCAATCCTCCAGGAAATCCATTGTCTTCAACAATCTCATAATCTAAAATCCAAAGTATGAAAAAGAAGATTATCATACCGTGTACTAAACCATTAAATGCCCATAATGTATAGTTTGGAATGGTAAAAATACTTTTACTTTATCCGATAAAGTAAAGACTTGGAAATTTAACTTTAAGGTAATCTTCAAACTTTTTTTAAACAGATGCAACTTCCTCCTTCTCATCAAATTAAATGTGTTGTCTGTAATTGATGTCCTGATCAAAAGTACCTCTCATAATAAGTGGAAGTGCAGTGAATATTAAATTATAGAAGGTAATGTACCAGTCATCGAAAAATGATTGTCCAGAGAATGCACAAAAATAGGAAAAGAAAAACTATGGAACAGTGAAGATCATGTTTTTGTAAAAGAAGTATAAAACCATCTCTGCAATTCGAATGTAATTCCAATGGCCATGAACCAACAACAATCTCCATAGACATCTAAATTCTCCCAAAGCAAAATCACTACTTTGAACAGCCCTCATTCCTTCGTTTCCATACAATCCTACTCCGATATGAGCAGCTTGGATCATATTCACATCATTAGCACCATCACCAATTGCTAAAGTAATTTTGTTGAGTCGATCTTTAATTAATCTTACCACATCAGCCTTCTATTTCGGAGTGACTCTACAACAAACAACGCTTTCACAATCCTTAGCCATACTCACAAATGCTTAGGCTAATTCCTCATTATCAATTACAAATTATAGGGATGACCCTTCTACAACGAATGACTAAAGGTAAGAATGCAGTTAAATACTTTTTTTCTATTCTCTTTAATACAATGTTCATATGTTTCTTGAATGTCTCCAATCTTTCTTTTGCAATCATCAACACTTGATTCCGACAACCTCATGACAGTGAAGTCACCTTAGATTAAACGACAACTTTTAGCTATGTTTTCTGCTGTTTCCAACTTATCACCAGTCAACATCCACACTTTTATATTAGCTTTCAACAAATCAGCGATTGTCTCTGGAACCAATGGTTATAACTTATCTTCCACAGCAGATGCTCCGAGAAGAGTTAAGTTTTATTCTAAATTGTTGGTCAATTTTTCTAGGTTTCAATATATTTTGTATACCTAGTTCTTCTGCTCTGGTGTCGTTGTCTGGCAAATTGTTGTAGGCGTTGTCGAATTCTCTGTATTCGTCATTTGATAATATTCTTATGCCCATTAATAAGCATCTTAAACCAATTTTACTGAAATCGTCCAAATAGTTTATAATTTGATTAAGAAACATTTAATTTGGAGATAGTCTTCCCTTAATAATATTATCAGCTCCTTTAATAAATAATTTGATAACTCCATTGTCATCAATAATGACACTCATTCGCTTACGTGCTGAATCAAATTCAAAGGATTTTAATAATTTAACTTTTTTATCCTTTCCCAAAATTATAAACTTTTATTCACTAGCAGAAGCACCAGTGAATTGAAAACCCATCCTAGCAGCTGCATCTACCAAGGTAATTTCATCTGGAGATGGTCCTTAATAGGTAGCATTTTAATTTTTGTCATACTGAACTATACATTCATGAGCTGATGATAATAAGAAAAAGTATTCTTCAATTAGATTTCTCTACTTTGAAATTTTGACTTATTGTTTTCCATCTAATGACTATACTACCAAATTGACTGGTTATTCTCCGGAAGACCCTTCTCCTTTAAGAATGGCACTTAATTCAAGATCTTGGAAATTAAACACCGAATGTTGGAAAACATCAGTTGCAGGATGTACTTTAGCGGTTTGCTGTCTTTTTAGATCTACATTTTATACTGGAATGTTTGTGTGTTGTTGTTCCTGTCCATATAATGTGTTTCCTATTATACAATACTTGAATTCCATCTGATTACAAGTAAGAGTGCCAGTTTTGTCAGAAAAAATGTACTCTATTTATCCGAGTTCCTCGTTTATAGTGGTGGTTTGCACTTTGGCAAACTTGTCTCTTTATTAGACATACATCTCTTCATCCTATTCAATAAAGTATGCTTAAAACACCTTTACGAATTCCAGACTGACTATCAATGAGATTGGGATCATAGTATTATATAATAAAATGTAACTGAAAAAAGCATAAAAGCTTAGCAAATTAGGTTAGAAATCACCATAACCCAAATACCAACTGTCACTGCCATATTTATGCAGCCAAGCAGAAGAAAAGGAGGCTGTGATGATTGATAATGAGATTTGAACTACCAATATTCCCAAAATCAAAATATTCATAATTCTCTCAATTTCACTTGTTTTAATTCTTGATGCATCAGCATTCCTCATAATCTTAGTATCCTAACCTGTATAAACTACTAGTCCAATCACCCATTCAGTATTTCTAAGAAATGCGCCTCTGAGTAATAGTTGTTTAGCTGTTAATTAAAATTTCTTTTGCTAACCATTTCCCACACTTAAATATAAGGACGCATCCAATTCATATAGATTCTAAGTGGGAACTTGTGCATCCACCTTTACTTTCTCCTCTGCATAATTACTCTTATCGCGGTATAGCTATTAGCTCTCCAAAATTGCACTCTTTGGCTTCAAATTCTTCTCCCCATCCAACGACGATGTTTCTATATAGCATGCACCACTCTCAATAGAACTTCCCAAAACTATCAGATCTGCTGGAAAACTCTCATCCTATTTCACCAATACGAAATCTCCCACTGCTAGTTGAGCCCATGTAGATCTATGTCGTATTAATTTCTATTTTACATTGTCATTACGCGAGACTTCATTATCACACATTCTGTCGCATTCACTTCATTATCCGATACGTGTCTCCCATAATCCTCCCAACCTTTCATATTAGTTTTCATTCTTACCTTCTCTCCCCATTGATAATCCTAACACAAATACTAACGGAGCTATTGCACTGAACGGATTCAGAGTTGATAATACTGGAATACACTGGATTATTGCAATGCACAAGAAATAAATGTTAGCATATCGAGTAAACTACAAAAGTAATGATTTTGGCAAGAAAGTTACTAAATTATATCTACATAACTCTAATATAATCTCTTACCGTGATGTCTTTATGAAGTTAGATGGAAATTATTCTAACTCTTCTAATGTTCTCTCACTCCTAAAATTTCCCTCAAATGAACGAGGCTAATTCAAGACATCGGGCCTTTTAGACCAAAACATTTGATATTTGTTTATAAATAATATTTTGGAAATTTTCCAACATTCTAAATTTGTTATGTATATAAGCCTCAAAACTTTGGCAATGGAACTTCATTGTCTAATTTGACAATCACTCTTCCCAAATTCTTACCCAGGAACACCTTCTATAATCCTATGGTCACATTCTCTAATCCATTGATGAATTCCTCTTTGTGTCTATACATATAAGAATACATCATTACTAAATATGATTTCCTGTGACTAATTCATTCATCTCTTTGAAAGATTCCATGATGGCATTTTTTTAACCAAAGTACAATATTCCTTCAGCCTTAATTTACTTTGTAATAAAGTGAGATAAATTTTTTAATCCTCCTCTATTCTTCCAAGTATAATATGTAGCAGTTGCTCCACATAACACAATGAAAGCACCCTTATTCATGGCTGGTAAGACAGCGTCCAAGACCTCTTCTCCTGAATTATCATACATAGCATCGATTCCCTCAGGAGCAGCTTACTTCATTAATTTTGTCAATTTGCTAAGAAGAAATAGGTTAATTAATATACTCTGTATCAACAATTCCATTTGAATCCAAAGTGTCATTGTAACAAACACAAGCATCAGCTCCCAGTGAAAGAACGAAGTCTTTCTTGTCTCTACTGCTAACGATTCCAACCGTTCTGTATCCCCAATATTTTCCTATTTATAGAGCAAATGATCCTGTTGATCCAGCAGCAGATGAAACCACTAGAGTCTTCTTGGATTCTTTGGTTGGTAGATTTTCTTTAGGAATTTGATGCAATCCTTTGAGAGCAGTGATGCCTGTGACACCGTACCTAAATTATCACAATTAAAAATATACACAGACAAAAAGAGAGGCAAGTTTGGATCGTGTTTCGATTTAACTGCTGGCAATTTGAATATTGTATTGGCATTTCTAACACAATAGTCTGCGCAATCCAAGGCTCCCAAGACCAAATCTCCTTTGTTGAATCTTTTGCTTTTAGATTCAGCAACAACTCCACATCCAAAGGCTGGGATGACTTGTCCTTAATGCACAGTATCGATGTAAGTCTTGGCTCCTGAAAACCATACTCTCATGACTGGATCGATGCTCACATAGCAAACTTTGATAAGAAGATCGTTTTCCTTAAGATTTGTGGGAATAGGGAAGTCCTTCAAATCGAAGAAGTCGATGTTCTTTGGAAAACTATCATCTGGATATCTGCGCAGAGTTACTCCTCTCATTTTAATAATATAAAATAAAGATTTAAACAAGTTTTTTGAACATTGGGTTGCATTAATGTGTAATTTCACGATTTCTAAATCAATAAATGATCGATTATGGAAAATATATAAATATTATAGGGTTTCATTTAGTTTTAGGTGAGTATCCAGCAGGACTCCTGACTCCGGTTAGATTGGGTTCTTGATACATGGAAGAGTCTTGTTTTTCTAAGGAAATTTCTTTCATACAGACATTCTCTGCCTCAATGAGTTCCAATTTTCTGAGGATTTTTTCCTTCATCAAAGCCATTTTACTGATTTGTGCATCTTCAGGGAGTTTCTAAATGATGATAATTAGTTTATCTAGTTTGTTAAGGTGATAACTTTTAACTGTGTTGATTCTCTAAGAGATAGAAAATATTTATACATCAGTAATAACTTGAGTCTCACGTTGTAGATTTATGTTGCGTTCCATCTAACGTCTGATCTCATCCAAGAGAGATCTTTGGTTTGAATATAGTTCTACCAGCTACTTGCGAAGCTTTTCGTGTTCATTGAGATAGGACTCCTATTCGAATTCTTTGGTTAAAGATTCCAAACTTTGCTTAATATCATCTTAATTTCTTCTTTTGATCTTCGATAAATTATTCCTATAAATGTTATTCAAATTCAATACTTGAGACCTCTTCTGAATTGAGAATGTTGGAATTCACTTTTACCATGTTTATTTTTTAGCTTCTTAAATCCATACATATTGAGTTATCTAACTCTATATTGATGAGTAATTACCTCAGAAAGCTCTGATAATTGCGATGTTTGAAATACTGAGGCATTATTTGTTCAGTCAATAAGGATGAATCCAAAATCTAAAATGTGGTCCCATCTTTATTCCATCCAATTGCTGATTAGTCGGACTCAAAAATAACAAATTTTGTATTACTTCAAGTATTTCATATAATTTTTATAGAAATGATGGTATTTGTTTAATCTCTTGCATTTATTCTTTGATTTATAATTATTAAAGAATAAAAATAAAATAAATGTAGCAATCTCAATTACTCACATTTGATGTATTCCGAGGCATTTCCCAGTTCCTTTCAATCAAGGATTTGTTAAATGTGTAGAGTGTTTCAAAGCAAATGAAAGATAATGTGTTATTAGCCCTTAAAGCACTCTTAGCAAGCATTGGTTTCAATAATCCAAATACAACTACACCATACAATATCATCTTTCGTACCATCTTTGGAAGAGAGACTTATTTTTGGTCATTTGATGAAAGTGTCAAGCCTTTCAAAAGAAGACACATTCTAGGAATGCCAGTAAAATCGATTCAAGTAGGACTAACATATACTGGCATACTCACAATTCAAAATCGAATGTACATTTGCATGTCACAGGAGTATCAAGAAATCATCAATCAGAAACCTAACTTTATTATTAAGTAAGATATTTAAATGCATATTTTTTAAAAGATTTAATGTGAAACAATACTCAGCAGCCAGCAAGGGAAAATTCATATACTTGAAAGAGAACGGAGACCTAATTGTTATGTTCGAGAATCAGGAAGAATATTTAATTGCTAAAAATGTGGAGCATTTTGAAACTTCTTATTACTAACTAGTTGCCATCTTCAGCAATCCATAAAAAATACCCTAATTACCCTCTGAATAAACTAGAGCCATTCTGTATTAATTATAAGATCTAGCACCTCATAATTGCGATCACGCACAAAAATACAAGCAAATTGTCTTACCAGATAATGAAGTATCAAATAATATTATATTTAGATAATCACATAAGTAGCAATTGGAGGCAGTGCTATTTATTATTTGACAAAAACATAAAAAGTATATTCTTCAGACACCAAGAATGAATAAGTAATTGATCCCATTATTAAAACTGTCCACCAAAATTATTTTGACAAACGATCTATCATTTCTATTTATAGCGGTCTGAACTATTTCCTTGCACTTTCAAGAGAGAATATTAAATCAATCAAGGAATGGACTAATGAAGAACTCCAAGTTTGGCTAGCTAAAATTGGTTTTTCCGATTATGTTAATATTGTAAAGTACAATGAATTTACAGGATTGGAATTTTCAAAGTAAGCTGTTCTTTAAGATTTCTAAAAAAACACTCTTGGCCTCACTAATGCTGAATTATAGATTAAACTAAGCACAGAAATCACCAGAGCCATGGAATTACAATATAAAGAATATTAACTATTCGGATGGGGTAAGAATGACTATGGACAATTGGCAGCTCCTCTCTCTAACAATGTTCAATTTACAAAAGTAGCCTTACCTAATTTAGATGAAGATGATGAAATTATACAGATTGAATGTGGATGGAAAAATGTAGCTATCCTAACACATTCAGGCAAGCTCTATTTGACTGAAAATTAGTAAAAATAAATCAAAAGAGAAAAAGATATCCAACAATAACAACAATAATAGTAATAGGATGAGGGAGGAAAAAAAAGAAAGAAAAGTAGACAAGAATAAAAGGACATTAAAGATCAGAAGGAATAAAAAGAACCAGAACAATAGATATAATAATAATAGTAATCTAAGTATTGGAGTGACATATCCAAAATCTTTATTAAATCTAAGTAAAATAAATTACAATTAATTATTTTAGTGATAAAAGAGAATACAAACACTATTATGCGAATCTAAGCAAAGATTACTTAGTTGTTGTTTGCTCTATTTTTGATAAAAAGACCATGATCAACTATTTCCCAGAGATGTTAGAGCAAAAGGATATTCAAAAGAAATTCAAGCCCACTCTTTAAGTCATAGATAGAATTCTTTGGGACACCAAATTTAATAAAGAGGACTTTATCGTAGGATATGAAGATAGATTCTTAGGAATTATGGAAGTTCCTTTTACAGACTTTATAATCAGTTAGGTTAAGAGTCATAGAGTTCAATACTTTAAATAAAAAGGTAAGATTGTATGGGATAGACCTCGCAGGCTTGACTTATTATGAGTTATTATTAAACATACATTAAGTTAATATATATATCGTAGAATTAAATTGTACATCAACATTCATCAATATTATTGAAATCTTGATCAGCTATAATTTTAGCGAGAGGCTCTATGAATTAGGCTGCCAATTTTTCTAGAGATGGGTGTCTAAATACATCCAGTAATAACTTTGTAATTACTTAATTCTCAGTCTCAAGAGATTATACCTAAAATTATGTAATTTGAAATTTATACTTTCTTTTAAATTTTGTCATACTCATCTTATAAAGGACCTATCTTTTCTAATGCTTCTCTCTTCTTTTTTTAAGACTCCTTTGCTGAATTTCTATTTCTTCTGATGCTAGCTAATCTAAAGAACTAGATACCATTGGCATTTCTTGCAATTGCATTCTTCTTCACCATTATAAACACATTTATTTTTTAATTTTTCAATCATCTTTAAATAGTAATTTGAACTGTTTTTAACTGGTTACTATTCCTAAATTCCATTCTATACTAGATGATCTAAGTATTGACTCTCCAATAAAAATAACATAGGTAGAATGAATAATATTTGGCAATTCATCTATTTATGAATTTTTATTATGTTATTGCTAAATTACAATAAATCAAGATCATTAGATTCTTCGAAGAATACCTACGTAGCTTTCTTCAAAAAATCTTACGTCGTAGCTTTAAAACTGCCCATTATTAGTAAAAACTACAGTTAGCAATCAAAATTACTTCTTAAAATATCTGATCATTATGTAATTTTGAGGTCTATTTTACACTTAGAGCAACTAGATCCATAATCAAATTGCTTTTAGTGAAGAAATTATTCATTGAAGCGGTGTATTAATTGAACTGCAATAGAAACATATCTTTAGTCATTTTCTGCTATTGTTGACTGAGCATTTTGAATATAAATGCTGTCCATACATCATCTTAAGTTTTCTTGAGCATCTAATTAATCTGCGTAAATCCAACTTATTGACTAAATGTTTAACCTTGTGTAATTTAGTAACAATATAGAGTATTGAAGAAAATGTCACAAAAGTCATCACGGAACAGCAAAAAATTGGTAAGATATTTTGTGCCTTAAATTAGTATTTTAGTGATTACATTAGTCATAGTACACTAATTATGAACGAAACAATAGTCCTATTGTCTAGAATAAAGAGCAGCTCATTGTAATTTTAAGTGGATTGGATTTGTATTGTGATATCATCTCTTACACAATATCCTTTTCTCCAGGACAATTTTCTAATCCATAAATGATGAGATTGCCCATAACTTGTAAAAAGTAGGGTAATTGCTATTCCAATACATTATTTAAATTGATTATTTGTTTCTAAAGGATAATTTTCTAAAAGTATGATGTGACTTAATTTTAAACTTCAATTAAGGTTGGAGACTTGCTAAACGATTATTTGAATATTGTACGATGCTTGTTGAATTGGTTATTATTACTATTAACATTGCTAGATGATGGAGAGAAGTTATTGTTTCTGCAAATACTAAACAAATAATTTGAAATGTTGTACTTAAATATTTTGTTTTTAATTGTTCTCTTCCTATTTCACTTATTATTGTTTTTCATGTTACTATTGTTTCATAATACTCTGAATAAAGGCTTGTTAAATGTGATTCATTATTAATTTTAATAATGAAAGAATTAACAAGTCTAACTCTTAAGTTAGAACTGATACGTATTATCAACATTCAAAAAAGAACATATTTGATTTAAATTATTAGTATTTCAGATATTAGTTTACGCACCATAATTATTATATATAATTAAAAATCTCAAATTAACTTCGATTGACAATTGTAAAGGAAAATGCTTATCTGTTAATTTATTTATAAGTGAAGCAACATACTTATAAATAAATTTTAAGTTGTGCATTTGAATTAATTTGTCCAATTGAATTCAAAAAAAACTATTTCTTTAATAATGCATTTAAATATGCCAAGATTAAATAAAATATAAAATTAGAATAAAGATAAAGATTTAAAGGCTTTTCCAATAAAGGTAGCCAATAAAATAGTTCTTCAGTTCAATAATTATAATTCTAAATAAGTTGATGTTTTGCTTAATGCTTTTTTATATCTATCTGAAATGGTTATTTATTTATTATAAAAATTAAATTTATATGTTTATTTAGAACATATAAAAGTTAAATTACAGAAATTTGTATCTCTTGCAATTACTAAGGTTATACAATTTAATATTGATAATTTTAACCATTTTTAAAAAAAGAGCAGAAATGGACTTAAAGCTAGGAATAAAATTAATTCCAATCTTCCTTTTGCTGTATATTATTATATGATGATGAATTTTAAATCAAATTAATCATTTTTGATAATAGATAATTACTTTGAATGAGACAATCTCAATCAATGTTCTCCAAATGCATTTAGAACATGAGACTCAGGAATTAATTGATTTTAATAGTTTCTATCTAAGCATTCATAATTATGTCCTATGTTTTGGCATAGAATATGATTCATCTTTCTCTACTTAATGTATATTTTTCAGACACTTCCAACCATTTGTATAAGGAAAGTTCAAATAGGATTCAATAAAATATAATAAAATTATATAGAAGCTACTTTGATAAAGTCTTCTATCTAAGTAATATAATAAATAATTAGATGGAAATACCTTAATCTCATTTCACAGATTGTATCACCACACCAAAAAGTAAGTGGTGTTGTAAAATAACTTCACAATAAATGAGTAATTTTAAATGCCGTATGGTGGTATAAACCCGATTCCGGATCCACTTCGAATAATTAAAGGATATGGTAACTTTGATATTTCTTATTGCTTTATGTGTTATTCAAACCTAAGTTCATACAGTCAACCGAAAACTATAGATGAATTGGTGGGAATAAAAATGTAAGAATAGGTTCAAGCTTACGGTTAATTACTATACTAAGGGAAGGATATCAACCAATATTTCTTTTATTCCTATATTAAAAAGGAAAAAATAACCTCGATCTATCCTTGCTTAAATAGGGAGTAAGGAATATATAGTTACAAACCAGAGTAAAGAGATTGGTATATTGAGTTGTAAAGGAATTATGATTAAACAGAAAATTACAAAAACTACAATTACACTTTTACAAATCCTTTTATATGTATGATAATTATATTACATAATTTAGTATTTACGGAAAAAAAGATTGGCTTGTCTATGGCGATGCCTATTGTGGATGAATAAACTAAATTGATAGGCGGAGTGGGCTCAATATTCTTGGGAAATGAATTTGTTCAAGAAGTTGGGCAGAGTAAATTCGGGTTTTAAATTATATATCTAATTTCAAACGAAGGCATTATGATTATGCATCCTTACAAGGTGTCTAATGAATACCTCCCATTGTACATATTCAATTAGACAATTACTGGATTCAATTAAACTGATTGGGAAGAGATGAAAAAACATAACGGATCTTCATCTTGCCCCAATTTTGATGTATACAATTCCTCTATGTAATGTCGATATAATTCGGTGTATAATCAAGAGATGATCATTGGTATTCAAGAAATAGCTGAGTTCAAGATGATTTTAATAACGTACAATGATTCTAAAAAGTTAGGTTGTTAAGTAGCCAAGAATACTTGGAGTTCTATTATCAATTTTAATAGAAATTGTCAGAAAGCTTGCAAGAAACTTTATCTTTAAATATAACCACCTTATTAGCATTGCTGATATTGGTATGTCTCTGCATTTATGTTCTAATTTAAGTTCTCTTTTATCCAATTTATGTTGTGTAGGAATATGCAAAAAATATGATCTCATAAAAAAAGAAAAAGGAAAAAACCATTCCAATATTTATTCAAAGGTTGATGAGTAATTAAGTTCGCTAATTGCTCCAATCCTTTAAATTTATCGAAAACAAACTAGAATTGTTATCATTTCGGAAAACAGAGCAATGTGCATATTTTGAGAGTCTCTAATTTCCACAAAAGAGTATATCATTCAAACTTCACCTATAATAATATCAGAATTTTCTTAAGATTCACAAACTAAAAAAAATAAAACTAATGAAAATGCAAAACGACTAAAATTTCAATTAATCCAATGCCCAAATGTAGCATAAGCTCTATTTAAGGCAAATTCTATAGTTGGTTAAAAAGGCCAATTTAGATCAAACCTCATGAAATTTTACTATTCTTTATGCACAACAATTTGATTATATTTTCAAGAATTAAAATAAAATATTAGAATTAATTAGCATTTATCTAATTATATTAAATTTAACTGCTATGTATAAAAAGAATTCGACAGAAAAATTAGTTAGAAAAAATGCTTCTCCAACTCATGAAAAAGAGAATAACTCCTATGCTCGTAAATATAGTAGAAAACTATTGAGTAGATAAAGCAATCATGATGAATATGAAAATGTCAAAGACAATGTATTATCAACTTATAACTCTAATACAAACTCAACAAATCAAAGTGAAAGTGTCACTCAACTCTAATAAATTATTTAGCAATAGAAACGATAAATCCAAAATCTGAAAATGGGTTGTCCTCGTTGTTTAACCAAATAAAATACAGATCTGGAATTGAGGAACAAAATTTTAGTTTAGAATAATCAAATACTATCCTTGTTGTCAAGGGAAACACAGCAATCAGATTATACAGAACTATACAAGATAAATCAGATGTTGTAATAATAGAATGAGGAATTAAAATTAAATAATGAAATTTTGATTTAAAATCAATAGGAAATATTATAAGAAAATATGTTCTTGAAAAATTTGTTTGCTGAATCCAACAATATTACAAATGCAAAAGAAAATTCAAGCTGTAATTTATTGAATTAATGTTGATAGAATTATTCAGTCTCTCATAATCCTAAGGAAGATTCTCATCCATTTTGTAGTTAAACTCGCAAGTTCAATCTCCATCACATGCTAAATAACATCATGAGAAACTGTTTAACTTATTAAAATGAGTTCTGATTTTATTATCCATATATAATATTTTAATTTATTATGTTTTTTAAGTATTACTCTCTCATATTTTAGCTTTGCTCGTTTCTTTCCTCAGCAATAATAACTGGATTCCTTGTTAGCTGACCCTGATTGTGAATTAGAAACTATCTTATCGGCTGATAATATTTTATAAGAAATCAAAGGAGTTGGAGCCAATAAATTTGCTGATCAGTACACATTTAATAATGAATTATTTATAGCATAACCAAGCACCCAGAAATGTATTAGAGAATGATTCATTATGTAATTTCAGTCGACGATGAATTGATCGATAAAAAGACATAAATCTAGTATGATATAGCATTATTATCAAAAGATACCCATTCTTATGCAGTGAAATTTTAGGCAGTTAAAATTAGAAGTTATTGGATTTTCTATTTGAAAGACCAGAGGAAGGAATAGAAGCAGATGCAGAAATGATTAGAGTTAACTTGTACGATCAATTGATTAGCTTTCTTGAAGCAGATGTATTCAATATGACATCGGCAGGTTATTTTTCTAAAGCATTCCTTGCGATTATTAAGAAACGAGGATTTGATGTATCATTTATTCAAATTTTTAGGTTTGGACCCAAATTATTAATAATAAACAAATTTTATCGAATTTAATAAAACACATAGATTGTAAACATATTGCAGAAATCATCGAAAAATTAATAATTCTAGATACAACCCAAGAATTCACAAACGAGACATTTCTTAATGAAAGAAAGATACTATTACAAAGAATTATAATATTGATGCAGAATAAATACTATTGTTCAGAGATCGTTGAAAACGTTTGCGAAGTTTTAATTGAAATCACCACTAAAAATATGAGTTGCTTATATTATAACAATCCTGACATTGTTCCATTTATTGATTAAATTACAAGGCCAGAATTGTTATTTGAAATTGCAATGAAAACTTAAAAACCACAGCCAATATAAGTTATCATCAATTTAGTGGAAATGTCTTCAAAAGAGTCCAAAAAAGAAGAAGATGATGAAGTCATTCACAATAATGAGAAGGACTTCTCAATTTTTTAAAACATCGTGCCTGAACTACCTTAAAATTTATTAAGTAAAAGATATTGTGCTGCTAACTTCAAAAATTCTAATTAAGAATAAGTGTAACCATTTGGACTACATAAGATTATGCTATTAAAGTTAATTTAAACGTTCGTTCAGTAATTAACTCATAATTATTATTAGAACTAATGATATCACTGTTATTGAAGCTCTGCTAAATGCTGGTTTGATTTAAGTGTTAGAAACTATTTGTATTTAATATCCATCTAACAATCAAATTCACATTATCACAGAAAAGATCATAAAATCCATTCTGGATTTAAATGATGAAAAATTAACAGAAAATGTTAACTCTATATACTATTCTAGGTCTTTGAGTTTGGATCACTAATCGAATTTATTATTGGATACCATACAGAATAGAATGAAAAAAAGGGATATTTAGCTCTTTTGACCTCGCTATCCAACTATCTCCTTGAGAAATCTTACAACAAGACAATTCTATAATATTATCAAGACAGTATGATCTTAATTAATAGTAGATGAACAATGGATGGAATTTGTTAAAAATAGACTGTCCAACATTAATCAAAAAGAGAAACCTTTTCTATGTAATGTGAATCCAAAGGCAAAATCAGAAGTGGCTGATGATCAGGAATCTGATATTATGCAGATTTTACAAGTAATTATTTAGATGAATCATGTAGAAAGTCAATGACTCTTAATATGGTTAGTAAAATTAAAGTGAATAATATTAAGAGAAGGAATCCTAAAAAATTGAATAAGAACTAGAGAATAATAATTAATAAGATGATGGAGGTCTAGAGGATGATGAGAATATCTTGATGGATATGAATGATGACTAGGGTTGGAATGAAGACATACTTCAAACCAAAAAATAGAATCAAGATGATCAGGCTTAAGGAAACTTAAATCAAGAGTCTTCGTAATCAACCTCAGATAATGATAAGGAACTCATTCACAAAGATGATAATGTTTCTTCTTTATTTAATCACAGTTTATTTTGGAAGATTGAATATGATAATAAAGAGGCAGAAGATATCTTAAATAATTATGCGTGATGATTTTGTTATTAATAATAATAGTATTGCAATTTAAAAACAATTCTATCTTCTTATTTATAATTATAATATTAGAATCTAAAGCAACTTTCCTCATTTCAATACTAACGAGATTAGTACAGGTTTATTTGTATATCAAACGTTATTCTCTTATTTATTAGTTCCTTAATCTTGTTGTATTTATTTTAATATAGAAATACATTATATCATAAATTTAGGACTTGATTAAATTATTCTAAAAATATGTGAAAAAAGAAGGGATTGATAATTCACATTATTATAGAGAAAACAAGATTTAATTAATGAAATTGTTTTTTTATTTTAAAAATCCTCTAGAATAGTATAAATTTTATAAAAGTGTGTTTAAAAAATTAAATTTATCTCGTAATTTGAATAATATAAATAGAGTTTAGGATGGCTAAGATTAAAAATGGAAAAAATTATTAAAAATCATTACTTCATCAACTGGAATAGTAATAATAAAGCATTCAAAAAAATATCAAAAAATTTAAACAAGCACCATCTGAAGAAAAAATAATTGAAGGCAAAGTTTCTCCTTATATGCTCTTAGAAAGAAGAACTAAAAGAGAAGAATAGAAATACAATATTCAAAAGAAAATACGATTACCTTATAGTATAAAATTCATATAGACATTAAGATTAAGAATTTTACCCAGAAGTTCCTAATTTATCATTTCCCAATTAATTACTAGATTGTATAATCAAGGTGATTTGCTCATTTGGGAACAGTGCTAAGCATAATTAAATAACCAAAAACTTAAGTTTATTTTATACAAATGAAGTTCAAGAAGAACTTGTTAATTTCATCTTAGCTGAATCAGAGGAATCTGGAACAATTTATGAATTAGAAGGAAAATTTAAAGTGACAAGCGCTTTAATCTAAAAAGTAATTAAAAATAGTTATAATAGCAATACAATGATTAAATTGGATAAAAAATGAAACATGAAGATATTGATGAGAACGATAATGATTAATACCATTCCCCTTCGAATGACCAAGTTTAAAGTAAATATTCATTATCAATTATAGAAGATAGAGAGATTGAAGCCGAAATCAGTTGATTTTGAACACAAAGACTGAGAATAATATATAATTAAGTTAAAATATAATCAATCTATTATTTATTTTTTTTTTGATTAGAATTCTCTATGAATAGAGTCGTCAATATCATTTGAGTTGCATAATCATTAACTATAATTGTGTGATTATTAAATTAACCGAACTAAAATACTATATCAAATTTATAAGATATTTTAAAAATAAATAAAGTAAAAAATATTAAATATACGATTCAAAGCTGTATTTATTTAAACTGGAGTTCTTGGTTTAAAAAAAGACCAAAGTCTGTGTAATAGAATCTTTTCGGGAAATTATCAGAAAATTCCTCGGAAATACTATATTGTTAAAATTCCTCTTCAACTTAAGAATTAACTTTCTATTCAAGTCTTTAGCATTCCTCTTCAAGGATATTTACTACTTAAGAAATTTCATCTTATTTCTAAATGAGAGAGGAAGGCGGTTTGAAAGGTTTAAAAGAGGATTGGAAATAGTCATTAATTGTTTTTTATTCATGTTTAATAATGATTTTAGATTACTTCTTCTTTTGTTAATTGGCTAAAATGTTAGTGTTAAATAAGGATTTTTATTTTAGTGTCTCCTGTTAACTAGAAAATATATTACTTTATTCGTAGTTTTATAATTATTATTCAATTTAAGATGGTTCGTAAATTTCAGTCTATTTTGAATTAATCACTTATGACTTGGGTATAATTTTTTAGTCTTCTACTCTTTCAACATTTTCTTCTGGATTTATTTTTGTAGATTATGATTTTTTAATAAATTTGAAAACTTAAATATTTTTATCCTTACCAAATGTTGGTATTTCTAATTCGTTGTTATCATTTTGATACTTACTTTCCATATTTTAGTATTTTAAATTCTTTGATGATTATGAATATGGTTTTAAATCTTATGGACAGATTTTACCATCGGCTATGTCTTGAATCAAGGTGTCTGTGTAAACACTACCTAAAAAATCAAGGTTGCCTTCCAATAAAGATTTCATTTGAGAATATAAGAGATCGGTATCAAAGGTATTCACTGTGACCATTTTTCTTTGAATTGGGCAGAACACTCTCTAAAATAAAAAGGTTAGATATGCTTTCTCGAACTATTCAACATAATCAAAAGGAACAGTGATCTTCTATTTCCTCTGTAGATTATCAATGGCTTATTTATAATTTTATGAAGTTGCTACTATTTGATAAGCTCGTTTTATTCCTATTCCACTTAATGAGCTCAAATAATCACAACCTGATAGGATACAAAATGTGAGAAACTTTTAATGATGCCAATTCTAAAAATTATATTCAGTGCATGATGAAATAGAATTGTAATCAATCTCTTCACCATACCCAAATTTGTCCAATTTATAAAGTACTTTTTTGGCTCCATAAGCAATAAGATCAGAATCTTCGGTTATGATGACATCAACATATTCTGTTAAAGATAGATACGCTAATTGAGCATCAGCTTCATATGGAGCTACGATGCATTCAATATTCCTGATTCTCAATGCTTCCAATAATTTAGATGCCATTTGAGGAGTAACATCTATAGATTCAACCAATTTTTAATAAGCCTTGTCTTTTTCTCCTTGTTACTTAAATTCTAGATGCTTTTATAGGTTGTCATTCCTCTTTCTATAATTAAAGTTTATATTACTTTTCCCGCTCTTCCTCTGTAGTCTTTTTGCTTGGGAGTTTTGCTCCATCAAATACCATAATAACAGTAATATTATATTTTTTGAGCAACTCTACTTTTTTTAAGCAATAATTAATATGTTCATTTGTCTCTCTGCCATCTGATAATTCCTAAGCACACAAAAATATTCCTTTATGTAACCTAAACTATAAGTGCTCAAAGTACCAACAATATGTATCCACAGCAATTTTCTTGTTCTAATATTCAGATATATGTTTGGGCTTAGTTACAGACTTCAGAGCTTTTAATAAAGAATCGATTCCCATATTTTAAAATTATATTATTAACTATATTTCATCTACAGCATCCACAAATGTATTCTTTTTATTCATATTCTCCTTTCTTCAACCCTACACATGTAATATGGTACCATTTTTAACATTTATCACACTAAAAATATAGATAAGAAAATACCTGAATATATATTTAATCTGGATTTTGGGGTTATTTACAAGTACAATGATTTTAGAGTTTGGATAATCCATCAAACTTCTTTTTTGTAGGTAGCCATTCTAGCCTAGTGAAAAATACTCCCTTGTCCACTTGAGTAGATGTTTCGTATTCCTCTAGAGTTACTATTCGACAAGGAGACAATATTGTTGATGCCAATATATAGTCGGTGCAATTAGTGCTGAATACTTCATTATTGGATATCCAAGGTTTGGCTAAGGGTTTAAATTTTATTATTTCACTTTTTCGATAAAACCTTTCATGAATGTAAGACATACCAATTAACTTCACATAGGCAAATTAATTTTGTTGATTTATTTTCTTTGATTGTAACTATCCTTTGAAGTTTACCAACGTAATCTTCAGAAGGATTTTTGGCATTTTTTATTAAAGCGTATTATCCGAGTTTTAACATTTGGGAATTAACTTTCATTTCGTCATATTCATGAAGTGTTATGGAGGTATCTTTTTCAGCCCAATTCACAATATCCTTGAATTGCTATTTTTTAAACATTTCCTTGATCTTTTATGATGTAGAGATTAAACTTTGTTACTTCGGCTTAGATATTTTTTTTTTTAATTTATTAGCAGAATCGTCGGAATCTCCTGGCTTATTAAAGAATTTATCCTAAAGTATTTATATTTAATTTTATACTTCCTTAAATTCTGCCATTTTAATATCAAATTAATTATAAAAATTAATAAAGAAAACAATAAATATCACATTAAGAGATAATATTCTGTTATTAAAATCTATGTAATTTTAAAAAATTAATTCAAAATAAATTCTGTTCAATAATTAAGGCTTAGGAGAATTTTCTAAAATTCCTAAGTTTTGATACTAATCATATTGAATATAATAGTGGTCGTACATTTCATTCTTATTTCAATCTACTTCCATTCATCTAAATTACTAAACTACATATTTTACTATTTTATAATTTAATGTAAATAATATTTATAATTGCAAGTGTAATTTGTAATTATTATGGTAGATTATTTTATAATAGAATTCTATATGTTTATCAAAATACATTTAGAATTCATTAAATTAAGAACCTAGACTATGCTCCATTTGCATTACTGAAAACATTGATGTCTAATTTTCATATCATAATTTTGTTTATTAAAATATAATTAAGAAGTGTACTTTATCTGAATAGTGACGCACTTATCTTGTGAATAAACGAAAAAATAGTCCTAACCATTTTAATCTTAAAGAAACTCTAATTTAGATTAACTGCGTGCAGATGATCTTGTGCTTAGAATCATAGTTCAGATTATAAAAATAGATTGAAATTAAGATAACATTTTATCAATAAATTCAGCACTATTCCTTTAGAGCTAAGTGGATATAAGATGCATGCCTACCCATTAGTAAGACCTAGTAATTATTGAAAATATTTTGATTTTCTTGGCATGGTAGACACTAATATTTAATTTTAATGTCAAACCATTTTATTTTCATAAACTATAAAATTAATTTAAACTTCTTTTAAATCTCGTATTAAGTAAGGGTGACTTCGATTTATTAATTATCGAAATAATTATTTCTAATAATTTCAAAAATTTTATAATTTTAAGATCTGTTTAACAGAAAATCCGAATTAGCGAACATTAAATATTATATAAAAATTAAATTAATTAATTTTAATGATTTACTTATCATATAGAATTTTAATAATGCACTTTTTTAAATTTTATTTTTCATATTTAATCACTAATTGTTATTTTAAAAATGCGTGTTTATAAATTTAGAGAGTTAGTTCATTAATTATTTTATTATATGAGTGCAAAGTTTAATAATGAAGTGAAATGTGTTTCTACTCCTGAGAAAATGACAAAACTATCAAATAATCAAAAAGCCCCTTAAAAAATATTGGGACCATCCAATAAAGTGAATGAATAGGAAATAAAAAACGTGAAGAGAAAACTCTTTACAGATAAAGAAAATGAAGTGAATTTTATTACAAATTAATTTAATTGAATAATTTAATTATATGCTTATCTTATTACTTTTAATTAAATAGTGTATTTAATAGGCAACCCATTACGGATTTTGGTTTCAATATTTACCTTTTTCTAATATAAAGGCATCAGGAGATTTTATTTTAAATGAAAAATCCACATTTACAGGGTAAAATATTATGGCAAACTACAATTTTATTTCAGGAGCACGCTCAAGCAAATTTTACATATGGCTCTCTTTTAACTCAATAACTTTAAATATTACAGTGAGTGATTCTGATACAATAACTAATTTGGCTTAAGATCCTACTAAGTTTGAAGGAATTTGGTATTATGTCTATCTTGAGAATCTATAAGATGGATCAAAGTTATATGTGAGAGGAAGCAAATTGCAGAGTGTGAAATTGACTACCAAGAATATCGTTCCTGTATTAAATTAATATGGAAAGGTAATAATAATATAATATGAATAATTAGGTTGGAAGTACGTTGAACTTCGATTATTTCCATGGAAAATATAGTGAAGTATAACAATTCACAAGAATACCATTTAATAACGATAATGAGTTTGATTAATTTTTTATTGAAAATTTTAAAAGTCCTTAGTCTTACAACATAACTGTTGTTGATGTTTTTAATGGACTTAAATTATTAGGAGATGTATTTTACTCAACCAAATTTTCTATGCTAGGCTACAAATATCAAATTAGGTGTTGGGTAAAGGTTAACTATGAGAATGTAGCCGAAAGACAGAGATATTTATTAATGAGATTGACTTTGAATGAAAATTATCGTAATGATAGTATTTTGGGAGATAGAGTATTATTAATGAGTTACATTTTGGATTCCACATCAACTAATTATAATGTTTTTAATATGA